TGGATCGTTTTTCAAAAATGGCACACTTCATTCCTTATTCCAAGACATCTGATGCTGTCCACATTGCCAAGCTTTTCTTTCAAGAAGTTGTTCGGCTTCATGGATTGCCAAACACCATTGTTTCTGATCGAGATACAAAATTTATGAGTTATTTTTGGCGCACATTATGGAAGATGCTGAATACAAGGCTGAAGTTTTCCTCTTCTTTTCACCCCCAAACTGACGGCCAAACTGAGGTTATTAATCGCAGCTTGGGTGATTTGCTTCGCTGTCTTGTTGGTGACCATATTAGTAGCTGAGACCAGATTCTTCCTATGGCTGAATTTGCCTACAACAGTTCTGTAAACAGATCCACAGGGCGCAGCCCGTTTGAGATTGTGACAGGTTTATGTCCTCGGAAACCAATTGACTTAGTTCCTTTACCAATTGTGGCACGCCCTAGTGCTGAAGCTGATGCTTTTAGTAAGCATATCAGAGACATCCATGCGGAAGTTCGAAGGAAGATTGCAATGAGCAATGAGACTTACAAAACACAAGCTGATTTGCGGAGGAAGATTGCTGAATTTGAGGAAGGAGATATGGTTATGGTGCGAATAAGACCGGAACGATATCCTAAAGGTGCTTATAAGAAGCTTCACGCAAAGAGTGCTGGCCCATACAAAGTTCTCAAGAAAATTAGCTCCAATGCTTATGTTCTTGACCTACCAGAAGAGATGGGTATCAGTAAAGTCTTCAACAATGAAGATCTCACCTTGCATTCAGGCCATTTTGCTGATCCATTTCTTGTTGATCCTACCACTCGCCTTCCCCCAGCCCCACATGTAAAGGAGGAAATAGAAGATGTTGTTGATCATCAACTTGTTTCAACAAGGGCTGGCGGTTATCAAAAATTCCACGTTAAGTGGAAAGGACGGCCACTTTCTGATTGTACATGGATTAGCGACACCAGACCTCTATGAACAATTTTATGCATTTACCTCGCCGGGGTCAAGTTTTTCCAAGCCAGGGAGAATTGATAGAGAGCAGTGGCAGCAGCCTTTTAAGGTATATAAAAGGGTGGCAAGGAGGGATCTAAGGCTCAAACCTTAATTTGGCACATGCTAGACGATGGGTCCACTTGGAGTCTTGCATAATTAGGGGGATTTGGTCAAATTGCATAATTATGGTAGCTTACATCAATTTCGATCATATTACATCCGTCCATAGTAATTACTTTTATTATGCTAGAGTCAAATATTGATTACCTCAATTACGGGGTGATTACTTTTATTATGCTATAGAGTCAACTTTTGATTACCTTAATCATGGGGTAGTCTGAGGATCATAAGTTGCTATAAGAAGGGTATGATGTAAACTTGCTGAGTCAGTCAAGGAATGAATAAAAATATCTTTGAGATTTCTTTGTGAGTGATTCACAATTTGTGAGGGTGTGAGGCCTTCTCTAGGTGTGATACCTGGACCTGTTGGTGTGATTCCAGTAGGTTTTTGTTGTTTTCAATCATTTCTCTCTACTAATATTTTGAACTATAGCTCTGTTTATTTTAATTAACAACCACTTCTCCTTTGGTTTTCTACATTTCTACTATCAAACCTCCAAATTTCTGCCCTAGTTCTTGAACTTTCAGACTCTGAATTCTTTGAGTTCTTAGCTATTTAAGGCTGCTCTCTTGTCCTACATCAACAAGGAAAATATATATATATATATATATATATATATGGAATATTACCAAAAATCAATGCTTTGGTGAAATTTTACAAAAACCCAAAACCCAAGAACTACAACAACAACAACCAAGCCTTTTTCCCAAGTACTTGGGTTGGCTACATGAATCTTATAATTCCATTTTGCTCTATTTAAGGCCATAGCCTCCGTCAATCCACGTAATACCAACGTGAACTTTGGTCTTCCACTTCTCCTCTTATTACCCCAAAACTAAGAACTAGGAAACAAAATAAAAATAAGAGAAGAGCTTAAATGCCACTTTTCTTGCCCTCATTCCGAAAAAGGGAGGGGTGCTGGATATTAGGAATTTTCAGCCTATTAGTTTGGTTGGGTGCTTCTACAAATTGATTGCTAAAGTCTTGGCTTTTAGGTTGAGGAAAGTCTTGGATGGTGTCATTTCTGACTCTCAGAATGTCTCTGTGGGAGGTCGTCAGAGTTTAGACTCAGTTCTTATTGCCAGTGAGTGTGTGGATTCCAGATTGAGTAGTGGGGATCCGGGTGTTTTGTGTAAGTTGGACATTGAGAAGGCGTACGATCATGTGAGCTGGAATTTCCTCCTCTACTTGATGGAGAGGATGGGGTTTGGAGTGCATTGGAGGTCATGGATTCTTTTTGTATCTTGAGTGCCCGTTTCTCTGTCCTTATGAATGGAGCTCTGACGGGTTTTTTCTCTTCTTCGAGGGGATTGAGACAAGGGGATCCGCTCTCTCCTTTCTTGTTTCTTTTTGTGATAGAGGCCTTCAGTAGATTGATTAAGAGGGCGGTCGAGTTGGGTTTTTTGAGAGGTTTTCGAGTGGGTAGGGATGTTGCTAGTCAGTTGGAGATCTCCCACTTGATGTTTGCCGATGATACTTTAGTGCTTTGTGATGCTAATGCATCCTAGTTGAGATATCTAAGATGCGTTCTGGTTTGGTTCTATGTCGTCTCTAGATAGAAGGTGAATGTCGGTAAGAGCGTCTTGGTGCCGGTTGGGGAGGTCCCTGAGATTGAGACGTTTGCTTAGATTCTCGGATGTCGTACTGGCACTTTTCCCATTTCTTACCTTGGGCTACCTCTGGGAGCTCCTTCAAGGTGTGTGGGGAGTATCATCTGGTGCGCTGGGAGCAAATGTGTTACCCGATTTAGAATGGAGGCTTAGGGTGTGTTTGGATAAATAGGAGAGAAAAGAAAAAAAAATGATAGTATTAGTTATGAGAGAAAAGAAAAGAAAAGAAAGGATAGTAATAAATTCTATTCGTGTTTGGATGGATAAGGGAGAAAAGAAAAGAAAGGATAGTTATTCTTGTTTGGATAAGATAGAGGAGAGAAAGAAAAGAAAGGATAGTGACCAAATTACTGTCCTACCATTTCATAACCACTTCATATATTATCCATTTTCAAAATCTTGTTTCTTTTTTATAGTTCAATGCCATGGGTAAAAACAAAAGTAAAAAATAAAAAGAAAAAAAGAAAAAGTATCACAAGGCTAAAATGAACCATTCAACATGGTTGAAGCTAATAACAGTCTTTAACCTTTTTTATGAGCATGTGAAAATTTTATTTTTGTTGTATCTGTTATACCTATCTGACTCAATCCCTTCCCATCCTAAAATTTTTAATAACTTTAGCATTGTCATACATCCTTGCATTCCACTAAGCATATTGGGACATAAATAGAATTACTTTTCTATATGTTGATTTGTAGAGGGTATTTTTGGTATTAATAATTTATAACTTACTATCACTCCCTATCTTCTCAAATTAGGAAAGAAAGCATAAAAGGGATAGGGAGGGATAGCTATCCCTCCCTATCTCTCCCTATCCTCTCTTTTCTCTCCACTTAACCCACCCAAATACATTTTCACACTATCCTCTTTTCTTTTCTCTTCCTATCCCTCCAAATCAACCCTACCAAACACACCCTTAGGGATTAGGAGGTTGTTGCCTTTTAATAAGGCTCTCCTTGGGAAATGGCTTTGGAGGTTTGGGTGGAAAGGCGTTGGCTTTGGAGGAGGGTTATTGCGATCAAATTTGGGGAGAGTTGTGGAGGGTGGAGTTCTCTTGAGGTGCGTGGTCCTAGAGGGGTGGGGGTTTGGACTTTTATTCGGAAGGGGTGGAATGATTTCAGCAAGCATGTCCGTTTTTGGATCAGGAATGGCAGGAGAATCAGATTTTGGACTGCCCGTTGGTGTGGGGAGCTTCCTCTTGCTCTCGCTTTCCCAAGGCTTTACAGGATTGTTTCCCATAAGCAGGCCTTCATGGTTGACTGTTATCATCTTGATAACGGGAAGCTGTCTTGGGATGTTCAGTTTAGGAGACATTTTCAATATTGGGAGATTGAGGAGGTTACTCGCTTTTTGGAGTTATTGTATCGCCAGGTGATTACAGCTGGGGAGTCTGATTGTTGGCTCTGGGGTCCTAGCTCTCAGGGTCGCTTCGAGGTTCGGTCCTTTTTCAGGTGTCTTACGGTTGGTTCTAGTGGTCCTTTCCCTTGGAAGTCTATTTGGCGTTCTGAGGCTCCTCTCAAGGTGGCCTTCTTTGCTTGGACTTCTGTCTGGGGTAGGATTTTAACCCAGGATAATTTGCGGAGGAGGAATCAGGCGGTGGTTAATCGTTGCTATTTGTGTTTGCATGATGAGGAGACAGTCAATCACCTCCAGTTACATTGTAGCATGGCCAGGGACTGTTGGGATTTGATGTTTGGCTTGTTTAGGATCCCTTAGGTCATGCCGTGTTCCTCTAGAGGGCTGATTGAGGCTTGGAGAGGTTTTTTCAGTAGGGGCCCTCATTCAGGATGCTTGGAGGGCTACGCCTCTTTATATTTCGTGGAGCATTTGGCTCGAGCGAAATTGGAGATATTTCAATGGAAAGGAGAAGCCTATTTCTATGTCTAAGTTCTCTATTATTTTCACTCTTTTTTGTTGGGTTTATGGAAGAGACTATAAATCTATTGAGAAGATTGTTATTTTTTTGGCCTCTTTGGAGGCTTGAGGCGCTTTTTGGCCTCGTGTTTTCCTTTGGGTTCCGCTCCCCTTTTGAGCGTCTTTCAATAATTTTACTTATCCAAAAAAAAAAAAAAAAAGAGCCTATATAGCATGAAAAGCTGCCAAAGAGACCCTAAAGCATCAGCCTTGAACAATCCAAGAAGTAATAACCACAATACAAGCAAACATGTCGCTTCATACAAGTATCAGACCATCAAAATTCAAACACAAATTATCATCCATTTTACATGTGGGTAATGAGTGAAAAACCCAAATTAATAAACCCAAATGCATCGCTTAGAAAAAGGTTATACCTTTGAATGAGTGAGGAATGAGAAGAACCGGCGCTGGAGTCATCTGGGTGTGTTTCAGATTGAGAAGAACATACAGAGGAAACTCCATCGAAGCAGAGCTCGCGCCGACCCAAGTGTCTTGGAGTTGCAGAGACGCCGATTACTCGATGAGATTGCATAAAGGGCGAAGAAGAATTGCAAGATAATAGTAGTTGCATTGCTCCAAATTGAATGAAATGCAAAATATTGTCGAAAGAAACAAGTAGTGGACACTTGAACTCAATTAAGTAGATAATGAAAAACCCCAAAATAAAGAGTAGACCACTATTTTACCTTGCATACAGATTTTTTTTTTTTTTTCCTTCTTGTTTTTTGTTTTTCAACCATGTGAAATTGTGAATGTTCATTCGTGTTTTGACTGGGGGTGGGGAGGAGAGAGGGACACAATTTTTTTTATGGATAATGCAGTTAGAAAATAATATGTCTGAATTAAAAAACCTCAGCACATTAAAATCCTATTTATAAAACATTTGTTTTATATTTTCAACTGATGTTTTAAGGGTTGAAATTTTTAAAAAATAAAAAAGAAAAAGTATTAAAACAAAATTTAATGTGTTGAAATATTTTTTAATAAAAAATAAAAAGAAAAAGTGTTAAAACACAATTTAAGTGTGTTGAAATATCTTTTTAATGTTTTAACAAATTTATTCTATACTTTTGTGTTTTAAAATTGAGTTAAAATATAGAACAAATATGTTAAAACATAATTTTAATATTTTAAAAACATTATAACACACTGGGTCACTCTAGTAGATAATTCTGACTCAAAATTAATAAAATGGTCTCAAAGCCAACAATTTTCAAAAACATCATGTAAAAGTTGTCATTGACGTAACTTGGAGTATAATTGCAGTAAAATAATAAGTTACAATTGAAAAATAAACATGTGTTTGATTCAGTTTTTGAAAATTGATATAAAAAAATTGGTAAGAAAACAATTTTATATAATTATAAAAGAGTTGTCTTGTCCCTAAAACAGTTCTTTTCTAATGGAGTTAAAACATTTTCAACTATCAATCAACAAAGTTGTGAGCCAAAAATGTTTCAAGGAGGACACAACTCCTCAAATAACAATTTCTAATCCCATATATATATTAGAGAACAGGTTTGGCTCCCTATTGTAGATGTTTTTATATTGGATTCACATAATATCATTTTCTCAACACCCATTTATCTTTTATTAATGGATACAATTACACCTTAAAATTACATTTTCAGAAAATGAGGATGCAATTTATAAAAAAAAATAAAAATTTGTCGTTTTACTTTTAATAAGGATAAGAAAATAGAGAGAGAGAAAAAAATAGTTAGTTCTTTTTTATCACCTCTTGCGATCATCACAATGCATAAATATTTGCTTGTACCTTTTCTTGCATATAAATGAGCCAATATTTTACCAAATAATATTACTCTCTCTCGTGTTGTATGAACAAGTTATATATTAACATGATATAAAACTGAAGCCCAGTGCTGTGAATCATCTTTGCCTCTAAAACAGCAAAGAAATGTTATTCCTTTGATGTGCACAAACTAAACAAAATGGTCAATAGGCAAACTAGGCTTCATTTGATATTGCTTCTATGCACTTGAAAATTGACTGATAAAATGTGAAAAAAATTCAGCAGAAATCAGGCTGCCCAGTGGAGGTCAGGCATCGGTGCCACATTCGACTATTCGGGTCCACATATCTGGGAGAGGAAATCACTTCAGGAATTGGTAAGTAGACATAGTGAGTGTTGCATATTCCAACAGTAATGCCACTATATCCAGCAAAAGCACCATGGACCTGCAAAGATCATACGTGTAAATTATGATTGTCCCAAGAGCAAGGTTAAGATGACCAAGGAACAAGATTGATCTTTGATCTTACAGCATTCTGTCCAAGGACAGTGCAGAGTATAGCATCTGAGGCATTTGCACGGATTGCGCGAACCATGTAAGTGGGATCGATGTATTTAACATCAGCGTGAATACCTAACTCCTTAAAATGTTTTTTGATCTGATTGCAAAATTTGTAATTAATATCATCAGATTTGTGATTTTGATTTAACATGAAAAATAGTTGCATAATTTATATATGCAGCAGAAATGTTCAGTGTTAAGAGAACCTAACCTGCTGTTGGATATGGACACCAATATCTTTAAGCACTGCATTTCCAGATGCATTTGTTAAATTCGACTTTTCTAGCAAATCCTGGATTTCAGCAATGTCAAAAAAAGAGAATAAATATTGGGAGATGTTATGCGCCAGTATAATTTCAAAACTGAAACACAGCCTTTATTTTTCTGTTTTCCGGGTGGGTGTGGTGTGTAATTTAGTAGTTTTCTCCCAAAATCAACCATAGGTTGGGCTCCTGTTCCCACCAAACCCCAGGCTCCTAGCAAGGTTCGGACAGTATATACCATGTGATAACTAGTCCTTAAAAATGGATCCTAAAGAAGTTGCAGCAAATATCATATTTTCCACGACATTTCAATCAAATCTCAGAAAGAATATGAAGTTGCTCGAGTAGAACAGCATATAGCATGCACACACATCCCTGCAAACGGGATCACATATTCTTAAGTAGGTCATTTGTCATTGCGTTGCTTGAGCTGTTTTACAAGTTATCTAGATCGTAATGAACTCAACTCAACAAAGTATTTGTTTCCAACTATTTCGAGGTCATAAATAAATTTTATTTGCTACTTTCCACTCAAAAACCTGAACCCGATGGTGGAGCAGAAAGAAGAAATAATCAAGCATCTAATTAGACAAATGGCATGTCATGCATACTGCATCCATTATGCCGAAATAGTTTGACAAAGAACACTTGAAATGTTCTGTCTCTCTTAACATCACTTACTTTAGCAGGGTCCGGGAATGGGTTCGTGAAATCTTCTAGGAATTGTTACCATCTATTAAGAAAAACAAAAAATCCAGGCTTAGACTAACTCATGCCAAGCTTAGACTGTGAGATGAAAAAGGTAATAACCAAGGAAAGGGGAGGGGGGGTTGGGAAGTGGGGCGTTGAAGTATGGTAAACCAACTGCTAATGCGCAAAGCACAATCCAGTATGTCAAGATTTAAAAATCGATAAAGAAACAAATCCTGAATAAAGTTGAATATGCATAATGTAATAATAACTTACTTGACCAGCTCCTTCAGCCACACATATCACGGCTGATCCTTTGGTCTCTATGAGATACTTTAAATGCCTTAAGACACCATAAGGACCATCTAAGTTAAAGGGTACCTGAATCAAAATACTTTAGAAATTGTCTTGAATTACAGAAAATGACAAAATTTAGAGATCAGGAGAGCATCAGAAATGTTACAAACCTCAGGAATCAAACAAACATCAGTCTGACCACTAGCTAGTGAAGCATGCATCGCTATGAAACCGCTGCTTCTTCCCATCAATTTGACAATACCAATGCCATGATATGCACTGCGTGCCTGAATGCATCAAAATTCAACGACATTGCACCTCATCTCAAAGTGCTCAAATGGATAGTTTTAACCTTATCTCAAAGTGCTCAAATGGAAAGTTTTTACAGAAACTACCCAATTAGAGAACTAACTTTAGTATTTTTGTAATAATGTTAGAAATAGTGAACTCAAAGTCATCAACCCCAATCCTTTTATTACCTCAATATATGCAGAACTTATTGCCCGTTGAGCTTCTTCAACAGCAGTATCAAATCCAAAGGTTTTATCCATCAAAAGAATATCGTTGTCAATAGTTTTAGGGACACACACAACAGAAACTTTCATCTTCCTCCTGCGGCACTGCATGCAAGAAACTGTTTTATAAGCCAAAGAAACAATCATATAGGTAATTAGACTATTCCACAGCCACGGTCTACTTATTGCATACATATTTTTCACACTGTTAACATTACAATAATGGCATGCGAAAGAAATAATAACCATTCAAGGATGACAATTTTTTTAATTAGCAGCTGCAGCTAAACCTAGATTTCCAGTTCTAACTTCTAAGCATGGAGAAACAAGGGTTTTAATGGGAAAATGGCCAATGTAAAACCTATAGTCACATCTCCGGAACATGAATGTATATATTGCATGTGGATATAGACAGAGCTGAATAGGAAAGGAAAATTTTGAGGAAAGTAGGATTCTCGAAACTGACTATTTTCCCCCAAAACCTTTCCTGCACAAAACACACAAAAATAAAATTTTACCGTGAAAGGAGCGACTACTTTTCTAGGTTCCTATTTTACCCAACAACTTCATTCTCTTTTTATTGGTCTTGAAAGAACTGCACACCAACAAGGACTTTCTTTTCCTATGGATGATTGTTTTCCATTAGATATGGAAATCAAATAAATAGTAGTTTGTTGGGTCTGTATTAACTTAAAAAGTCCATCCTTTTTTATATGTATTATTATTAATTAATTTTTTTTTAGTTATTGATATCATTATACTCAAATTCATTCATTTACAAAATTATCGAAATATAAAATTTCTCAAACTTGTATACATTTTTATTCGTGGACCTTATTACAGGTCAATTAGATATTAAATATAAGCAATCAACAATTAGCTAAACAATGGGTATAGAAGGACCAATGAAACACAAATTTATTTTATTACTAGGCTATTTTATACAATAAGGGCAATTTAGGTAAGTACAAATATTTTCTACTAACTTTCTTTCTATCCAAACTATCAAAATGATATTTTTCTCCAACTTTCTTAGAAAAAATTTCTTGCTAACCAAATGCATGCTAGAAAATCACTTTTCTTTTCATTCACTTCACTGTTCTTTTCATTTTCCATTTCCTTTCTTTTTTGCTATTTCTATCTAACCAAACGGAGCCTAAGTACGTCAATGACAGAAAGTATTATGATTAAAATGATTTAGAACCATCTGACATAAGATTGCCTTTACCTCTCACTGTCTCAAAACTTCTAAAAACTAGATGGTCCAAACTCATTTTTCAATGACACAAAAACAATCCGATATGTTTGATCTGAATATCTGATTATAGGACATATCACCAATAAAAAATTAATAACATAAACAGAGATAGCAGTATTAACAAAGACTCCTCACACAGTTGCCTTCTAAGAATCCACAAAATAACACACATGACAAAATTTTAAGACATAAAAGTGTTCAAAATGAGCTCATGAAGAAAGAGAATTCCCAAGGCATTCAGATTTAAGCCAGATAAATACCCAGATAAGCTCATGTTGAAACAATATAAGTGGCATTTAGATCCCTTCCCCAAAAGAAAGAACTTGATAAGTGAAGACATTTTCCTAACACAGATACCACAAAGTATAGAGATATATGTCAAAGAACTGCATCTGACATGGACTTTTGAAATATAAATTAAAAAAAAGAGAGTTCTTAGTTAGGATTTGGCATAAAATATAAAGCAACAGATGGACCAAATAACACACTTTTAACTTAATACTGAAACCTTTAAACAATCAAAGTTTCCTTGAGCATCAATAAATTGATTTCAGTACCTCATTGTGTATCGCATATGCTCCAGCATGAGTGCCATCGCCACCAAGTACGAAAAGCATATCAATTCCCTTGGCCTACAGTACATAGTTACCATTCCTTATGAAAATATAAGAAAAGCTGATAATAGCTGCTTATTCCACAAAACCAACCCTACATAAAGTGACAAACAGCAAAGAGATTTACCTCTATGCTATCTACAATGTCACTGGTACTAGCACCTCCACGAGAAACTCCAAGAAAACTTCCACCAGCAAGATTAATGTTTTGAACCATTTGTCGTGAAAGCTGGAAAAGTCAAAACCATCAAATGACAACTCCAAGATTATGAATGAAAATAACAGTGCCAATAGTGTATGTCCTGTCAAGGACTCAAGAGGCGGATCTCACCTCAATCTCAGGTATTTCATCAAAAAATCCCCGGTAACCATACTGGATCCCAAGAATCTTCTTAACCCCATAGAGTTCAAGAGTGAAAACAATCTGCATAGGCATGAGATATGTTAGAAGTACTTTTCTAATGGTCTTCTGATAGTGTATCAGAATTCAAGGGAATAATAAGAAGTATTTAATGAAAATTCAGTTTAAAAAGAGGTGCATAGGTTTTGTATTTTGAAGGAAAGGATGTGTGAACTGGGATTGTTGCATGAACTTGCATCGTGGGATCACACAGATTTAATATCTTCACTGCCAAATCCAAATATGTCTAATATAACAATTAACAACATTGTATATTGTGTTTTCCCAAATATTAAAATTAGAATTTCAGTTTCTATTCTCCAATTTGACGATATAGAGTTCTAACTAGCATGTGGTAAAATTACATAAAGTAATTTTGTTTTTAACTTTTATCTATGAATGTAAGGGCTATGTTATATTAACTGTTATTAATGAGTGAAGTTCCCTGACACATGACTCTTAGTTACGTAAGCATCTATGAGCAATATCCAACAATTCAAATTTATTGTTTCATTGTAGAAAAATCTAATATTCAGGCTGCCCAAACCCAGTGCCCTTGGGTTTGGGGATTTGGTAAACTCCATACTTTAAACATAATCAGACCCACCACACATACAGAGACCATCTAAGATGGACATAGCATAGAGAAGCTACCAAGTGAACAATGAAACAAGCACTTTAGATTCAAAAAAAAAGAAAAAGATAAAGAAACGAAAGGTAACATAAATAGGTCAGAATCATTTGATATCTGCTCCTAATTAGTATAACCACAAAATGAATTGCACATCCACTATCCAGTTGTTATTTTCCAGATTTACACTGTTCAGAAAGGGATATGGTATCTCCAGAGTGAAGTCACTGGAGGTGGCAAGTTTCCAATGCAAAAGTTAAATTTAATGATCATAATGAGATGTCATTAGGGGACGCAGAGGTGCATCTAAATGGAATTTCAAACATTAGAAACAGCATGCATCATATGTGGCCTTTAAGAAACTATCCGACTCCTGGCAAGGGAAGAACAGACAATATATGTATTTCTCTCAGTTTATAGTAAAGCTTTAGTCCTAGGATGGTAAATTAAAATATATATATATATATATATAAAAGAAAAGAAAAAAAATAGAGAAGAAATAGAAACTGTCATACATTTATGTTTTTAATTTACACACACATTACTGTTGGTTGTCCTTGTTCTTTGTTTGTCTACAAGATTTAACGTTGCTCAAATTGAACTTAAATAAATTAAGGAAAAAAAAACACTGAAGACTTTAAAAAATGTTTCATGGTATGCATTGAAAGAATTTCTTAACGAAAAAGAGAAAAAAGTATATTCAACACAAGTATAGAGTGAAATCAAGATTTCATCAATAGTTAAGAGCTCAGCATTACCTGTCTAATGACATCATTAAGACCAGGACAGAGACCTCCACAAGTAATGATTCCAGCTTTTACTTCCCCAGGATCAAAGTATATTTGCTTACGTGGCCCAGCACGATGTACCCTAAGTGAATTGGGAATAATTAGTCCGTATAAAAGTTAAAAACAAACCTTATGGAGTATGAAATGATAAGCTGCATAATTGAATAAGAGTGTTCATGGATCAACTCAAATTAATGAAAATGCATTAAGCTGTACACCATGGTAATTGACCAGGAAAAAATCAAGTTAAAATAATATAAAAAAATAGAATTTCACGTGTTTTTATGGTCTTTTTACCACAGGAACGGGGGTTCTAAGTGCGAAAGCTACAGTACCTGGGACAGAAGGCAGAGATAGGAGTACAACAGTGTTTAGGATTCAGACAAATGGGTTATTTGCAAGCTAGCAAATCATAGAGCTAGAAAACATACATCCTCAAAAAGGTCAGCTAGTTCAGGGCATATTGCAGTCTACCAGATCTCCATGACATTGAAGTTTGTGGGTGTCTTTTTTGGTACGAGTGCTTCATTACCATCTATAGCCCTTCTAAATAGTGTTACTTTTGTCCAATGCATAATTGTTTCAATGACCTTTGTTGGAAATCTTATTTATAAGTTGACTCAACGATTATGGCAGATTTATTGGGTCTTCAATATAGGCTAATTTTTAGGGATTTTATTTTTATTCTGATTTGATTTTATTTGATTTTATTCTCTTTATTTTGATTTGATTTTATTCTCTTTTCCATATTTGTAATTTTCCGCTTGTATATAATGATAGTCAGGCTTTCAAATTGAGTACGCCAATTTTACCAAGTTACTTTTTGGTATCAGAGCCTCAAACCTACGCCTCCCCCATCTCTCTCTCGTCACCGCCTCTTTTAATATCTCTCTCTATCTCGTTACAGCCCCTTCCCTATTTTTTTTTCACAGACCTTCTTTCTTTTTCAGGTCGCTGTTGCGACAGTCCTAGGGTGAGTCAATCTCCTCTAGGTTCGACCCCTGTAGGGGTATTCCCTTAGTCTTTTTCATTCACTAAGGGTCAGAAGACGTGTTTGTAATTTTTTGGGCTACCGGGATATTCGGCAGCATTTTCGGATCAGACCGCCGTGTCTCCGGCTTCTTGGTTTGATCAAAATCAGGTTTATTCCTCCTTTATTTGAAATTATTGATAATCTGTTGAATTGATCTATTTAATATTATGGCTGAATTAAGTAATAATAAAGAAACTCTCTTTTCGGCGCAACACACACCGGCTCAACGAGTTACTAGTGTGCTGTTGAATGGCCGTAATTTTGCATCCTGGGCTCGTTCCCTCTGCCTCTATGTTGGTGGAAAAGGCAAATCAGGGTGGATTTTGGGTACTGAAAAGAGACCAGATATTAAAGATCCTAAATATGCTCAGTGGGATATGGACAATTGCGCCATTTTAGGATGGATGTTTAATTCTATGGAGGAACGCATTTATAATATATTCATGTTTTATGACTCTGTTAATGACTTGTGGACTGCTTTGAATCAAATGTATGCTCATTCTAGGAATGATGCTCGTATTTTTGAGTTATATCAAGATATTGCTAAGGCCTCGCAGGAAGGCCTGAATTTGTCTGTAACTGATTATTTTGGGTATTTGAGATCTTGTTGGGAGGAACTAGCTCAATATGAGCCTCTCAGTGAATTTCCTTCTGAGGCAGCCTCTCTTCTTGTCAGACGTCTTGATCGTCAGTATACCTATCAGTTTTTTATGGGATTATGCCCAGAATTTAAACCACTAAAGTCTCAGATCTTGAATGCATCACCAATGCCATCCCTGTTGGAAGCCTTTGCTACTGTTGATGGTGAAGCACGCAGGCACCGTTTAATTCAGCCCTTATTTGTTCCTGTACCAGTGTCTGAGCCTGCTGGGGATAGTATGGCTTTTGCAGCCAACTTTGGATCACGAGCTTCTGGAGGTCAGATTATTTGTCACCATTGTGGAGGGGTTGGACATGTTAAGGCTCGTTGCTTCAAACTTCATCCTGAACTGAAGCAAAAATTTTCTAGGAACCGTTTATCTGGAACTGGTTCTTCTCGTACTGCGGTTGTTGCAGAAACTCCTGTTACTACTGGTGGATCTACTGTATTTCCTGGACTGAGCCAGCTTCAGTCTCAGATTAGGCAGATCCAGGACCAGCTTGGCTCCCTTGCTTCTAGAGTTAGTGCTCCTTCAACTGCCCACTGCAACTATTGCTACAGGTACTTGTACTGCATTTCATGTTAAGGCCAAGTAGCCCACTTGGATTCTTGATTCTGGGGCCAATGATTACATGACTAGTGAGTTATCAGTCTTTTCTTCTAATGTCATACCTGTTACCCAATCTGTGTATCTTGCGGATGGCTCTACATCTTACATTCACAGTAAGGGTGATGTTTGTCTATCTCCTAATATTACTCTTTCATCTGTCCTTCATGTACCTAAATTTGCCTTTAACCTTTTATTTGTTAGCCGGCTTGCAAAAAACCTCTAATATGCAGTTATATTCTTACCGAATCACTGTTTGTTGCAGGACCTTTGTTCGAAGAGGATTTTTGGCAGGGGTTTTGAGCGTGATGGGCTTTACTACTTTGGGGAACCACCAGGAACGAGTCTTCAAGCTTCTGTCCTACCTACTTATAGTGTTTTTGATGTTTCTTTTCGCACTTTTAGTCTGTGGCATGCACGTTTGGGGCATATAAACTTTCAATATCTATGTCTATTGTTTCCTTCGTTAAATAAAGCATGTAAGGACCATAAGTTTCAATGTGAAGTTTGTGAGCTTTCTAACATACTAGAACTAGCTATATTTCTCATATGAGTCGTGCTCCTAGTATGTTTGATCTTATTCATTCTGATGTCTGGGGCCTTTCCCCAGTTACTGCTTTCTCTGGACATCGATATTATATGACATTTATTGATGATTATTCTCGTTGTACTTGGGTTTATTTATTGAAAAAGAAATCTGATGTGTTTCTTTTATTTACCCAGTTTCTTCAAATGATCAAAACCCAGTATAACACTGTTGTCCGTAATATTCGTTCTAATAATAGACGAGAATATGTTTCGAATGAGTTCCGATCTGAACTTAATAAAAAGGGGATTTTACATCAACTCACTTGCCCCTATACTCCTGAGCAAAATGGCGTGGCTGAACGCAAAAACCGTCATCTTATGTCTGTGGTCCGATGTCTTCTGAATGGTATGCATGTGCCTAAATTCTATTGGCACGTGACTGTTCTTACAGCTACTTTTCTGATTAATCGTACTCCCAGTCGAGTTTTGGGTGGTAAGGCAACACTTCAGATTCTCCAGCCTGATTATACATTATTTCACCTTCTGCCTCGTGTTTTTGGCTGTACTTGTTTTGTTCATAACCGTAGTCCTTCTCGTCATAAACTTGATGATAAATCTATTAGGTGTATTTTCTTGGGATATTCTGCTATGTCAAAGGGCTATCGTTGTTATGATCCTGTGACCAAACATATATATCATTCTCTTGATGTGACATTTCATGAAACTGTTCCTTTTTATAGTACTAATTCTGTGGTACAAGATTCTCTCTCTTGTGATCTGGAGAAGGAGATTTCTCTTATTGCCCATCCTGTTCCTCTCTTTGAAAATCACACTGTCCTGGAATCTCCTTCTCCATCCATGCCGGGTTCCCCTCCACCTTTGCAGGTCTACTCTCGTCGCCAACGCACGCAACCTCCCCTACCAGAATCATCTTCAGAACCAGGTCCAGGTAACTCTCCTTCTCCTATTGCTCCTACAATTCCTGAGCGTACCTCCCGTTATCCTACCCGTGATCGTCATCCTCCTAATTGGTATGGTTTTTCTAGTAGCACTAACCACCCTATTTCCCAGTATGTCTCCTATGATGGTCTTTCAGGTGCATATAAATCCTTCCTGGGCAAGATTGGGACTGTTTCTATTCCTCGATCTGTGTCAGAGGCCCTCCAGGATCCCAATTGGGTGTCTGCCATGACAACAGAAATGGATGCTTTACACCATAATAATACATGGGAACTTGTTGCTTTACCTTCTAGGGAGAAAACGGTTGGCTGCAAATGGGTTTTTAATGTGAAGTACTTAGCCGATGGTTTTATTGATCGGTATAAGGCTCGGTTGGTGGCAAAAGGCTTTACTCAGATTCCGGGCAAAGACTTTAGTGCTACCTTTGCTCCTGTGGCTAAGTTGACGTCTGTGCGACTGCTTGTCTCCTTGTCTGCTGCCCATTGTTGGCCTTTGCATCAGTTAGATGTTAAGAATGCATTTCTTAATGGAGACTTACTTGAGACTATATATATGGATCCACCCCCTGGATTTCGGGCTAAGGGGGAGTATGCTGGGAAAGTCTGTAGGCTACGGAAGTCTCTTTATGGTCTGAAGCAATCTCCTAGAGCTTGGTTTAGTCGTTTCAGCGATGTTGTTTTATCCATGGGCTTTGTGCGCTGCCACTCAGACCATACTTGTTTTATTCGATGTCGCTCTGATGGTCGTTGCATTATGTTATTGGTATATGTGGATGATATCATTATTATAGGTGATGATGCTTCAGGGATTGCTCAGGCGAAACTTCATCTTCAAAAGTCCTTTGATGTGAAGGACTTAGGTCCTCTTCAATATTTTCTTGGAATTGAGGTTGCTAGATCCCGTCGTGGAATTTCTTTATCTCAAAGGAAATATATTTTGGATCTTCTTCAAGATACTGGCATGCTTGGGTGTCGACCCGTTTCCACTCCTATGGACCCCAATCTCAAACTCTCTGTTGAGTCAGGGGAATTACTTCCAGATCCATCCGTGTATCAACGTTTAGTAGGTCGTCTTATCTACTTGACTAACACAAGGCCCGATTTGACGTTTGCTGTTAGTGTGATTAGTCAATTCATGCATGCCCCTCGCTCAGCTCATATGGATGCAGTCTACCATATTTTGAGGTACCTTAAGTCGTGCCCTGGTCTTGGTTTGTTCTATGCCTCAGGAAATCAGTCTGGACTCTCATGCTTTACTGATGCAGACTATGCTGAATGTAAGACAGATAGACGTTCTACCTCTGGCTTCTGTACTTTCTATGGTAATCATCTCATATCATGGAAGAGTAAGAAGCAGGCTGTTGTTTCTAGATCCTCTGCTGAAACTGAATACCGAGCTATGGCTCAAGGTACTTGTGAGCTCCTTTGGCTTCAATCAATTTTGGGAGAGTTGGGTCTTGTACAGAAAGGTTCTTCAAGGCTGTTTTGTGACAATAAATCAGCCATTATGCTTGCTTCTGATTCTGTTTTACATGAAAGGTCGAAACATATTGAGGTAGACATTCACTTTATTCGAGAGAAGGTTCGATCAAGTATCATTAATCCTATTTTTGTTCCTTCTTCAGAACAGACTGCAGATGTGTTCACAAAGTCTGTTGGGCCTTCTCTTCTCCAGTCTTCCATAGTCAAGCTGGCCTTAGTCAACATATTTGCTCCAGCTTGAGGGGGAGTGTTGGAAATCTTATCTATAAGTTGACTCAACGATTATGGCAGATTTATTAGGTCTTCAATATAGGCTAATTTTTAGGGATTTTATTTTTATTCTGATTTGATTTGATTTTATTTTATTCTCTTTATTTTGATTTGATTTTATTCTCTTTTCCATATTTGTAATTTTCCGCTTGTATATAATGATAGTCAGGCTTTCAAATTGAGTACGCCAATTTTACCAAGTTACTTTTACCTTCATACAGACTTCTTAATGATTCCACAGTCTTCCAGAATCCTAATGCTAGAACATAATTTGCTGAGATAACAACCCACGAACATCTTCGAAAAGTAAAGGATTCAGTTTTTGGCCTGAGTTTCCAAAACCAAATTGCAGTCCACCAAGATTTCCATGACATGGCATGAGTTCCTCTGCAATATGTATGTTTTCTTACCAATGGTCCGTTGCCATTTCTGGACCTTCTATCTGTCCAATGCATAATTGATCACAACAACCTATATGCAGAATTTTAAATTCCACAGTAGTCAAGTACAAGATTTTGACCCCATATTCACAAGCAACCATGACATGCTCCTCAGTCCCAGAACGTTGTTCTCAAATTAGTACCCCAACATAATGCTATATTGTGTCACCCCTAACTTAGCTGCTTGCCAAACTATGATTTTCTTTCCCAAACCCATCTGAATCAACCTTAAGCCAACCCCAGGAGGAAGGACCTCTCTTGACAAGTGACCTACTTCCACACTCTTGAGTGCTGCTGGAAACTTAACAAGGGCATCGCAGGCTGTAGTGGGAAATACTTGGAAAAAGCTTCATGACTTCAACTGTGAAAGGTAGTATTATTGATAATGATTCTGCTATTTTGGTTTTTTCTCAAGACTTAAATAGCAAACTCCAAATTACAAGATTGTATTTGATTGGAATGATCGGAATGCCTTCTGTATTTGAGACATAATGGTCTTTAGAAATTGTCATGCTTATTAGAGTTCACAAGTTGATCCTTAACATTCTTAATCTGGAAATTCTTACATGCAACACGTCAATACATCTTGATTTATTAGGGCATTACCAATGGTGTTCCGTCAAGGATGATGGGAAGGGAGAACCAGGAAAAGACCTAACCTCCAACTTTAGTTGCATGAAGTGACTGCCCTCAGATTTCGAATTGTATTCTTATCCTTGAGAGCTCAAGATTTTACCACTGCACCAAAATAATTTCTCACACTGAAATTGAAGAGACAGAGAGAGAGAGAGAGAGAGAGGCAACAACCAGTTAACACTATTATGTTAAGTGACTAGCACAGACCTCGTAGACTCATACAGGTTAGACACCGATTTTTTCATTCTTCCCAAAAACAGATAAATTCTGACGTCTACTTAGGGTGACTATTAATAAACCAGAAAATTGATCATACAACTTAATCTCACATTTTGGATTCAGATAGAAGGTTTGCAACTCCACCAAATTAGGCTTTGGAAAGCATTTTCACACATGTAGCATGGGCACTCCAATAGTAGGAGAAATAATTCAAACATGAGAAATTATATACACAAACCAATTATTTTAGAATAGCATGCCATTAAAAAGACGAAATCAATTAGAATATTTTCCAAACAAAGCCGATGAAAGGGAAAAAAGAAATAGTGAAACAAAAAACAGAAGAATGAATGGTACCACTGCTCCACCCAACTGCAATCGGGATCAATGCACTCGGCTCCAGCAGAAGTTGGTGACGAATATTTGATGACCTAACAGGAATGACAAAATGACTAAGTACCTATCACATCTTGTCTCAGATATTTGGGATAATCTGTCATGTTTTATTATGAACTGAAATGCATGCACATTGAAAACTAGTGTGGGCTCATCAAAAATTTATCAGCAATAATTAGAAACAGCAGAACACACCTTTAAAAGTGCTCTGTCATCCTCATTTACATAGCCATGCTTCCGATCCTCAAGGATATCAGTACCATCAACTACTTGTGAACCTCTATCACAACAAAGCGAAATAATCATCATCAGTAAATTGGCTTCATTTCGCAGCTAGCTATCCAAAAAGTGAAAACGAATTTTTAAAATTTCAACATGGCACAGGAGAACAAAGAGCAACAATGATGGACAAGACAAAATGAGGAACAGTCACCTGTATTTTAAAGAAAATGTTGTTGGCCGTGGCTCTATGTTGACTACATCCTTCAGATGAGGCAAATTAAACCTCGAGTCAAAATCCTCTTGAAATTTTTTTTTCCATCCTGGATCAGTGAAGTCAATATCTTGATTTGCATTGACAACTCTAACTAAAGTGTACCGTTTCTTTTTCACTTTCCTTTCCAACATTGTGAATCCCGGACGATCAAGAATTAATGGATAACAATCTCTCCTCAAACGTAAACTATGTTTTGTCGGACTGACAACATTACAGGCATTAATTGAAGAGAAGGTAGCCATTTCTCAAAAAGCTTGATAAGACTACGATAACAAAGCCTGCAGTAAAACAGAATGTGTCAACACTGATACATAATAGCAAGAAGCACCTAACTGCACAAGTTATACCTCTACAAACTACAAAAATGTATTTCCAAAAAGTTCACTTTTTATTTTTTATTTTTCATTTTTCATTTTTAGTAAGTAATACATAAGCACCTATATCATTGGACTCCCAACTGAAAGCAATCTTTGGGATAAACAGGAGTTGGGAACAATAAAAGGAAACTATATCTTTTCTAGTCTACTTGCTGTCTCATAATTTCAACATCCGCCATCGAACCTCTCTCTTCATATGGTCAAATAGTCAGCTAGGGAAAAAAAGATAAGGGAGGAAGGAAATGACAGTGCTAACTTTCCTTTTACTCAAATAACCAATGAAGGAAAAAAAAAGGAATAACACCTAATCCCTTCACTTTGTTTGGAAAAAGAAGTGGAGTGAAAGAAAGGCAATGAAACTATGTGATTCAAAAAGGAAAATAGGGATTCAAGTATCATAAAAATATGGAAAAGAGAGCAATCAACACCTCCTCTGTCCTTTCCCTCCATTTCCTCGCACTTACAGTAGGATAGAAAAAATTTGTTAAGCCCTATTCTCTACCTTTCTTTTTCTTTCCCTCCTTTTAACCAAACATGAGATAAATTTTCCTTGCTTTCCATTTCCTTTCAACCCTAAATCCAATAACTCTAGAGCTAAGAATGCATTTATGAACCTCCTGAAAAAAGGGTTTTGGTCTTCAGAGAGACCAAGTATATCTCACCATGATTTTGCACCCTCGACCATTAGATTGAGAACATGCCATGTCCAAGCGCTTGATCCAATAGTTGAGGGCGTGATCCCTCGTCATAGATATTCCTTGTAGACATATGCTTGGTGCATGTAAATTATAAAACCACAATGCTTAAGAAAATGGTCTTAAATAAAAATAAAGCAAAAAAATCTTTTATAAACAAGGAGATTAATCATGCGAAGCTTATTGCTACCGAAGGGGACACCCATTCCCAAGTGTCCTACCTCCACTCTAATTACACCCTAACAAATGTACGTTTGTTTATTTTGTGTTTTTCAAAATCAAATTTCTTCAGTTAATTATCAAGCCCACTGGTGTTTTCAATAATTTCATGAACAAGAATCACTTTTCAACAACTCCGGGGACAAAAACGATGAACAGAAACCATAAAACGCTTCCAAACATGCCTTTAGTGGTCCCAACTTTACAAATCAGATATGGTCTAGCTCAAAAAAACCTTTCTTTTTTTTTTTTTTTTTGGTAATCCAAGAAACCCACAATAAAAAATCAAAACAACAACATTCACATTCTGGGTTCAGATGGAAATCATGGAACTGATACATGTATATATAATTATGAATATTGTAATGCATATTTATACAAAGATTTTGAACAAAACTATTTAGTTTTGATTGATTTTCGAGAACATACCTCAAATAAACTCTACAGAGATGAAACGTCAAATTGCTCTGTTTGTTTCCGAGTTTTAATGAGTGAAATCGTATGCATTGTTGGAAGCAGAAGCAAAGTTGACAACTTCGACATACAACATGAAATGTATTAGGAGACTATTCTATGTACTACATTGAATGAGCTATCAATTTTTGTGATTTCGCATGTGAGCATTTCCTATTTGGCTTTGTTTTCTCCTGAACATGAGATTGTTTTTCCTTATCTTTTCTCAGGGGACTGCGGGCAAATGGGCCCATGGGTTTTCGCCATATCATCTTGGCCCATTCAAGATGCTTACATGACAAAAGTTTTTGGGCCCATCCAAAGTGTTTTATTACAAGTAAAAAGAAAAGCCCAATGTTTAGGCATAGGAAAGATGAGCCACAGACAGATAATAAGCCCATAGAGTTAGGTGTAGGCTTACCAACTTAACATGCCCAACATGATGAGACTGTTTTGTGTTTATGGACTTCAACTACTTGTTGCCATTCTTTGGCTCGGTGTTTTGTGCTCGTGTGGCCACTTTTTAGTTGGAAGGTCCACGGGGTTGAGAAATTATTACACAATTCCCGGGGTTATACATATAATTAAAAAATTTGAATAAAGTTGATACATTCGATACCATGTAGTCTCATATCATATAAAAAATCTCCATGGGCGTTTTGTTCTTTTATGCAATACTACTTTATTTACCCACCCAAAAAAGATTTAAAAAAAATTCACAATGGTTTGGCTGTTAAGGAGCAGCCATAAATATTTCACTTTCAGCTATTTGTAAAACAAATTAGATTTTTAAAGCTGTTGGTTTAACATCGAAAGCAATTTCTAACCTATTAACATATCAATGCTACATAATCTTATGTTCAGGAGTATCAAATCAGCGCATTAAATTTAGAATTGGAAAAAATTCAGTTTAAACTTTAAACTGATTTCCCTCCTATTTTAATTTCAAATCACCGATTTAGTGCTTCCAAACACATCATCCAAGTATTTGCTAACCACATTTAAAATGAAAATTTTAAATTTGTCATATTTATTAAGACTGTATTCAACCCTTTAGAATTGGGATAGAAGGAATTAGATAAAATTTTAATTCAATTTTTTAAATTACTTTTTTCAATTTCACCGATTCTAATTCGTAGACTCGTTTGATGTGAACTCTTATACTTTGTGCGATCATTATAAAGATGTGTTTTAGACAGGCAATGCCTCACTGTCCAACCTTATCAGTTGGTTTAGGTGAGCGTTACAAAACCTGCACCAAGAAGCACCTCTCATCAGTTCCAATGAAATTAGATAGATGATGTTCAAAGCATGACTCTGCCCTATATTTATGATTCTCTAGAAGAAGATAGAATCGGTTATGGTTTTTTGCCCTTAAAAGGTGCACAGATGATCCATACACTTTGTCTTTTACGCCTAATTTAGGTAACTAAATGACATTTAAAAGTAAATAAACACGCCAAAATACCACAACCACCTCTGATATCACACATTTTGTATACAATCACCATTACCAACTATAAATAGTACCCTCAATTCATCCAATTCTCATCCATCTCATACACACTCAAAACACAAGCATTACCAAGCCATTTCACAAGAAGCTAGCAAATATGAAGGGAGCGGCTATAACTCTGCTGGTGGTGCTAGCAATGGCTCAGTTCATGGCAAGCCCTGCGCGGGCGGCCATCAGCTGTGGCCAAGTGAGCGCGGCTCTAGCACCGTGCCTCACCTACCTCACCCAAGGCGGTACCCCATCCGGACAATGTTGTACCGGTGCCAAGAATCTGCAAGCCATGGCTCAGACCAAAGATGACAGACAGACAGCATGCAGGTGTGCCAAGGACGCGGCTACGCGCAACCAGAACATTAAGGATGATGCTGCAGCTCAGCTCCCTCAGAAATGTGGTGTCCAGACCACCATCCCTATCTCCCGTAACACTGACTGTACTGCGTAAGTCTTTCTACTCGTACAATTCATTTAAAAGCTTATAATAAGAGAAATGCTAAGTGCGGTCGTGGCTGCATAAAGCACAATCTTAAATATGTGGACTCTACTATTAGACTGTCGCGATTGTGCTTAGCACGACTTTTCATGTTTGTTGCAACTAATTTTTGTGTTTTATTTGTTGGTTTGCAGTGTCAACTAAGGAGGAGATGTCACAGAGTGAAACATATGGTGTGAGGGGATTTGGTTTTAGCCACCCCTTTAATAATATACTATGTAGTTAACACTGCTCTTCAGTTGAGGTTGTCCTGAAGGAGAAGCTATGTTGTATTGTTATATATACTATAGTTTGCTAAACTTGTGGTTGTATGGTTTGCTTAACATGCATGCATGCATGTTAAATAAAATTATATGGTTTGTCTCTCTCTGTGTCTCTCCTCTCTCATGCATCCAATCAACAAAATTTCCCCAAATTAATCATACTGATTATGTGTGAGTATATATGATTCTAATAAAAATATTCAATGGATTTTCACAGCTTTGGATCATTTCCAAGATAAAACACACTTTGCACATATATATATACAAGGGAAATGATTTTGAGGCGGAATTTTTGGCCTATTCATCAAACGGAAGCAGTTAAGGTCTTTGATCACCTAAAGTAGGACCTATATTTGGTCACATCTTGGGACTCTAAAGACCTTGATAACTTCAGCTTCATGAATAAATCAGAGTATTCGGTCAGAATAGTATGACTTTAAACAAAAATAATAATAATAATAATAATTTATTCGAGTGATTAGCTAAAAATTGACTTGTATATATATGTGGTTATTTAATCATGTATCATCTTTTAATCCAAAGGGATGAACTTTTGAATCATGGGTGACTAGTATTGCAGAACATGCTACTAAACAACTTAATTTTGAAGCAAAATGTTAAGGAAACAAGCTTTTATAACTATGAATCAATATCATAATAAGGAACAAAAAAATAAAAATGAAAATGGAACGAAATTCTAGTTAAGAACAGGCATTGAAATATTTGCAGTATTAGTTAATAAAGGGATTGGTAAAAATAATGTTTCAAAGTACTATGTGATGCTCTGTTGGTGTCGAAGAAAGTTTACCTCAAAAAATTCAGAGGTGGAAGAGCTTGTCGTTAATTAATGAAGCCACTGATACTATTAAGCATCAGACGAAGGTAGTAATTTAAACAGTCTAGCAAATATGAGGATATATATATATATATATATATATATATATATATCCTCATATTTGCTAGACTGTTTAAATTGTATATATATATATATATATATATATATGTATGTATGTATATATATATAATAGAAGGGAGTTGATGATGGGAAACTAATACATTTTATCAAAATCAGATTGTGATGGTAAAGTTACTAATATGTTGCAAATCATAGTTATGGAATTGGAAAGGTCAGTTAAATTAACAAAGGAAATTAAAATTACGATAACCATCACATCCAGTAAATGTGGATAAATATTGCAATGAGAAATTATATTTTAGACACAGTGAATGTAAAGAAAAACATACCAAAGAGATTATTATGGTTATTAGGAAAGTGATATGGACTTTGAATACCTCTGGTATTATTGGAGTTAGATGTATCTTGATGGGGGGTTTTATAGTGAAATATATTTAAAAGACGTTGTTACACACCCTACTTACGTGATTAAGAGTTAGATGTGTTTGCCTTTCTAATATTTTAATCAAGAACTATCTCCTCTAAAGAGTTATACTCAATGATATAGCTTCTGTTTTTAAAAAATGTTTCCTTTGGAACAAAATCCTAATTATGATTTGGATTTGAATAAAAAAATTGAAAGAAAGCCAAAACAAAAACGATTTCTATTTAAGTAATTCCAAATTCAATAAAATCCTTTTATATTATCATGTGATTTCAAAACGCTATATTTTGGAAATTGAAATTTCATCAAATTCAATTCTTTTCAATTTTATTAATTCCACAACAGGAATCTCATTTTAGAATTCAAATTCCGTCAAATCTGTGTTACAAACACAATAAATACAAGTCCATAAAGTGGGTGTGTATTTTATCTGAAAAATAACAAGTCTGAGTATAAATTTAGTAAATTAGTAATTGATAACAAAATTCGATTGAATAATAAATATCTCATTTACTCAAATCCGATCCACTGAACAAATAGTCAAATAAAAATGTGTAGGTAATTAATTCAATTATTATTACCTTAATCTCATACAGAAGAAAGATAGACTTGTGGATGATTTTTTGTGCCGTTAAAAAAAATAAAAAAATAAAAATAAAAATAAAAAAACCAACCTAACTTAATAAGTGAATACCGACTGATATGATAACAATCATTGACATAAAACATCTTGGAAAGAGTTGCACAAAATACCAATTTGTGTTTGTAACATTATTTATCGAGAAATGGAACCAAAAAAACATCTTGGAAAGAGTTGCACAAAATACCGATTTGTGTTTGTAACATTATTTATGAAGTCATTGTATTAGTAGTTAAATTGGTAATGTTACAAAAATAATAATAATTCTTTGACTTTCAAATGAAATATTTATTGTAGACAACAAAAAAATTAGAGTATGGCATTTATTTTGGAAAGGGAGCTCTTATTCGCACGAGGGAGACATTTTATGAAGGAAAACTTGGAGACTTTTTTTTTCATGAGAGAGACCTTTTAAGAAATAAGTCATATAAAGCAGGAGTAAGAGTGAATTCGAAAGTAGAAACTTAAGAACGATATAATTAAATTATAAATAGTAAAAATTTAAGTCAGAGTGTGCGAAGAACAAAAAAAAAATAGAAACGCACTCAAAACGTAAAAGCCTGGCTCATTAAAAAAATTTGTGTGACTTAGCTTAGAAATATTATCTCCAAACCTAATTACTATAAATTATTCATTACAACAAATGCCATGTATTTTGGTCCCACCCACAGACAAATAGTGTTAGAAACATAAAACATTCGATATCTTCCTTGTTATACAAAAAAGCTTTAGAATCATCACCACACCACATTAATCCTAGTCCTAACAAGTAAAAGTCCCCTTTGCCTGACACTTTCTTGTCCAGGGGCTCAAAATTCTCACTACCCTTTTGGCGTCACAGGTAGATCAGTCTCTACCACTACAAACACCAGTTTCATTTTCATTCCTCCGAGCCAAAACTAGGGTTTTAGCCACCAAAGCTAGGGTTTCAAAGATGGTCGCTGAACTTGGAAAGAAATCAAAGGTCGCCGAGAGACCTGAGGAGGACGATCCCGACCACATTGACGGTGAACTCGTCCTCTCCATTGAGAAATTGCAGGAGGTCCAAGACGAGCTCGAGAAGGTTCGCTTCTCACCATCTCTCTCTCTATATATATATGATTATATAAGCCCATATGTCAATTGTAGATTTTCAGAATAGTTATTTATTTATTTAAAATACATAATTCTTGTTGATGTTTGATATCAGTGGTTAGAGGGTCTTGTGTTTATGTGATGAATCATTGTATAAACATGAAAATGGTGACCTCGTTTGCTTAGATCGTGGTGTTAAATGCATTTTTTTATAGGCTTTTTTGTTGGATTTTGATCTTGAATGTTTTCTTATGTTTCGCATGCAATGTAGTTCTTGTTCGAAATTTGCTAAATTCGTGCATGAAAAATGAAGAATTTTCCATTTACCTTCTATCATTGTTTTCAGAGGTTCCTTTTTTGGTTTTCTTTATGAGAAATAAGGAGGGAAAGAAGAGGAAAATAGTTTGGAAGGCATTATTCATGCCCATTGTCTAGCATTTTGATTTCCTAACTTCCATTCATTTGGGGAACCATATAAAATTTTAATTCTTTTTGCATTTATAGATAAGCACAAGGGTAACGAATGGGTAACAAATGGTAGAGCGAAAAGTGTTCCTAAATTTTATGTTTAATGTATTTTTAGTTTTATTTATTGGCTAAAGTTTCATTTTTTCTGCATTATGCGTCATCTGTTTAATGATTCTTGACTTTCTTCTTCTTCTTCTTCTTCTTCTTCTTCTTCTTCTTCTGTTTATGTTTTTTCTTCACTATACTTTGTTTGTTTGTTCATGTAACGTGTAAAATCTATGTTACCAAATTCATCATATTAGCCCAAGCCCCTGTGTTGACATGAGATGAGTATGGGTGTGGGACACAGTTGCAAGTTGCAACATGGCTGTTATGCTCTTATGCCCAAATGATGGGAAAATGAAACTGAAAATTTCATGAGACCCTTGCTGCTGAAGGTAGAAAATCTTTCCGTAAGAGTTAGTGTCAAGCCCATCTATAAAACTTTTATTTGAGTTTGACTAAGTACAAAATTTTGTTTTGAACTCAATGGTCTACTATCATGCTAACTCACTTCAGTTGAGAGGATCATCTATGACAAACTAGAGTGCAACCATCAATGGCCCTTTCCATGCTGGAGGAAAATGTTTTAAACTCTAGATTTATGCCTATCCCTATATTTATATGTCAAGAATTAATAAGGAAGATGGGTAGTATTGTAGGTTAAGGGGATTACTTATATTGTCGAGATTGTTTGAAGGTATTTATGGGAAAACAAAATCCAAATTTCCCAATGCTTTAAGACTCTTTGTTATATGTGGAGGTGCTATATAAGTGACCAAAAAGTATTTAGAAGTTTGTGATATCTTTGCTGAATAAAAATATATATAAAAAACAATTTGCTACTTTAAATAAAGACTTTTGTCATAGATGATGCAATATGGGTACTTTAAATTGTGTGGAAAGGTACCCAACATGGGCTTGATTTGTTTCACAAAGTGAAGCCATTAATTTTTGTTAAATATGACCCCTTAAACAAATAAGAGAAAATGGATAGAGGGCTGATTGTGGTCCTTGTATTTTTTTATTTTTTTTGTTTCTTAATCTTATTCTAGATGGTAAATTCTAATCAAAATAAACAACTACTTAAACAAATTCTGCCATATGTGCAAAGTGTTAAAACAATTATCAACTTTCAATTTTTTTTTTTTAAATATATATTTCTATTGCTTCCTTTTGTTTGTTCATTTTATACTTAAAATCAGTATTACTTGGACTTGTCATACAAACCTAAACCACCAGGTGACCTTGTCAACATGGCATATGTGTGGCATGATACACCATTGCCACTCAATTTTGTGCTCTTTGTATCAATAAGAGATATATCATCGAAAGTAGAAATCTTGCAATTATGGTAATGTCAAGTTCTCTAAAATTGCCTACTTAAAAGAAAAGCAAAATGAAAAAATCGTGTCTAGATTTGGATTGAGTCCAATTAACTGAAAAACATTTTAGAACCAAATGAAAACTATTATTTTAAAGGTAAAAAAAGAGAGCCTAAACTATTGCAAATTTTTCACAAAACCCCTCGAACTAAAAAAAAAAAAACCTTGATCTATCCAACATTTACAAATAACACCAAGTCGTTAGTCAACCGTTAATGGCACAATAAAATTACCGATATGCCCTTATAAATGACTTCCCTCAACTATCACGATTTTGCCACCAAAAAAAAAAAAAAAAAAAAAAAAAAAACCTGAACTTTTAATTTGGTAAAAAAACCCTGAACTATCCAAAAGATTTTCAATAGACATACATATGCATGTGTGTGTGTGTGTGTGTGTATATATACATGTACGTGTACATATGAAAATATTACAAAGAAAACTACTTTCAGTATACATATAATATTTATATATACACACGCGCGTATGTGTACATATGAAAATATAACAAAGAAAACTACTTGCATATATGCAATTTACCCTACATATGCATATATATTAAATTAGTAGATAACTTAATTGCAAAGAAAACTAATCAAAACAATGCAATTTAATAAATGGACCGTCATCATCATCATCCTTGCCTTTATCTCATATGGATGGGGTCTACCCAATGAATTTTCTTTTTCCATTCTTTCCTGTTACACACCATGTCTTCTCTTAAATTTAAGTTTTTTAGTTCATTTTTAATTACTTCATCCGACGTAATGGGTAAATAAGTAATTTAACATTACAAGTTCCATGAATGAAATAACTTGCAAATTTTTTATAGTTTAGGATTTTTTTTGCAATATCAAGGTTATCTGCAAAAACCTATTAGACTATTAGTTCAGGGGTTCTTTTTGCATTTTCTCTTTATAATAATGGAGCATTATGATTACCAATGGGCCATTAGCCTAATGGTATAACCTCTCCTCCCTTAAAGAGGGGGTGAGGGTTCGAGCCACATAGTGGGCAATTTGTGAGAAATGTGAGTATGAGTGCTTACCTAACCAAAAAGAAAATAAATAAATAAATAATGGAGCATTGCAATTAGGTGAGGGGCATAATGGTCATTAAAGCCCAATATTTTTCATGTGCACAAACTTGCATTACAATTTGAACTGGATTATATGGTAGGGACTAGGGAGGACATTGTAAATCTTTTGGATAGTTCAAGGAGTTTTATACCAAAATAATAGTTCATGATTTTTTTATTTTTTATTTTTCAAAACCGCAATAGTTCAATTCATTTTTTTTTACCCGTAGCTAAATGAATTCAGTTCATTGAATTGTTTGTGATAAAAAAGAGTGAATGCTGGTTAAATGAACTATGTTTTGCATGACTTCCATTATAAATTTGACTTTATTGAATTTGTTAATGTCAAATTTGTAATGTAAGTCATGCAAAACATAGGGTTTTGTGCAGTTTATCCTGGGCCACATCCCCCTTTTGGGTGCTCTTTAATGAATTCTTATCAAAAAAGAAAAAAGAAAAATTGCTTTGTTAGAGGTATTAGAACTAGCAGTTATGGAGTGTTAAATATGCTTTTAAGAGCACCTCACCCGATAAGTTTGCACGGCTTAATTTAATGCTACAATGTGAGGGCAGTCATTTGGTAGCATTAAATTAAGCCATGCAAGCTCACCGACTAAAATTAATATATTTCGAATTTGGTTGGAAAAGAAAAATTATTATTTGAATTTGAGGTGAATTAATTTTTTAACCTTAAACATTAATTTACAATCGTTAAATGTCTTAATAATTTCCTTTTTTTTTTTATTCAGCTCTAGATTATTTCGGAAAACCTAAATGGTCACTTATAAGTTAAAAGAGTGGTCCCCACAAAGAATCTTGGGTTTTAGATTTCAAACTGACATTGAGCCTCTTGTATCCATCGATAAGTTGTTGGATCCAGCAACTTATCGATGGATACAAGAAGCTCATTTAATATCGGTGGATATTTACTTATATAAAAAAAAGTTGTTGGATATCCAAGATGAGATCAAGAAGGCTTGCCAATGTTGTGTACTTTAGCATATACATGTATAACTATAATATTAGGTTTCGAACCAATCTAATAGAAAATGAAGTATATAATTTGTCTTGTTAATGTTATTACTCTCACTGGTCAAAAGTTTTCTATTATATTGTTTTTTTTATAATTTATTTAAAATTTGCGATATGACTTTTAGATGGCGATGATTAAATGCATCTGGTGTTTTTACTTCTTTTCAGTCTTAAGATAATAAATTTAAGGTTGGCAAGAAATAAAAGTACCAGATGCATTCAATTGACTTTTCGGTGTAGCTTTTTTTGGGATACGATCCCCGTTTGAGCGCCTTTTATACAATCTTCAAAGCCTTATTTTAAGCATTTTTTCCTTTCATTAGTTCTTATCGAAAAGTCAAATTTGATTTTCCTCCGATAGTGATATGGAAGAAGATCGTCTGACTTTGAGTGAGCTTCATGTATCCATCGATAAGTTGTTGGATATCCAAGATGAGATCAAGAAGGTTTGCCACTGTTGTGTAATTTAGTATATACATGCGTATATAGACATGTATAACCATGACATTAGGTTTCAAACCGGTGTAATAGAAAATGAAGTATATAGGTTCTCCTGTTGATGTTATTTACGATATGGCTCTTTTAGATGGCGATGGTTAAATGAATCTAGTGCTTCTACTTCTTGCAGCCATAAATTTCTTATCTTCTTTTCCTTCAATTGAATTTTTGACAAGAACGAATGAAAGGAAAAATTGCTTAAAAGATTCCCAAGAAAGTAAGTGATTTCTAGAAAGTTTTCATTTCCATTGCATCAACATTTCCAAAGGCTTCATTTTTACTCTTCGTTGGAAGAAAGTCAAGGGAAAGGAAAAATAGAAAAGGGTTAGATGTGGCTTCCCTTTTTATTTTTTTCCTATTTGGTACTCACACACACGTCTCTACTGACACTTGAACCCCTGACCTCTCTTTGAGAAGTAGGAACTTGGTACCGTTAGGCCATTGGCCTGTTGGTGGCTTCCCTTTTTATTCATCTTTTGATATTTTGATTTTGGTTCTTAACTATCATTGATTTAGGCAAACATAGAAAACTAGAAGTACTTGCATTGCAGAAAAACACCTAGGTTTGAATTGAAAAGGAAACGAATAAGACAAGTGGAGACTTTGTGATTCAATAGTCTATATTATTTCCTTATTTTATGTTTCATAATTTTTTTTTGGTTTATCCATTACTTATTTTGAAATTTTCAATTCATTATTCATGAATTTGTTTAGTAAGTCTTAACTTTATCTTTTTCCCTGTATTTTTGCTTTTGCCATTGCTTCCTTTTGTTTGTTTATTTCTATTCCTTGGGCTATTATATCACATAGACTTGTTATATAGCCCCAACTCCCCAATGTGCATATTTGTGCTGCACTATACAGTTAAGTAAAGAGGAGATTTAACATAGCTTCATCCGTGTCCAAACAATGGGAGAAGGCCAACCTTTCAATGAGACTAACTAGGAAATAATTTCCATGTGACAACATTAATGTCAAAGATAAAGACTTATGGTTTTTACTCTCTTTTGTTTGGTTGGCTTTGAAATCAAATTTAACATGCTTTCATAAATTTTGCTTATAAAACCTTTGGTATCCCAAGTTTGCGAAAGCCCAAAATTATGCCCTAATTTTTTCAAGATTCTAAAGAGCATGGAAACTTCCCATATTCTTTTTGCACTTTCTCCCTTCCTTTTTGATTATATTTAAGACAAATAGCCACACTGTGAGGGTTTATTTCCTTCTTATAACTCATATTTTTTGCACGTTACTCTCCTCTTTGGTTTCTTTAGACGAGTAACCAAACCCTGTTTTTATATCATATCCTGTATATTAAGTACTAAGAATTACAAGAATTGACACCACATATACCTACTCGAGGTACAATCTCATGGTCATGTAACCTAGCATTAAGGTATGTAGATCTTTTGTTCTACCAGTTGGATTTTATTTCATAAATTAATTGCAATGAAATCTGAGGCAAGCTAGTAGTTGGTTGCGCTGTTATTAGATTTTAAGGAACATAAAGCAAGCTATTGAATTGTTCCTAACCAATGTAGTGATATGGATTATGTTCATCTTATAAAGATTTTCCTTTGCACTTCTAAATGAATGGTAAACTAAATAACAAATGACATAACTCCCGGTCAAGGTTCCTCTTTGATGTATTTACTTGGTGCTGTTATAGTCTTCGTCTTATTCTTCTTACAAAAGCCATCACCTCAAAAGGTGGGGTAACTCGGACTAGTGCTTCAGAGAGAAGTACAACTTCTGAGCATGGAATATAAGTAATAAAAGGTAGCATGTGTGAACCCTTTGATCTCTCTTCTCTTCCTCTTAAAGACTTAAACTGATGAAATTATTCTAAGCTCTTTTTAAGTTTCCTCTTCCCCTTCCTCTTGCGGCATCGAATATAATCTCTAGAAACCTGATTGTTTTCATTTACACCATACAGGTTAATGAAGAAGCCAGTGACAGAGTATTGGAAGTTGAACAGAAGTATAACGAGATACGAAGGCCTGTTTATATTAAACGGAATGAGATCATCAAATCTATTCCTGACTTTTGGTTGACTGCTGTAAGTGATTCAACTGCACTCTATTCATTTCGTTAAGGACCTTTAATAAAACAATGGTGTTTCTGGAATTTCACATTATAATCACTCTGTCCTTATTTCTATGTACAGTTCTTGAGTCATCCTGCACTAGGTGATCTATTAAGCGAGGAAGACCAAAAGGTTTGCATTTGATGTGAAAAATTATTATACGGAGTATTAAATTGGACAAAACTAATCATTTTCACATACAAACTTCTCCATATATCTTCTTTCTGATATTCAATTAATAGATTTTTTTTTTTTGGTTTAAATTTACTGGGTACTGATTTTAGACTGATGAAGTCCTTTATTCTTGGGCATTAATACCGAATTAGGATGGATATTTCTGTAATTTCACATTTTTCATTGACCCAGATTTTCAAGTATTTAAATTCTCTTGATGTGGAGGATTTTAAAGATGTGAAGTCAGGATACTCAATTTCATTTGTAAGTTTCTTTCCCTACAGTGTTTTTAGTCGTCCTTAGGCATACTTAAAAGAGTGTTTTGATTTCTATATATCTGTGGGTGCTAGTGTGCTTATTCGCTTCTAATAGTTCTCTACTTCTCTTGTTGAGGTGTTGCTAACATTTTGCAATTTACTACAAACTTTCAGAACTTCAAGCCAAACCCTTATTTTGAAGATGCAAAGCTGACCAAAACATTTACATTCTTTGACGAAGGAACGACTAAGATAACTGGTACAACCATCAAGTGGAAGGAAGGCATGGTAATGGCGCTTAAGCTTCTTCTATATCTGATTTCATTTATTTATCTTATAGAAGTTGAATTTTGACACGTTAAGGGCAATGCTAATGGAGTTAATCATGAGAAAAAAGGAAACAAACGGCCAGCTTCTGAAGAGAGGTGCATTTTCTCACTAATTTTATCTCTTTAGTAATGCTAAATTTGTATCAGTAGTTCAAAAATTTTGGTTGGTGTTAGGATATTGGGCAAGTGGGAAGGCCTGGTGGTCTGCCTTTAGTATTCTGCATGGTCAATATTAAACACTGAAATAACAAAAAAAAAAATTGTGACTATGATGCACACATGTCAATGTATAGTAGAAATTTAATTTTATGGAGGTTTTATGCATATCTGCAATTTACATCTTTCATCTATTTGGATGTATACAGAAAAGTTTGGCTGTTCAATTTAAAGTTAGAATCTGAAACAATTTTTTTTGAGTCTTATTATAAAAAAGCATTGATGAATGCCATCACCTTCAAATTAGGGGTGCAACAATTCCATACAAAAGATTTGGGTGCTCTTTGATATTTCCTTGTGATATGTTCATTGTCACATTAATATATTGTTGTAAAACCTAGACGAATGACAAGACTTGCTTATTGCGGCGACCGACCATGCCAAGCCTAACTAAGTTGAGTTTTGTCTTTTTCGAGCTCGGCTTGTTTCACAAGCTTGGACATTGGGCTTGAGCTTAACTTTGTGTTTTAACAGATTAACTTGAGTGCACCTTTAGTGAGGGGAGTGTTGTTCGTGAACAGATTGGTTCGTTTGCAGCAACTCATAAACCAATTTTATTTGTTTTGCTAATTGGGGCCAATATTTACTTTGTGGTCTGTGATGTATATCTATCACAGTGCCACAGTTATTAAGTGAGCATGCAGGTTTTTGGTTTCTTGCTGTATTGCATCTGCATAATATTTTTAATGTCATGCCACTGTTAGCTTTTTTAAAGAGTAATTATATTGTTACTTTTTTAGTGTTAATGAAAAAATATGGTTTTGTATTCCATCATGTTGTTCCGTTTTCCTCTCCTTGGCGTCATAGACATCCAAAATCTGTATTGATATGTTATATGCCACAGCTGCTAGCTTCTTGACTTTTTCTGTCATTATTTTCAAAGAGTCTCTGTTGAATTTTCTATTACACAATGCTTTCTCTATCACAAAAAATAAAAACAAAGTGCAACTGAAAAATCCAATTATGGATTTGTTTTTATTTTTTTGTTAAGTAATTAATTATGGATTTGTTTACTGTCCATAAGTCCGATATAATCTTTTTTGGCTGCATTTTGTGAGGGTCACATTCTGAAGTTAGATCTCACAGTTCTTGTTTCATTAACAAATAACAATTTTGAAGCTTGTTACATTTTTATCTATCCACGCCTGCACAAGTGCATGAGCTGCGAAATACTAAAGCAATGCTGGAAAGGTGTACATGTTCATGATTTATATGTATTAACTATCATTTACTCTAAAAGCTTTAGTTGGTAGGATCGTCTAACACTACCCCTCATGTGTGGTCTTCTTTGGTCCTACTCGTGTTTCATTTTAAATCATAGGGTGACTGATACCATGTTAACCACCATCTGCTCAAGCTTAAGTTGTTATTGAGGATGAAACTTTAGTATTTATATCCTCTAACAATATCCAAGAATTTAGATCTCTGACCTTTAGTTTTTTAATACTAGCCACATTTCTATCTGTGTTCCTTGAAAAAATTCTGCTTTCTTTTTAGTAAAATAAAATTTTAATGTAAAGAGTATGATCATGAGAAACTACAGCCCCCCCCCCCCCCCCCCAAAAAAAAAAAAAAAAAAAGGTGGTTCGGAAAGGAAATATGATTATTTTTTTTTATTTTCATACTGCTGTAATGGACATTTCACTGATTCATTTTGAAAACACACTGTGAATGCAGCTTCTTTACCTGGTTCGGCGAGACTCAACAGAAAGATATTGTGGAGGGGCTTCATGATGAGGTGAATATCTTTATTTTAAATGAATGTGTTACTATTGCATACTACACATTTGAAGCTACTGTTGATACTGTTGGATTTGGAAGTCAAGAGGAGGGAGAGTTCAAAACTTCGTTTATCCAGCTTCCACTTTTTCCTTGCCTAATTTCCACCTTGAAATTGCAGGTGGCAGAGATAATTAAAGAGGATTTGTGGCCTAATCCTCTCAAATATTTTAACAATGTAATTTTTTGTCGACACCTTTATCTTCTTGTTGAATTAAGGTATCCTTCCATTCTTCTTTGGTCTAAGAGGAGGAAATCTGCAATTTTGTTGGTGTAGGATGCTGATGAAGAAGACTCTGATGCAGATGAAGATGATGAAGTGGTAAATTAAGATGAAATTGTTTGACCAGTTACTGTATAATTGTTTGTATGCTTCTCCATTCTCCCGTCTCTCTCACACACACATACTTGCGCATTGAGGGTGGGACTTTTTTTTTTCCCCTCCCTTTGTTAGTTGGAGTTGATTGATTCTCACGCTTACACCTTGTCAATTTTGCTTTGTTGTCAGTGTATAATCATGTTGTCCTTGTCACATTTGCATATATTATACCAGCGTTAACCAGAAGTGTATTGGACTGACTTAAACTTATAAACTGGTGTACCAGCCAGTGGGTCAGTTTGGTTCTTCAAACGGATTGCTTCTGCTAAAGAATACTGAAGTAAATCAGTCTGAGTGAGTTTGGTTCTTTATGAGTCTTAAAGCTCCATACTTTAAGCCTTAGGGATCAAGGCGATGAAAGGTCCTAATTTGGGGCACATACTATATCTAAAACCTAATCTTTTTGTTAATACGCAAGAGAATATTACAGCTTATCTTTTTACGGACAAACATTAGCTTTCATGCATTAGTCATCTAAGTATTGATTTATTTATTTAAATTTACCGACTTTTTACTTTCATCACCAGTCCATTATGTGAATGCGGGAAAACATACTTGATATGTTGTTACTTGACGACTAAATTGAGACCACATTCCCATAGCCTACTATTTTATGCAACCACTGATTTTCTCAACTCTCTTCTGCTTCTGGGGATCAATTGCTGGAAATATTGTATTTAGGTTAGGGTGAGGCGTTATCCCCCATCGATACTCCATTGTCACCCTGTGAATGAACTCTTGTGTTCATTTCTGTTTTTCTTCATTTTCTCTTATAAATTTACATAATTTTGATATATACTGCATCTACGTTCTGTTTGCCACTTTCCTTTGACAATATGCAATATTATCATGCGACTTCAGTCTAAAAGTAATACTGTATATTTATTCTAATTCCGTTCCTATTTCATGACTTTTTAATGATGCCTGTTAATTAGGAAAGAGGTGATGATGACGAGGAAAATGATGATGGCGAAGATGGTAATGAGGAAGAAGACGACTGAACTGTCTGGATGCCTTTTGTTTTGCTCTATTTCATCGCTTTGCTCATGGCAGTGCCATGCATAATTTTCAGTTACTGCAAACCTTGCTGTTGACAAGGATTAAGAACCATATTTTGTCGACTGTGGTAGAATCTTTAGCTAAACAACTTGCTGCTGCTTCAGTTATATACAAATATAATGATATATATATATATATATATATATATCAGGTTTTATGTTATGAAAGACTTATTTTTGCTCTGCCATTGTACTGGTTCTTGCCTCCTTATGACAAATATTTTCTGCAAACATTTGAAACTTCCATGTTTCCATCAAAATGATTAAAATTGAAGTGTAAAGAAAATAAATTTCCATATCATGAGAAATATAAAATCTGATGTACTAATAACAGCAATTGAAATTCTTTTGAAAGAGATGCATTCTTGTATGTGGTGTTATTGTATTTATTCATGAAATAGTTTTTTAGCAACTAATTGTTAATCATTAAATTATTGTTAGAAGTGAGTCTAGAAAGTAGAAATGCATTGCCTAAGTTCAAGTTTAAAAGAAGATAAAATCCCTTATTATGAGAAACAAGAAAGTTTAATATATACTAACAATAGCAATTGAAATTGAATCTATGCAGAAAAGAAACTATTATTATGCATTTGTGTATGTAGTGTTCTTGATTATTATTCATTAAATAGTTATCAGCAACTAATTCTGAATCCTTAATTTACTAGTTTAAATGAGTCTGGAAAATGCACATCTAGGTCAAATGTGATTGGTTTCAAGGTTCCTCTACTATTTTTCATGATTTTCTTCTCTTTTGTATAGCTTTACGATAGTAAATTCCTAATGCCTCTATTTTAAAGCCAACATGAGTCCGTCCGAATCCTTTTGCTTAAATGGCCTGTGCTGGTCCCGCGCATTTATTCTATTTTTTTAACAAATGTGTTTTAGATTTCAACAAATTTGTTTTATGTATCAAATGCGTTGAAACACGATTTAGAAACAAAAAATAATAATGTTGAAAAGAGATTTCAATGCTCTCAAGTCCTATTTTAGCATATTAATTCTAGATTTTAAAACAAAGAACACATGTTGAAATATAGAAGAAATTTGTTAAAATTTAGAACAAATGTGTCGAAAATTTTTATAGCACCGAACATTACAGCAGAGAAATCCGGGCTGTAATAAGAAGCTGATAACATTTCCACTGTCCATCAGAAACTAAACTACTAAGATCTGAACTATAAGCACTTATAATGAGAACAAGAGGGTAAAGCATGACCAAAGACGAGTGAAATTGAGGGTTTCAGAAGCCAGATTTCAGTGTAGGCTAAAAATGTAGTACAGTACACCGTATACATATTTTGGGGAGAAAATTTGTGATTACTTTTCCCCAAGAATCTAAGTCCTATGAATCTCTACTACATGGATCAAGTAGATATAGTAATGTAGTATACAAATTGTGTCTCACCTAAGCAGAAAATAAGGATCAAAATCATCCCAGGTAGAGTCATCTCTAGAAATGTGGATCAAATGGGCAGCAGTAGCACCGGCCATCTTCTCATGTAACTTAATAACCAACGAATATAAGCTCGAAATCAGAGGGTTTCTAAGAAATGGACGGATAGTTTTCCCAAGTTCAACAGCATCACAATGCAGAGACTCACAATCCTCGGGTTCCCCACTAAAAATGCAGTTTGAAAGGGCGTAAAAGCCAAGCAAATTTGCATATAGGGGCAAAAACGCATCCTTATGGTTACCCATACCACCAATCCACTCAATCCCTCCCTGTTTACCAACATGGTCATTGGAGAATGATATCAACTGACGGAAAAATCTCGTTCGCCATTTTTTCAAGAAATTTCTAGCCCAAAGTTTGTCAGGGAAGTCAACTGCCCATGATCTTGAAATTTGAAGCTTCTCCAAGTGGGAACAACAGATCTGACATATCAACAACTTTTCTTCATGATGATTATCGATCTCCTTGTCAAAAACCCGTCTAACAAGATCTCCTCTGGATGTCACATAGTAAGCTGTGTTCAGAACCCATGAGGAAAGATAATTGAAGTACTCGAGCCAGTGACCAAAAATTGAAGATAGATGTTCAAAACTCAATTCAATCACTCTCTCCACTTGGGTTGGAACCACTCCAGTCTCACAGCTTTCTCGAGATTTTTGGGAAGTAAAGCACTTCTGGACATCCATAGCAAGCCTTCTTCTAAGCCCAACATCCTCGTCCTCTAGAAGCTTGATGCATGTGAACCATACATCCAGTATTTTATGTGCATAAATATTGACAGCTTCTTTTGGTTCAGAATAAGAACTTGGATCTTCTGTTTCAGAATAAGAACTTGGATCTTCTGACGGAATTTGGTTATTGAAGACAGAAGACCCGATAAGCTTGGCTTGTTCCAGTAAACCAGATGCAACAATCGACTCTACAGCTGCCTTCCGCATGTTTACAGGCTCTGATGAGGCACTATGTTGTTCAATCAGTTTGACATAATAAGTAATGTAATCGTACAATGCTGATCTCTCCCATTGATCAGGTTGACTAAATCCTTTGGCAATCCCCATCCCTCTGTAAGAAAGAACAGAGCTTGTAAAGTGATCTGCAAACCGCTTTACACATATTCCCATGCAACAGATGAGTGCTTCTCGAGTCTTTATGTGTATTGTGACCTTGTATAAAGAAACCAATTTATCCCAAAACTGGTACACTGAATTACTATCCATGCCACCTACATATGTTGTTTCCGCACATTGTTGTGTGCCCAGTTTCTGAAATTGAAGTAAGTTCCATGTAAAAAGAATTCTTAGAAGGTAATGTGTACATCTGTGGTTCTTCTCCACTGCTAAAAGCTTCATCAGTGTTGGCTGGAGGTTAGTCCTGAACCACCAAGTAATGCTAGTATCATTGATAGATTGATCACCGGTCTCTGTACCAGATGTGGTTGCTTTCACAAACAAAAGAAGCCACTTCAATGTTGCAATTCGAACTTCGTATGATGCATCTGATAAGGAGAATATCAACCTTTCCTGAAATTTAGAAATAGCATTCTCTATTTCAGGTAACACCAACAAAGAAGCAGGTGTAGAGCATTTATGTGGCATCAGGATATCTTCTTCAGCTACTTCTTTAGATGCTTGGAAAACACAATTGAAATAGGAAATTGCTGCTTGTTTGCGAAGTTCTGCTACAGTTGGATCATAATATGATGCCCCTTGAGAAGATTCTACATCTAAACATTCTGAAGATAACTCCCAAAGGAAGTTCCAAATGGCACTAATGCTTTTGCTTGTCTGGCACGTTCTAGCAATACTTAGCATTTTATCTAGCACATTTAAGAAACTGCCGTTGAGGATGGGGCAAGGGCACAATCTGGGACTTCCAATCCATGAACGCATCACAAGAACTGGGATTAAGTCTCCGAGAATCTGATCTTTCTTAGAGAAATCGACAAGGTTTCTACAATTATTATCCAGAAGAGAGCTTAACTGCAGTAGCATTCCATGAATTGAATTAAAAGACGCACAATGTGTTCCATTGGCTGTGCTGAATGCGTCTGATGAGTCTGAAGCTGATCTCATTTGATCCTCCGTACGAGGCAAATCAGAGGCAATATTGAGTAGGACAATTGGTAGTTTCTCATTAGAGACCAATCCAATTAGGGCTCTTGATGCAAGAACACGAACTCGAAGATTGCTTTGAATAGAGCATCTCCTTATAAATGGCATGAACAGGAAAGGGTCGAGGGCATCTCCAGTTTCACTTGTAATTGTAGAGGGCTTGAACCGTGATAAAATGATTAGCACAGGGCACAGGCTTGGGTGCACAACATTTGCAAAGTTGGATTCTGGATGTTCGGAGGACCAATCCTTAAGCAACTTAGTTGCAGCTTTCAGTTCATTGAATAAAAATGGATGCAATGAAGGATACCTTCAGACAAGAAAAATCCAATCAGTTGTAGGTCAAGGGAAACAAAAGATGTTATATTGCAATAAGATAAACAAGCATGCATGATATTAGGGCAAGTTATAAGAATGGAGCTTTACAAATGATGGCTTCTAATGACCCCTTATAAAGCAAACCTCAACTCCATGATTCCCAACAGTGCCAAGAGGTTTAAAACGTAGTATAATTATAGATATACAACCATCACTAACTCCTTGAATAATGGGGAGAGATATGTAGCAAGCAATGGAAATGTACAACAACCAAGACAAGGAGAAGTTTTTAAACCTTCCTCATTTTTTCTTGGTAAAATTAAGTATTCAAACGGCCCTAACTTCTATATCCCAGTATTGCCAAACACATGGGCAACACACATACCATTAAATTGCAATTACTAGACTTGGATCACAGACCAAACCACGAAAGGATTGTGGTGACAAACTTGTTTTACTTGCTAAAATCAGCTAATATTGTATAAATAAGATGAAAAACATATACCAATTACTATAAACTAATTAGGATATCACCTTTTACTGATAGAAGGAAACAAACAGTTTAATTGTGCATATTTCCTCCCAAACCTTATAATTTGTTCTACTTCTGCTTTAAACCACCAAAATTTCCATCACTTGTACGTTCACAACTCCCTGATATAATCTCCTACAACTCTCATTCACAATCAGTAATGCTTCAATGTGAAACAAAAATGCAAATAATACACTTAGAAATTTTTGACTAGATTGTCCTAAAGCAAAGTTGAAACTGTTGTTACGGTTAACTTTTTGGACAACTTTCTGAATAGTTCCCACATTAAACCAAAAGGGATCTAATAATACCATAAGGTAAAGGAGTAACAATGTAACTTTCTTTGTTTTTGAATATCAACTCAAGGCTTTAAGATTGTGGGAAAAGAAACACCCCAACACCCACACACAAATATATATACATAGACACGTGGCACCAAAGTCTCGCGCTATACCTCACCACGTGGGATTAAGGTGGCACTTACATGCAATTTTGATATTTTTCACTGCACAGCCATGTGTCATGCTTACAAACTGACAGATGGCAAAATATCTGGTCTCAACACGTGAATGAAATTCCAAGACCTCAAAACTAAAAGTCGAGACCTTGGTTCATTATAACATCTTTAGTCTACTTGTAGTATCTTTAATGCTTGATTACAGATTCATTAAATGATCACCTCAGCAAATCTCACCCTGAGTAGGCTTATGAATCATCATGAAGTCTGCTGTATCTTTTCAGTAGTGCATGTATCTTCTCAAGGCGAAGAGTTCAAATCCATCTATTTAATTACATTATACGTTTCAACTTATGAAAGTACTCTTTCTAAATACTTGACATTTCTACCAGGCCAAACATCTTCAATGAGGCACAATTGAAAACTTTTCATCCCCATGCAATTCGTCTCTCTATTAATGGTCCCAGATCTTCCTATTATATTTTCAAGTTTAGCTGCAGACAACCTCACCACTTTCTCTATAGGCACATTTCATCTTTTTTTCAAGACCCCAAACTTCTCTACAAGCACTAATATATTATTGCGAAAACCAATTCTACAAAGATATTCCTTGATGCCAAAATAAATATCACAAGGACCTCTTATCTTAAAATAATACTTGTGGCAAGACCTCTTATCCTCAGATAAGCCTTGGTGCCTTCTCCACAAGGATCTCTAAAGACTATGATGAGGATAACCCTTTGTATAAGTTTTGCCACAATAAACTATACTAAGATAAGCCTCATTGGAAGACCAAAGACAAGGTAATGCTTCTAGTGTGCTCCTGAGTTATAGGAGCAGGACTTCGGCTTTTTTAATTGAATATAAGGTTGTCGCCAATCGCCATGACCCAATTCAAGGTACGCTTATATGTCTAGCCCTTTCTGCAGTTATTAACATATAGGTCACCAGGTATGTGAAAATGTCATAGTCCCCTTGGTAAGTAGGAGTATTATGCTTAGCTGAAGTCCAAGGTTTTGCAAGTTGACCACCTCTTGGTCTGTGTGCCCCTGAGGTGATCACATCATAAGGTTTGCAAGCACTCGGCATAGCTCCAAAGAGATAAACATCACTTGGCGCCCGAAAATGACATACCCTCATCATGTGGCAACAATATAAAGGACCAACTCTACACCTCATGCAACTACCACCAGATGGCTGCCTATCACCACATGGAGACATCCTGTTGCACCGCAGTTAAGCTTATGAAGAAGACTGTCTGTCCACTTGAATGCCACCCTAGCTCTACATCAGCCCCTCTACAGCCAAAATATTACTACTGCAGCCCATTCAGACAGTCCCAGTGCATGTGAAGGCATCTCAGTGAGCCACAGTAGAAGCATGCATCATATCCATGTGAAACTATGATGTGGCATGAGCACCACATTGCTCCCATGAACTACAAACCCGTCTCTACGGCTCTACCCAACAGTTACAGGGCATGACCCTGAAAAATTAACTGAGACTCCAACATTCAACCTTAATATAAACTCAAGGCAGACCTGTCTCTAGACCTAGACTAACCAGTGGCAAGGCTCCTCCTGAGTTTTTGGTTACTTCTACCGCTACTCTCTCTTTTTGGTAATTCATCCTCGACTTTGACCTATCTCAGTCATTGAGATTCTTATCATTTTATCTGCTATTTCTCCATTTCAAATTCATCTACAAAAGCCCGCATAGAAAATCATTTGAGTTACTGCTGAAGTTCAATAAACCAACTGGTTCGAATCACACGAACCATTTTAAAAGCAATGGGAGTCTCAATGTGAAAGAGACAGGAAGTCCTAAAATAGATTAATACTACTAGAAATTTTATTTCTTTAACATTTGATATTTATATGCAGAAATTGATTTTGGTTTCTTTCCTTTTATCCTACCAATAAGCAATGTACATGACCCACAAAATTTACAGATTACGACAGACAAGAAGATTGTAATATACAATAATTCCAATTATGTAACAAAATATGAAGGTTTACAGACTAAAGATTATAAGTTTAACACCGTAAAGGAAAATATCAAACTGGAACTTTAGAGCCAAAAATTCCAGCACAAGAATGAGCACCTTGCTAAACTTCAGGAAAACTATTAGGGTGGTACAAGCTGGAAGTTCATGGACACATATAACCAAGCAAGAAATGCCCAAACAAGGGAGAAAAAAATGTTAGGCAAAGATGATTCTGAAAACTAACCTATGAAAAAATTCAAGCCCAGTTAATGCACGGCGTGCGGATTCTCGTTTCTGCACATTAAGGAATCCAATCATGCGACGAACCAAGGCAGTGTATGCAAGGCAGGCGCTGTTCCGGACCTCCCAATATGAAGATGAGAAAGAACGTATCGAGATAATCAGAGCCTCAGCAGAAAAACCTGATGTATCTGTTGCTAAATTGGTATCATTGAAAGCAGCTTTAAGTACATTGAATGAATGCACAGTGGGAACAACACCCTCATCTCGAAGCTTTGAGGCCTTTTCATTCACATCCATCTCGGGTGGCCATGCAGAAACAGTTGCTTGCTTCGACTTTGTTAATACATTATTACATGTGTCACCATTTGTGAAGTTCATTTCAGTTGGATCCAGCAAAGATCTGTTTGCTACATCTATTAGCCATCGTAGTGCCCTTGGGAGGAGCCTTTTCGGGGTACCTTCTGGTTCTGAGAGAAAAAGAGCTGTGAATGCCGCAGGAATACCAGCACTTCTCCTCAACAAGTCATCCACTGTTTGTCCCTTGGCCACAGTTCTTTCCATAAGTTGCTCCATCCAAGATTCCGTCAACTTACAAAGTCTAGGAGAAAGAGGAAGAAGACCTTAGAAAATAGATTTATCACGAGTGCATGTAATTAGACAAATTTAAGTTCCCATGATATAGTTAACCAAGACCCAGGTTAAGCAATTTAAAAATGATATGGACACAATTTAACTTTGAAGTGAAAGCAATTATTTATGTCCAGAAACCAACTAAAATCAGTTCTATCTGTGATTAGAAAGAAAGGGTACAAAAATAAATCCAGACAAGCAAAGAAAACAAAAATAGATTTGTGCATATATAGCATGCTATTGAATCCACATTCTCTCTGCAGAAACACCAAGTAATGCTTTCTATAATCCTATATGATGTAAATAAAAACATTAATACGAATAATAATTACATCAGTCAATAACAGACAATGCAACAGCTCAAAATGTTGGCAGCTGATATCATTCTATGTACAACAAAATGCTACTGCCGAAAATCCAATCTTAAACTGACAACTGACAAATACTAGATCTATTACGCTAGAAAGATTTTCAACCATTCAATAACTAAAAAATATAAAATAATAAAAATTTCAAGGGAAGGAAAGTAATGCCATTTAGGAAGGAAATTAGAAGAGTCAATAACTTAAAACTTCTCATTCAACCCATATAATAATGACGATGTGGTTTTGTTTACCATTCTTCTCTTTTTCCGTGATTCTAAACATCTTTTGAAGTTGACAATGAGAAAAATCCACGGCCAAGTCCTATGCTTTATATTATGATGTTTTCTATAAATTTTCCTACTTTAAGAACAGAATGACATGTAGGATCCAAAAGCACCACCAATGCACAAAGGAGTAAGCAGATAATACCTTGGATCATTTGAACAAAGTAAACGGTTGCAAAGAGCTGTAAATCCAGCCCTTGTCTTATCAATTGCACCATTATGCTTCATTTTTAGAAGGACTTCCAAGAAGTGGTTCCCAATTGTCTCAAGTTGCTTCAAATCAAGCATTACATCAGATGTGGTTGGGCCAACAGCATCACAAAATGAGTTTCCAAACTTTGATGATTCTGAAGTAGGCAAAGGAATTTTTCTTATGATGGTTCCCAGAAGAAGACTCACCTGAAAAAGTGGAACAAAAAAATTACATTGATAATTTTCTGTGTTTGAACTGAAATAATCTAAATAAGCTTGGGCATATTGAGATTAATGTTAGATTTTCCACAATTCGATAATTTTAATTATATAATTGAAGCTGCTATTTTCTGAGCAAGGGGGCATCATTTCTTCATTTTGCAGTTATAAGCAAAAGAAATTAACTACTGACAAAAAATATGCGGATGCCATTGTCATCATTAGCTGCAGTGCCATGAATAAAAACACATAACACATTAAATAGTGACGTACCTCTTTCATAGCGAGCCAGCAACCTACCATAACAATCTGTTCTGATGGTTGGACATCCTGCGCGAGTTTTGAGTTTTTAACGTCCTGTTCTGCTGCTGACATGGACACATCCATCTCGAGGTGAACCTCAGATAAAAAAACTTCATCATCATCCACCATATCATCCATGCCCCCAGGTAAATACCAAGCATCTGCAGAAACCACCCCAAGGGCCAAGGAAGTTATCCGCATGACCAACTCCAATAGCTTCTCTAATGCATGTCTCATTTCAGAACTACTAGATGAGACTGTATTGGAATTCCAATCCAATTCTTCAAAAGTATAACGAAGAGTAAGCAATACCCCATGAACAAAGCTGTTCTTGCATGCTTCAGAAAGATTCTTCTCTCCCTCCTCAACAGCAACATGCAACCAATCGATCAGTGATCTTAGATATTCTATTGTTGGAGAGTTAGATGTACAATTTTGAAAAACCCCTTTTGGCCTTTCACACCGTGAATGAGAAGAAACAACATTACATGAAGCTCTGACTATCCAACCAAGCTCCAATACATATTTCCTAAATATAAGCCGTAAAGTCAGAGCTCCAGCATCACTTTCTCTAACACGGGGACTGCAAACTAATTTTTGAGCCCATATAATTACCTCCCAAACCATGTCTTGATCTGAAATGCCAGGAAGCGGGGTAGGAAAATATAGCAGAATGCGGAAAGAACTCTCTCTCAGCCTGTCCCAACTATCAATAATTGATCCTACCAACAGCAAAGTTGAATCAGGCAAAGTAAACCCCCTATTATAAGGATAAATACTTTCAGAAGAAACAGAATCTAACTTTCCTTGCAAAGAAGGTGCAATGGACCAAACATTAAGCATCACCAATATGAGATCCATGGCCATTATTTTTCTCTCATACGGAGCAGAAGGATAACATGAGAAAAACAAAGAGGAACTCAACCACTTCATGAAAAGAAAGAGATTCTCCGCTCTGTTAACCACCATTTCCTCAGTTTTCTTATATAAATGGACTTTGTTATCATCAAAGGATAGAAGAGGTTGCCAGCTTCCCTGCTTCATTTGTCTCTCTAAGCCTATCCGAACCCGAGAAAAGAACTTTCTGAACAAGCTGGTCCACTTCATCTGAAAAGCTGTGGAGCAACACCTCATGTTTAATGGCACTGCTGCTTTCATCAGACTCAGTTCTAAAGGGGATGGCAGACTAGATGTCTTGGGGTTTAAGAACAGAGACTCTGCTGCATCTATACGAAGTGACTCATCAACATGAGTCAGTGCCAGTACTAGCCACTCAACTGGGACTCTAAGTTTTATTCCCTTTATGCAGAAATTAGCATAACGAAATGTATTTTTGTTTCTCAGCCCTCCCACTTCCTGTGATACTAAAGAATTCTCAAAACAATCAATGTCCCCTTCCATCAAAGCAAGCAAGCGAGACACTTTAAGTAATGATACTAAAACAGCCACTTGCTGTTCAACTCTCAGAACCATATCCGTACAACTGAGCTCCGGATAAACCAGTTCAGTGTCTTCTCCACCTTGCCCAACTGATACAAAAGCAAGCATGGGAAATATACTATCCACATCAAGTTCAAGTAACACTGGCAGAGCATAAGTGTTCAAATTTGAGCGGAGCTTTGAAACTCCAGAAGCAAGCCCAAACAAGAAGGGAGGCAAACAATTACTCCTGTATTTCACATAACCACTTTCAATACCATCACTACTCCAGCACTCATCACGCAAGCACTCAAGGAAACACTTCAAGAAAGTCGTGACAGCACAACAAACATCATCATCAATGTAAGCATGTACAGTTTCAAACAGTAAGTCAGGATTCATATCTAAAATAGTCTTCGCTCCCAATCTCCTCGTCAGAGAAGCTAAAGGAGCATATCTTCCCTTGCAACGTGGTCCCAGGCGGAGCAGATCCAATGCAATTTTACGTAAGCCCAACTTTATCTTCCCACTATCCTCTGCCCAATGAGGGGTAGACTGAATGTCTAAGAAGAGATCAAAAATAAGATGAACTTGTTTGACAGTTTGGCTAAGAGGATCTTCCAGGTTATTCCATATAATCCTCAATATTCGAGCCCCCATGTCCTCTGATAGTGGATCATAATCTTCTCTTGGATTACCAAGATTAGCTTGTATAGAGGTTTTTATCTGTTGAAAACAGATCTGCATTACAGTTAGCACATGAAAGTTAAAATGACTATCAACTGGGTTCTCACAATAGTTACACAGTTCAGGCAAAATCCCATCATAAAGAATTGTCTGAACTGTGTTAATACTATCTCCATGACCATGAAAACCCTTCAAATCATCCATTGACAAAATAAAATGGGAATTGAGTACTGTTCTTGAAATTGCTGTAAGAATCCCTCTAATCAAGCAGAGTCTACTCAATAGAGAAAAATTCCGGATTTCACAAAACAAATTTCCCTTGTATGGAACCTTCTTGATTGCATCCGTAAACAGATGCTTGGGACTATCAACTAAACTACAACCTCTTAGATTGAAAAAACCTTCCATGATAACCAAACCGAGCTCTTCAGGGTTGAGACACACTTGGAGAGCCGCACAAAAACTCACCCCAGCAGCAACAAAACAATCCCTTGAGAAGGCCAACGACTTCAAAATGCTTAAAATGGTAGTTAAAATTATCTCCAAAACATTGGAATCCACCAGAAACAAACCATTCTGACTACCATTTGATCCACTAAACTTCAAAGGAAAACGCTGAAGCAAGTAATACATACAAGACAAAGCCTCTTGGCATTGTTCCATAACAATTGGTGAAGGCTGAGACCACTCACAAGTCTCAGGAACCACAGAATTCAAACCAGCCACTATATCCAAAGCCACCAAAATAGCACATTCTTCAACAACTTCCACTAAATACCCTAACTTGGGCGAACTCATCATCGACAACGCCACACGCGACACGCAAAACCTCTTCCCTTTCCCATTCACACCACCATACTCGTCACAGAGCAATCGAAAACAATCACCAATCAGAGACTGAAAGTTCCGATTTTTAGCAAGAACAGAAACCAAAGTTTTATGCAATGGCAAAGAATTCTCAAGAAATAGAATTTCCAAGTAAAACCTAGCGGCCTCTGAAACAAAACCCTCCTCACCATTCACTAACAAGTCTGCAAAAGCCGAAGCGACTTTCTTTACATGATTGACTTGTGCATAGAATGAATTGAGAGATATGAGTTCTTTCAATTCAAGGTAGAATTTACAACAATTTGTATCTATAGTCAATGAATTCAAAGCTTCTATGAAAGACTGTGGGAAGATTACAGCGCTATAAGTGTAGCGATGACGATGTTGTAAGGCTCGCCATTTTGCAGACATGTTTGAAGATCGAAAGTGAAAGAGTTTGAGAATGAAAATGTCACCTGGTTGAAGATGATATTCGGAGAGCTTTGAGAAATGAATTTTGTGTCGTTTCCACTCCAAAAGCTCGATGACTCTCTCTCTCTCTCTCTCTCTCTCAAATCTCTGCTACTTTAGAGAGCGAAAGGTATAGAGAGTGAAACGGGAACAGAGGCGGCTTGTCTATGCAAGAGTGCAGGGTATGGAGTTTAGGGTAATAGTTCTAAACAAGTAATTTACTATCTGTAAACTGTTGACGCAAAATGACACAATTACCCTAATAAATAAATAAAACTTAATTTTAGTTAGGATAACAAAATGTACTTTAAAATTAGTGTAATACCTAGTTACTACGTGTTGAAAGCCAAATTTCAGACTTTTGGCCCTGCTTGGGATAACTGATTTGGCTTGGATAATGTATTTTGAAGAAAGCAATTTAAAACAAAAAAAAAAGTTAGTGGGTGAATTTTTTGAAGTTGTTTTAACTATTAACATTATTTAAGTTGACCATTATATCTTTAATAATTCATGAATAATAGTATAAAGTTGAATTGGGTTGTACAGAAGAAAAAAGAAAAAGAAGAAAAAAAAAAAAATTAAGTGATGAAGTGAAATCGTCGATGATGCAATAACGTGCATCATCAATTAATTTACATAATGAAGATCAGGGTAATACAAATTTACCCAATCTACATTTTTTCTGTTTTTTTTCTTTGACTACATGATAGAAGTTGAGGGAAATGGAAAAAGAGAGTAAAAAAAAAATTAAAACGAAAGAGAGAGATGCCAGCAAAAATATTTCATTTTTATTCTTACTTATACTATAAATCACTTTAACAAATAACCTATACGGTTATACCTAAATGGAACAGGTAGCCTTCAAAAAAATTATTGTGTATATATATATATATATATATATATATATATATATTGAGAGAAAGAAAAGTTGTTTAGAATTTTACATAGGATTGAATTTTGAATGAGAGTTCATAAATCTTGTAACTCTTCTGCTCCTTAGTTTTTGAAGTCAAATGAGAGAATCGTAGTTTTTTTTGTATAACTCATCAATGTCTTTGTTCTTCCTTAGTTGAATCTTTTTTTAACAATATTTTTTTTCAGTAAAGATCTGTAAAATTTTGTTCAACATTTTCTTTTTCTATATATATATATATATATATTTAGAAAACGAACAAAGAAAATGATAGGTTAAATAATAGAATTCAGAAATAGAAAAGTTTGCAAATGAATTCAAAAATAGAAATAGTTTAAATAATTAACAATGTAAGATTTTTATATTTATTATTTTAAAAAGTGTGCAGTTTGGGAGAAGTCGATCAGGAAGCATGTTTTATTAACTTTGGTTAATCGGACTTCTAAACCACTTAGTCTTTTTTAAAGTCTATTTTCAAAAATTTCACTAAAAGCTCTTTATTACTGGCGAAGGACTTTCGGGCTTAGAAGCCTGTTTTGAGGCTACAAGAAGCCCAGCAAAACAGGCCATTAGTCTTCTCATTGTATTGTTAGACTTAAAAGTACTATTACGATCGTAGACACTTGACAAGTCGATGTCTCACATAGTTGTGGCTCCTCCCACAGCAATTGGGTGAGGGTCATAGGTGTGTGAGACACCCAACTATCGAGTGTCGACGATTTTGAAATTTTACTAAACTTAAATACAAACTAAGAGTTCTAATTTTATGTACAATAAAAATTAACATCCTCACCATTATTGGCCGAGAGTACAATTTAATTTATATTTAAAGAAGCCTGCTCTATATATACACATATATGTGTGTGTGTGTGTGTGTAAATAGAGAATAGTTTCAAATGGTACAATTGTAAAAGGTAAGATGTTAGCATTGCAGAAGTGAAAGGGTTATGAACAAAATTTGGTGGTTGGACATGGCCTTTGAGATAATGCAGTTTTTAGAATACCTCTTTGTTTGTGTGTGTGTGTGTGTGTGTGTGTGTGTGTGTGTGAGAGAGAGAGAGAGAGAGAGAGAGAGAGGACACAAATTTTGTGCTAGTGCTGTATTAACCGTTTGCTGGCATGTGCCATTCATGTCTCTAAGAGTGGAATGAGAGGAATGTGCTTTCTCATGAAGAATGTTTATAAATTCAAGTCTGCCTGCCTTCACTGACCTTGTAGCCAAAGAATGAGACTCTAAGGAGAGGCCTTAAGTGAGAGTTGGATGGAACTGAACCATGTGATGAGTTCTATCCCTTGGAAATTAATGGTTCAGTTTCCTCCAACATCTTACCTATCACCTGCTCTGAATTTAAAAAAAAAAGGTAGTTGCATTGTGTTCTAGTCGTAGGTGAGAATTGGAGGGAACTAAACAGATTGGCATTGCATACTGCAATATGTTTGGTTTCCTCCAATATCTCATCTCCAACTTCTGAACTATGATTGATTGGAGAGTCTAAAAAGTAGTTTGGAATGTGTTTCAGTTGTACATGAGAATTGGAGTGAACTAAACAAAGTGGCATTGCAAGCAACAATCTGTTTAGTTTCTTCCAATATCTCATCTCCCAGGGAACTAAACAGATTGGATTTGCATGCTGCAATCTGTTTAGTTTCCTCCAATATATCATCACCGACTTTTGAACTATGAATGGAGTTGGTTAATTCTCTGAAATCTGGTGAGGGGTCACTAGAGCCTGCTCTTGGTTTATGAATATAATATACACATATATAATGCAAAATAAATTGACTAAAACCTATGTTTTTAAACATCTTGTTTTTGCATCAATGTGCTTTGTTTTAACCATGAGGAATATTAAATTTTAAGACATCAGATAGGCATCATAGGCCCTAAAATAATTAAAATATGAATATAAAAAATGAACAAAGTAAAATTCTTAAGAGAAAATTAGTCACATGCAAATTTTTCATAGGGACTGGAGGCTTCAAAACTTGGCCAAAAATTGCTTCCTATTAAGCTTTATAGCCATCCTGTAGCAAGTCCCAGAGTTGTAGCATTCACAGTGATTGTTGTTGATAAACTCCAAAAGGTATCACATTCCATAGCAACAACCCTCTGTATAGGCTGTATTAAATGAAAATGAGGGCATCTGAAATAAGAAACTATGATGGTTGGGTGGGGATCCATTTAACAAGTAAAACTCACCTCAGTCTACATAGTTCAACAACATTCCTGACTTACAATTCAACCAGCCAAGGCCAGAAAAGACCGATAAAAGGAGACTCTGACAAAATATTCAAGCCAGATATCGATACAACTTCCTGTCCACTTTGTCCCTCTCTAAGAACTCCCGCTCAATTAGGGATTCGATTCGTTTCTTTATCACAACAGGATTTGGCAAGAACCGTGGTTGCAGCTGCTTTGTGACCTCGGCAACAACATTGTTGTGATCCAGCACTCGCCGCGACTTCATGATCCTCACAATTGCTGCCTCGACCTGGGGCTTCCTGTCTTCCTCCACTCTTTGACGGGTCTCTTGCTTTTCCGGTTCAGACTCCTTTTGTGCAACCACAGTACCTATCTTTACCCTGTAGAACTTGCTTGTGAACTTGTCGTTGAAGAAAAAGGCATCATCCTCAGCAATGTCCATGCTCATTGGGTCTTTCCTTAGCACATTCTTTCCCTTAACACATGCCAGAGACTGCAGACATCTCTTCAAGTCCGAGGCAGGTATCTCTGTTGCCTGCTCAATTTCTTTATAGCTCAGCCTGTCGGTACTATTGAACAGCATAAGGATACACATTTGGTATGTGGAAACATTCAGCTCATGCTTCTGGCCCTTCCCAAAGGTTGCTTTCAGATCAGCAGTGCCCATATTTGTCTGCCAGGTCAATCTCCGCCCGGTATGGGTTCCAAGATAATATTGCCGGAACTTGTCACACACCCCTAGGATTTCCAGCGGAAGGTTGCAAGTGGCAGTAGACTGAGTTGGCCAAGACCCTGTAGTGAGGACCTGGACAGCGAGAGTGGGGCTCTCTGATATCTCAGCACCCAAGCTTGCAGAGAATCCTTGCATCGTGTCTTCAGATGTCTTCATGTCAGTGAACATACCTTCCAACTTTGAGGTGAACTGATACCCACATTCTGTTTTGAGCTTAACTATCAAACTTCTCTCTGCATCGTCAGAGGCAGTTTTCCCTGATAGAAGCCTCTTTGCCAAATGTTGTTTGTAGTACTTTTCAAACACATCTTTCTCTTGGAGGTAACGGAAAAGCATCATCACCTTGTCGAGTACAACCTCAATCTCCTCCTCGCTAACCCCTTTCAGTCCTTTCCGAAGCTTATCATCCACAAACAAAGAAATAAACTCTGGCGACCGAGAATTCAAATTTATAAAATATTCAAATGAGGAATTCAAAGCATTCTGGAAAGCCTTGTCATTGTTAAATGCCAAGGTGATGATCTTGTCATGCTTATCCTTTTCATCCAAGAGCCGCTGCACGAAGTCTACAGGATCCTTTAACCTTTCTGGATCAGTAACTAACAGCTTACCTGTATCCCGAATGTGAGAAGTCATGACCTCTCTAATTATCGAGAGTCCATTGGGCACCCTGCGGAACAAACTGTACATCCTTCCTAAGTCCTCATATTTGTCATTAACAAGCATATTAACCAAGCCAGAATTATCCTTATGGACTAATCTATGCATATGATTCTCTATCATCTCCTTCTCCACAACATTAGTAATCTTGGCTTCACTTTTTGCATCTAAATAATGGGACACTCTCTCAATCTCTTCATTCAGACGTCTCTCAGCTTTCTTTAAATAATCCCCACAATCACAGCACTCAATGAACTGCTGGGACTCACCACAGTAGAAACCACCTGAGACTTCAATAAAAGGTTTCTCAAAGTCTTCTTGATAAACAGAACAACCTAAATCAATTAGCATATTTATAATATTCCTCATCAAACCCCTGTTTATAACTTCACCAGTCCTTTCTCTCTGTACAAGATCAAGAAGTGTATCCCGAAGCCTCATCTGGATTTTGCTAGTGTGGATAACATTGTCCCTCCACAGGTTCAACCCAAGCTCATGAACTGGGGTTTTGCGTGTACTCGGGATGAAAGTCCTGTCCATGTACATCAATATGTCTCTGACCATTTGCAATGCCTTGTTGTGGTCTGTCCATTTCCTGTTCAGTTCTTCCAGAAATAAACCTCCCTGAGCAGCTTCAATCGATTTTGCCATTTCTTTTATATGTGATGTCATAGTTGACACAAGCCCAGAGTAGAGTCTCTCTCCAAATTTGTGCAGAACCATATTGTAAGCATTTCTGAATAAATACCAGATACTTAAAACATCAAATGTGGAAATTCAGATGCAAAAGTGATGGCAATTAGCTAAAAGGCTATCAACAGGTCCTTGCCTAGGCAAGGCATCATATTAAAGTCTCATGATCGTATTAAAGTCTCATATTAGGCAGCAGACTGATTATAATGAAAGATGACAGATTAGAGGTTCCAAGTGGTCTACCAAAAGAAAAGGCATATAGGACAATCTTAGGACCCTATCTTTAGTATGAGTCACTCTAAGAACAAACACAGATTTCAAGGATTGCAATGAGTGGCACTTATTAACTGCATTCTATATAACGTGGACTTCCCATATCGGATAAAGGCAAGTGTGATGATGATGATATATAATACATGGACTTGTATACAGGCGTCGGATGCAGATGTGGGCATTTGTCTTGGAGTATGTGTTGTCATCATGATGTTCAAAATGCCACCATAATCACAGTTCTTGGCCACAGGCCACTGGAATTTAATTGTATCCAGAACTTTAGATAAAAAGAAATTCTTCCTCATCTATGCTATGTTTTTTGGTTGTCCAATACCACTCCACAAAGCCTGGCCAACATCATATAACACTCATGCACATCTTTACTTCAGCACCGAACCTAACTCTCTACGTAAAATCCACCTCAAGCTCTCTTTGATCAAAGAAATATTATCACAAAAGAAACATAATAATGACCCATCAAAATGCCTGGATTTAGAAAAGGTATATCTCATTTATTTTGCTTTTATTACTTTCATTATTTTTGGAAGGTTAAAATGGTTTATCCACTTAGTTTGAAACCTATAAATTCGAAGGCGTCTTTAGTTTGTACAATTTGAACCTATCATCAACCAGAACTTAAATTTACTTCACAAGGAAACTGGTTGATATGAGCTTCCCATTCATACTTTTGGGAAATAACAAAGAACTATCACCATAACGGATGGGTAACTGAAACATACCCTGCCCTGCCCTTGCTATCAAGAGCTGGTGGAACTAAGAAATTTAAAGGAAGCGCCATGATCAGACCAAACTAAATATAGGCCCTGTTTGGGGGAGCTTTCAGTTTCTAAAATTCCTTCAACTGAATCGGCTTTGGAGAATGCATTTTGACGAAAGGAATTTAAAACAAAAAAGTTGTTTGGTGGATGAATTTTTTGAAATTCTTTTAACTATGAACATAATTTAACTTGACAATAATATCCTTAATAATCCATGAATAATAGCATAGAGTTGAATTGGGATGTACAAAGATGGAAAGGAAAAAAAAAAAATTCATAATTAAAGTGATGGAGTGAAATTACATATGATGCAGCAACGATTAATTGACGTAGTGATGATCAAGGTATACAAATTTACCCAATTTACATGATAAAAGTTTTTTTTTTTTTCCTTAATAGAAGTTCAAAGAGATCATGGAAAAAGAAAAAGAAAGAAAAATAAAATGAAAGAGAGAGATGGCAACAAAAATATCCCATTTTTGTTCTCATTATAGCTATAAATTACTTTAACAGTGGAATGGTAGCCTTCAAAAAAAAATATTTTATATATACATATATATATTGTGTACGTGTGTATTATATATATATATTTTTTGATAAGTTACGTGTGTATTATATATATTGTAAGTATATATATATATATTGAGAGAAAGAAAAGTTACTTAGAATTCTACATAGGGTTGAATTTTGGATGAGAGTTCATAAATCTTGGAACTCTTCAGACTTTGAAGTCAAATGGGAGTCAATAGAAGTTTTTCCTGCAACTCCTCAATCTCTTTATCCTTTCTTTGTTGAATAGTTTTTTCAACAATATTTTTTTCAGTAAAGATCTGTGAAATTTTGGTCAACATTTTTTTTTTTTTTAGTAGAAAACGAATGAAGAAGATGATACAGAAAGAGAAAAGTTTATAATGGAATTTAGAAATAGAAATAGAAATAGAAATAGGTCAAATAATGAACAATATAGGAATTTTATATTTATTACTTAAAAAAAGTGAGTAGCTTGCGGGAAGTCGATCAAGAAGCATGTTTTATTGGCTTTGGTCAATCAGGCTTCTAAACCACTGAGACTTTTTAAAAGTCCGTTTTTAGAAATTTTACCAAACGCTCTTTATTATTGGCAAAGGATTTTCTGGGTTTAGAAGCCCGTTTTGAGACTACAAGAAGCCCAACCAAACAGGCCCATATATTATATATCGTTTACTTCCTTTTCAGGATTATGTGTCACAGATACTCCAGAAAAATTTTAAAACACCAATGGGTTATTTAGATTGGTTAAATATATTATTCCACTTTGGAACCTCTTAAATGTGAATTTCTTTATCGTCATCATTCAATAAAAATTAAAAAAATACTACCTCTGTCCCACAAAAAGTGTCCACCTTTCCATTTTTGGTTGTCCCAAAAAAAATGTCCCAATTCAAATTCCAATGTACAATTTTTTTAATATTCTCAATTTACCCTCCTTGCCTTAAAGTTTTAAAAGCAATCATAGTTTATGTGGACCCACCATAGAAGGGTATGTTTGGAAATTTGTTCCCTACCACTATAAGAAAAAATATATATTAAAAACTACCGTAAACTCTTAAAAAGTTAGGTTCCCAAAAAGGGACATTTTTTATGGGACGGAGGGAGTATTTAAAACGTGGATCATGAAGGCAAGAAAAAATTTCCTATGATTTAACAACGAATATATATATATATATATATTTTTGATAAATACGATTTAACAAAGAATATGACCCCTAGGATATTAATTTTGGTCCAGTACATGTATATACACAGAGTGTAGCTGAAATGAGAATGGTGAGATGGACATGCGCCAAGACAGGAAAGGATATGATTGGAAACGAACGAGATGGAGTACCACCAACTGGAGATAAAATGAGAGAAAATCAATAAAGATGATAACATGTGGTTTGACTCCAAGTACTTGGGGACAGGCTTTATTGAGTTGAGTTATCATGTATAGAAATAAAAGCAAAATGAATACTTACCCGTGTAATTCTTTAAACCTGCCAGATAGAATTTCTAAACCAATGTTTGAGGCACTTCATAAATTTTGACAGAATTGGTAACTTTCACTTCAACCAGTTTGTGAGATATGACACAACTAAGGAAGGAACACGATGACTCACACTCCGGACACACTCTAAACATCAACAGATCATTTTAATTAGTTGGGGCGTGGAAATCCATTCGGAAGGGGTGGGATGCCTTTTCCTCTCATATCAGATTCAAAGTTCGTGATGGTAGATGCATTCGTTTTTGGGAAGATCTATGGTGTGGTGATCAGCCATTATTTCGTACATTTCCCAGATTATACAGTATTGCAGTTGATAAACATGCCTACGTAGCTGACTGTTATCGGCTTGATGGTAGTGGGATTACGTGAGACATGCATTTTCAGCGTTCTTTTCAGGATTAGGAGTTGGACGAGGTAAGTGTTTTTCTGGATCAATTGTATCAACAGGAGGGAATTGGAAGGGGTTATGACAATTTGACATGGATTACATCTTCTCACGGTCGTTTTGAAGTAAGATCTTTATTCTTATGTCTGTCTAATTTTGACAGTCTTGACTTCCCATGGAAGACCATTTGGCGCTCTATGGCTCCAACTAGGGTGTCATTCTTTTTATGGACCGCTGCTTAGAGTAAGATACTAACAATTGATAATTTGAGGAAGAGGGGAAATTGTTTTGTTAATTGGTGTTGCCTATGCAAGCAAGATAGGGAGTCAGTTGATCATCTCCTAATGCATTGCCCCGTGGCGCACGACTGTTGGAATCTTATTCTTGGGTTGTTTAGCATGTGTTGGGTAATGCCCCGTTCTTCCAAAGAATTGATTCATGCTTGGAGAGGATGTCATGTGAGTAGGGGTGCTCGCGATTATTGGAGAACTGTCCCACATTGCGTCTGGTGGTGCATTTGGAAAGAGAGAAATAGTAGAATGTTCGAAGGGAAAGAGTCGTCTACGACGAGACTGAAACTTTTTATTATTCGTTCTCTCTTTAATTATGTGAAGAGGAGTTCTTGCTCCTGTTCTGATGATTTAATTAATTTTTTTGGATTCTTTGGGGCCTTAGCATCCGATTCCACTAATGTTTAAGGGACGCGTTCCCCTTTTAAACGTCTTTTTAATTCATTATTACTTGTCAAAAAAAAAATTAGTTGGTTATCGTATCCTCTAACGTTGGAATACTTTATATGTGAATTTATGTACTTCCATCTTTCATGCCAGTAAGGAAGTGGACGAAGGAGACTGATGAGTGGGAGGTAGAAAATATCTCATTTTTGGTTTCTATAGGAAGCGCTTCCGTAGGCTAGATAAGAAATAGGAGAAATTCACAAAATCGAATAGAGGGATGAGAGAGAAATAATTTTGGCGCAAAACAAAATATAAGAAAAAAGTTGCCTACTGTTGGAATTTGAGCAAATTCCTATTCTAATTATGTTTCTATTTTAGAGTTGTATTCTGTTTGGTAATTTCTTATTTGGTAAGTCTTGGCCTCTAAGAAAGTGTAATCTTTGTCCAACCAGGAATTGGGTTTGGAACTCTACAAATATATACATAGGCTTTGGGTTGAGATTTGTGAGATTGAGAGAGATATAGTCCCACGAGGGAGTTGATGGGTAGAGGTAGTATGCGGGTTGGTAGAGTAGGAAAAACACCGATGATGCTAGGACCAAGGAAATAGGCTCGTGGAGTGGTGGTGTTGTTACTCTATTGTTGTAATATCTTTACGAATCATAGTGAAATCTCTTCTCATCCATGGACATAGGCCGGTTTTGACTGAACCATGTATATCTTATGTTTGTGTGTGATTGCTTTGTTGGCTTTCATTGGATTTATGTATCCGTGCTTTTCCGCTGCCTAACAAATTGGTATCGGAGCCAAAGATAAAGGAGATCCAAAAAACACAAGAAGTCTCAACATGTGCTGCAACGAGCTTCGATAGTAGGTGGAGTCAATCGGTTTGGTTACATGGCATGGAGCTCGAATAGTCAAGGTGGAGCCTTGGAGGTTTGATTGATCGAGTAACGTATAATGTGGACAATCGGAAACTTACAGGAGTGTCGTCAAGATTGAAGCTGCAAAAGAATTGCCCTAATCAATGCCGTGGAAGCAATGATTGGTTGAATGGAATTTGAGCTAAGGTGGAGATTGTTACAAGTTCTTATTCTAATTATATTTCTATTTTAGAGTTGTATTTTGTTTGGTAATTTCTTGTTTGGCAACTCTTGGCCTCTAAGAAATTGCAATCCTTGTCCAACCAGGAATTGGGTTTGGAACTCTATAAATAGATACATAAGCTTTGGGTCGAGACTTATGAAATTGAGAGAGATGTAATCACACAAGGGAGTTAATTGGTAGAGGTATTATGCGGGTTGGTAGAGTAGGAAAAATACCGGTGACGCTGGTAGCGACGAAATAGGCTTGTGGAGTGGTGGTGTTGTTACTCTATTGTTGTAATATCTTTATGAATCATGGTGAAATCTCTTCTCATCCATGGACATAGGCCGGTTTTGGCTAAACCATGTATATCTTGTGTTTGTGTGTGATTGCTTTGTTGGCTTTCATTGGATTTATGTATCCGTGCTTTTCCGCTGCCACCTACCAATACATAATTCAGAAAAAATTTAAGAGATCTTTTTGACAAAAATTCCAATCAAAACAAGAGAAAAATGAGCCTATCTTGAAAGAATTCGCGAACATTCCTTAAAGTGGCATGAAATAAATGCACATTTGATACTGCAGTGGAATAGCTGTAGTTTTTTTTTTAAAGGGGGTGTGACATCCCATATCGCCTGGAGGAGAAAATTGTCGCCACTTATAAGAGGATGCAGCCTACCTTGTGTAGACTCATTTTGAAAACCGTAGCGCCAAGAGGGTACAAGCACCAGCCTGACCCTCATGGGTTTGTGCAAAGTGGAAGTGATATCAAGACGTCGTAAAAGGTGAAAGCATTACGGTGGTCTAAGGTGAAACCCAAGCAAAACGATGGTAGAGGAAGGTAACTGATATGAAAAAAATTGTTAAGATATGGCAGTTTTGGAGATATTGGCAATCGTATGGTCGAGACGGGTGTGACAAAACACATGGCAACAATGCAATGGTCACCACAGTTGTTTAAATGGTGGCGTTGGTGGCAATAATGATGGTATGGGTCAGTGGGAAATGGTTTCACAGTAATGAAGTGTATTCTCATATTTAAGCATGTGGATGGTCAACGTTGTTTCATGCTGATGGTGGCAGCAGTGGCAATAATGATAGTATGGGCCTGTGGAAAATGGTTTCACGGCAATGAAGTGTATTCTCGTATATACCCATCAACTAGATGGTCAAGAAGTGTGAATCCATAATAAACAGGAATTTAAAGTTTTAGGAACCATATATCAATAAATTTTGTTCAAAAGAACAAGGGACTTCGCTGAAGTTACAGGACTTAAAAATCCACCTTCCAATTATAGAGAAGAATAGGGCCAAATGACCATCCAAATCTCTAATGAGCATAGATAGAAAGTACGGATTTGAGGCGATGCACAAATGCAAAACATGTAAAACTATTAAAAGACCAGGCACACACATGCACGGTGAGGATACAACAATATATATCACATTATACATACGTTTAACATATATACGTGTAGACAGGAATACGTACTATATATATATATATATATATCACATAGCCTTCATGTCTTGACCTATCTGGTGACTAATATATCCTCCTCATGATGTCATTCTTCCACCTCCACAATTGATATATTTCATATTTGTCTTCTACTATTTTTTATTGAACAATTCATAGTGCACTAGTCCATCCACTACATGATGTCCTCTACAAAAGTGTCCCTTTGAAAAAACAGACTGTAGACAACGCCAAAAAATGTAAAAGAAAAAAATTAATATATTGGAAGCAAGAACTTATAAAATAAAATAAAATTTGTATTGGAAACAACAATAGAATGATCACCGTTTTCAATCTGGAAAATTATCTTTTGAATTTACTAGAGTTTGTTGAATCCATGATTCCATGGGGATGCATTTTTCTGATTTTAGTAATTTTTTAACTTCAATTAGTCAAATTTGAGTCCTACAAGCCTAGTAGGTTACTGTCTATGTTTGACAATATATATGGGTCAATTATATATATATATATGTATATGTTGTAATTTTCATTTTTCAACCACAATAATTTCTGCTTATCATACTCAGTAGCAGCAAGGTGCTAGAAGCATGCACCTAGCGACAACCATAGGAAGATACAAGGAATTCTAAGAACACGCTTCTGCAAATGAAGGAATCAACCTCTATAATACAAACTTTTGAAGGGCGTGTACCAAACTTCAACAAAACCATATAATGGGCCATTGTTATGTAGTTTATTCACAATTTGGAAAAATAATGGGCCATTGCCTTACCTCCGCACGGAGAGGCTGTTTCCGGTTTCGTGACATCCGGGTCATGATGGAGCACTGTTACTCCAAACCCAACCTCCATTTGTAAAAAGCAAAACAACAAAAATCTAAACTGTAAAGCAAAAAAATAAGCTACTTATTTGTTAGCACTTCCAAAACAGATTATTTGATTTTGAGAACAAAAGATAAAATCAATTTTGATTTCAAAAGAAGGAGATAATTCACAGCACAATTACAATCTCATGCAACCACATAATATGTAAAACAAAAAACCAAAAAACACATGGTACTATTTTTTCTGCTTTAATAAATTCGACAAAACAAAATTAGGCAACAAAAATGTAAATACGTAGTTAGTAAAAAATCAAACCTATAGAGCTCTTCGAAGCTAAGCCCACTTGCATTGTGGTTGTATATTTCGTGAATCGCGTGCTCCAAAACCTTCCAGGTCTTCTCTGCATACTTCGGATCCACCACGACCCGATGCTTAAACGCCTCAATCTGAAAGTTCCTCTTCTTCTGACTACTCATCCTCTCGAGTTCAAATTAGCAACCTACAAAACCAGTTTTCGACCGAAAATGAGCAACTGAACTCGATTATACTTCAGCAATCGAAAAACGGATCGTAACGCCCGTTCCGTGGATTAGGGTTTTGAAGATCAGAAATTTAGGGTTTTCAACAGAGAGAGCTGATGGAGGAAGACGAGAATTAGCTAAAATGTCAGATATCAGGAATCGAAACGAAGAAAGCCCTCGAAGTATTATTCAAAAATTTTCCTTTTTTTTTTTTTTTTTTTTCCTAGCAATTCTTTATCCACTCCACTACGTAAATGTGAAATTAAATGAAAACAGTGGACCGCGCATGCATCGCTCTCTATGTGGTGTAGTACATATACAGTTGTTCGGAGTGTGTGTTGTCGAATTTTGATGGATTGGGTTTTGTAGGTGGGTCCAACGACTATCGGTAGGATTTCTCTGATAGATCAACGGTCAGGATTACACATTAAGGGTTGATGAACAAAGAAAGGAATAATAACCTTAAATGGATAATTTTAATGATAAATTACACTGACCCCTTGAGGTTTAAGCAAATTATACATGATTGACCATTTAATATTGTTATGACATTAACCTCGCCTAGTATTTTTCTTTCCAACTCATCTTGATCAAATTTTATAAAATAACAATTTTATCATTATATTGTATAAAATATAATAGGATAATTATTATAGTATAAAGGCATTAATGACTTTTTATACTCAAAGTCATTTTTCGCCTATCAACAAACGAATTTTATGGGAGGTTAAAATAATAAACACCGAATAGTAATATAATTTATTCAAACTTATAAGAAATAAATATTAATTTATCATAATTTTAAGTAATATTTTATATAAATTTATGTCTAATGGGAAATTGGGAATAAATGAACTTTTAAGTAGTATAGGTTTCTTGGTGGCTCTACTTTCAGTTAGATTGCACCAATCACCATCTTATACATACTTCCTTTCTTGGTTTGGAATCAAAGTAGCATGTATTCTGCACTTTTCCTTCTAGACATTCCTTTACCCACTTGGAATTTTTCTTCCTACTAAATAGTACTATACTAAATATTAAGTTGTTATTTGAAAAAAATATTGTTATTAATGATTATGATTAAAGAAATTCTGCTTTAGTAGACAGTTGACTATTCATGAACCCAATTTATATGAGTAGTCAGCTGTCAATAAAGTGACAAAGTTTGATATAACTTGTCAATTCGAACACAACACGAGTTAAAACGGTTTGAATTGACCTTAAACGATTACGATTCGTTTAGTTAATTGTGTTGTGTTTTGGTTAAAGTGGTTCAACTCGTATAACTTGTTTATACTTATTTAAGTATATATGTTATAAACAAATTTATATTTAAGTTCCAAAATAACTAAATAAAATTGTATCTTATACTTTTTTATTTTGTAAACTATAAATTATATAGTAACGAGTCATTTCCAACAAGACATAATTAAATTTTGACACATTTAATTAGACGTGCCAATTACAAATAGACATGAATATAACACAAATAATATTACACCAAAATCAAATTACTTCCCAATTTTACTTGGAGCTTGAGTAAGCAAAAGTAACATATAACTTTATAATAGGCAAATAACCTCAGTCACACAATTTTTTTGAACGGGTATTGCTCTTACGTTCCGAACACGCTCTCGCTCTTATGTTCCGCGCGCGCTCTGATTCAAATTCTTATTATTTATGACTTAATTCTACCATTTCCGCTCTCGAATTCACTCTCACTCCCGCTCCCACTTTACGTGATATAGCTAATAACCTTTTTTTTTAAAAAAAAAAAAGGTGCCTCAATATGAACTAAATTACCAGACACCTTGCAAAACGCCTTACGCAGGTTGGGTAAAAGTTCATACGTTCATCAATAAGTATGAGTATGTTACCACAATAAATTATTTGCATTTCAAATGGTACAATATCGTTACACATTTCTATAAATTAAGGCTATATTTAGTGTGCAGGAATGGAATGGAACGCAACTTGGAATGGAATGAGAATGAGAATGGAATGAAATGAGTATTACCATTCTAATGTTTGGTGTGACACGGTGAATCGTTATGGAATGGAATAATTATTTTGACTATCATTAAATATGGAATGTAACGATTTTTCTCAAAAATACCCTTTTCATTCTTTTTTAATAAAATCAATCTAATTAATATTTTGTCAATACAATTTTATCAAAAAACGGGTTGAATACTTGACCTAAGGATCTGATTTAAAGGCTAATATATATATATATATATTATATATATATCTTGATTGATGGATCATTAAATATATATATAATGATACATCAATATATATAATGATACATCAATATATATATATATATATATAATATGGTTAAAGGTTATGTAATTTTTTATCAATGGCAGTTCTGGGTATATTCAGAAGAGAGGGAAGGTGAAAAACCTTTACCATGTGAAAAATGGAATGTGAAAGATTTTTGGTCTATACAAAATATTTTTGCCTTATTGAAACATGTTGAAGGGTTTATTGAAAATATTAAAAAAAATATTTAATTTTACTATGGAATGGGTGTAGTAAAGAAATGAATTTTCATTCCATTAGAATGGTCATTCTATGTCATTCCTGCACACCAAACAAACAAATGGTTGAAATGGATATTCCATTCCTGCACACTAAACATAACATTGATTTTATTAATTTATACAGATATTCGTTCGAATCTATTATACCGCGACTACAAATCATCACTGTAACTCGAGCGAACCCGAATTATAAATTGAATTTGCCAACTCTTCCATGCAAATATTTTATTTTTACATCCATTCTTATAATGTACTAACAAACATAATATTTTTTATTTTTTGTTCAATACAAACGTAAAAACAAAATTGATTGTGCCTGTCTCTTCCTTCTTAAAAACCGTAGGGGTTACACTGAAAAGTGTAACGTCAAAGACTAAAAAGGACAATCTGCTGAACGGAACAAGTGTTTCTCATACCTTTCGATAAAGAAAACAAGTTTTCTTCATCAGTGATCACCACCCAAGCTTTCCCCAAAAATATGCGTTACAAAGCTGTAACAAACAAACAAAACCCAACTCTTATCTTCAAAACTCTCTCTCTAAAAATTTCGTAACTTTATGAGTTTTGAAGTTTCAACACCAATGGCGTCTTTTGATTACTTGGAGAACATGTATGATGTGAAGCTCAGGCCTCGACTGCTCCGTTTGCTTACGGAAGAGTACCTCACAGTCACAGGCCAAAACGACGCCGTTCCTACCCCTCCGGTGTTCACATATGTGGTTAATGCCATCAAGAACTTCGCTCTTCTCTCTGAATCTTTCACTGAATTGACCGACTCAAAGCTCGTCCAAGATTGGAAGTCTTCAGTTGACGCCTGGGTTGATGGCTTGCTCTATCTCGTTTCTGGCGATTCGGTAAATTCACTAAATTTTAGATCATTCGTCATTCTGTACATTTTTGCATTCGTGTTTGGTTGCTGAGAAAACGGAGGGAAAGGAAAAGAAAAAAGGATATATATATTTTCTTAATTATTGGTCATGGAAAGTGGGTTGCAATTTATTTTCCCCATCTTCTACCTTTTTTTTCTCAAGAGTATCTTCTACATTCTCTCAGCAAACAAACAAAACATCAAATTATACGTTAGCTTTCTGGAGTTCCATAATGTAAAACATCTTTGGATTCTTTTTTCTACATTCCCTACATTTTCTCAGCATTCAAACAGAGCATAAAATTACATCACTTATTTCATTTCCTTCTCTTTCATAACTCGATTACCTTAGCTGCTGTGATACATATTATAAAGACACATACATATATGATATAGATTCGGATCGAACAAATCTAGTTTAAAACCCTACACAACAAGAGCTCTGCTCAAATGCTCTGCCATATTGGTATGAGAGTTAAATCAGTCAACACTTCCATGAGCATGACTATAAATCATTGGATTTCTTCATCCTGGTATATGCAACACAAGAGAAAGTGACAAAAGATATATATATATATATAGTTGATATACAATATTGTGCAAGTAATTAATTAAGTATGCACTCACTGGTGGAACTTTTTTGCTGCAGCTGGTTGACTGTTGGCTAGGAACCTCTTTGCTAGGAGTGACTTGTCTAGAATGCAGTTGTCATCGTTTCTTGGTGTCCTACTCCGGTTGGCTTGATAAGCTTCTGCAAAATATTAGGGTATGCAAACAGGCTTATACTTTACATCTTATTGTTATACATTTTTAATTCATTTTGGTGTGATATAAATGATAGTTAGATTTTTTTGCCAACGTTTTGGCGCACATGCACACACATATAACTACTTTTCAACGAAACCTCGTGTTGTCGTTTACTAGATTACCAGTTGTTCAAGTTAGATTAGAGGCAAATGCATATTTTGTTCATCGGTGGAAGTTAGAAATTTTTGCTCTTATAGAAATTGTAGAAGCTAAATTATAAATGAATAGATGAATAAAATGATTTGAGAATTTCAATATTAGCTTTATTTATATCCTCTATGATTAATTTTATAAGAACATGATGTATTTGTCCTAAATCATTCTATGGCGCCCTTTCCGACTTTTTTTTTATCTACACTTGCATTGGTTTGAATGAATTATGTAACTTCTGAGTTGGTAATCTTAAGCTATCATCCTTTATTTGGACATTTGACTGGCGAGAATAATATCTGATATCTATTTCTTTTGTAATAGGGTATATCTTTGGTACCATGGAATTAAGATACTAATTACTTATTTCTATTTATGGGTGTTATTTCTTTAGACAACTCTTTTTCTATATTGATCAAATTTTGTCCGACAAGTTTAATGTTTGAATCTTCTCATGTTTAAAGTTTCTACAGGTTGATAAAATAAATCTTATCTAATTCTGATGTCAGTTGTTATGGCATAGCTAATCTAAAATCTTTTTTTTTTTTTTTGATAAGTAATAATAAATTAAAAAAGGCGTTCAATAGGGGAACGCGTCCCATAAACATAAGAGATAGCTAATCTAAAATCTCGAGGAAAGAAAAGTTCACGAGGCTTTTATTCACAGTTTCCAACTCTTCTTTCAAAATAAATGAATTCATGTTTGAATATCTCTAACTTACCTACACTCTCTGGTCAAAACTTCTTCTTGAAAGCGGTCAAAATATATTTCCTAATAATGGTTTCTAAAGGTTTGAGAGTTGAGTTGGACTAAGTAAGGAGGTAAAACTTTTTACAGTTTATGCATGCATATTAAGTCTAACTAAATTTTAGACCAGTTGTCTTTCATATGGGTAATGGCTACTTTGTCCTTTAAAGCTGGATATAAAAAATGTACTTAGCTTAAACCACAACTTTATTAATATGATGCATTGTGGGGGCAATGACATGTTTTATATCTTATATAGCTTTATTAGAGGACATGGCTACCACAATTAAAGCTGAAGAATGTGAATCCATCTTCAGATATGTAAAATAAGCTCTCTTAGAAGTATCATGACCATGAGCTGCTTTGTTTCTACTTTCATTCCCTTAGATATTGTATAGAATATCTGTTAAATAATAAAAAGGGAGAGTAATTTGTTTGTTTGTATGTAAAGGTTATCTGATATTTTTTAAGTTATAAGAAATATTTTTACTACCACCACAAATAAATTGTAATGACATGCTTTGTCTGATGTGTGGTGGGTGTGGGTTTGTCTGTGCATGTGGTGTACATGTGCGTCTTCAACAGCCACCAAAAGCTTCCGAGTCTGTTAAAGCAGCTTCTTGTGCCTCCATATCATATTTATTTACAAGGTTGGTTTTTCTTTGTTCAACATACGGACATATATATGTAGCCGTTGTTGTGTTTATTGAATCTTTGCCTTGTTTCATGATGTTTATTTTGTATAAAAACAACATCATACCACATTTTTGTGTTGCAATATCTATAATGTAAAGCTTCTTGATTAATTAAATCATTCAATGTTGAACAACTAGGATTTTAATCTTTGTCGATCATCTTATTTCGTCCTTATAGATGAACAAAAATACTGAATTTGGTTGCATTGTTACATATTTAGTTTTGATCTTTTTTTGATAGTTTGTACGTGGGTTATTAGGACACATACAAATGATTTTTATATATTTTATTTGACTATGGTGATACACATGAAATATGGGGATTATAAGTTGACATCTGACTGAGGCAGGAAGTTGGTTAAGGGTCATCATCATTTCTGTTGAAGCACATTTTCAACTAAAAAATCCACAATCTTGATGGAATCAGGGCCAGGGTGGTCAGCAAATAGGGTAGATTCTTGAGATAGATAACAGTGACTAATAAATTACAAACAGCAAGAACACAATATTCCAACCCATTATAGACAGTAAAACAAATACAAGGAGCATAGATCTTGTATTCCTTAGATCTTAGGAAATGGCTGAATTTGATACTTTACAGATCTGGAAAGCAGGTAAAACAGCAACAGAGTGTCGTGTGAGTCTTGGGGTTCACTCAAACCCAAAGCTTCCACCGTTTGATGTTTTGGTTCTTGCTTGTCCTAGGATAGCTTTAAGTGAACTGGGGATTTCACTACTTGGATTATTATCTCATACCATCCCTAGAAGGGGAGGTGCAAGATCCAAGTCCTAGTTACCAGGCGGGTGTCTTACATGTGTGTGTGTGTGAGGGAGGGAGGGAGGTTTTCCTTGTATAGGGTGGATCCAGGTTTTGCTTTTTTCTTCCTTGGGGGAGGGAGGCCTCTAGTTGCTGCAGCAGCAATTCACCAAACAATTCAGCTTCTTTTTTTTTTTCTTTTAGGAAATAGGCAATAGTTGTAAAACTAATGTAGAAAGTGGAGTCAATTATTAAGAAAAACTAATCAAAGAAATGAAATTAAATAATTTCCTAATCTAACATATAACTTATGTGCTGTTAATTCTAAACAAATTCCTTATATCTACATGAGTAATGATGGGACAAAAAATATGTTATAGAATAATAGGAAGTCCCAATGATAAAAGGCACCTGAGCATGATCATTTGAAAAATAATAAAATTACCTTTCAAAAAATAAAATAAAATAAAATTAAAGAGGTTGGATCGGATACAGTTGTTACTGTTGTAATTAAATTGAGTAGTTTGGTGACTAAACCTTCTTGTTAACTGGGATATTTTGGAGAGACTGTCTATAAATGATACAAACTATGAGAGGACATTAAGTTAATCCATGGAGTGTGAACAATGCCAATGAATATCATTTTTGTCCTCTCTTTCATTGCCTATTACTTGCTTAAGTTTATAATTTTTTTAATTTTCCATTAGAACTTACTATAATTTCCTTTAGTTCCCAGGGATTGCTTCCATTGCTCATCAGGCATCTATAACTGTACATTAAACTTTAGGATTGCTCATTATCTTTTAAGATTTTCCATTTTATTCCTGATTACAACTCTAAATTTTTCATTCTCATGTGTTATTTACCAATATCATTGCAAAATCCACTAACTTTTTTCAGTGCAAATTTTTTTTCTTCCTTTGTTTTTCTATATTAGGTTGGGTGGATATCCAAATGTAAAGAGAGAAGGGATAGCCCATGCTGGGAAATTTATTCATCCAGTTTTAAATATATTAATTGAGGATGGCTCAGAGGCTTTAATGGTTAGTAGTTTATTTCATAAGAGGTTTTTTCTGTTCACCATCTAACAATTCATTTCTGGCGAAAGCTACCTTTTAGGTCATCTTGTGATGTATGTTTGTAACAGGTGATAGGCAAGTTCTATTCATGTACACAGAAAGTAGAGAGAGACTAATTTAATCAGGCAGCAATGAACTTATATCACCTTCAAATAGATTATTATTCGTTTGAAGGATAGTTTAATGCTAAGCAGTGTCCAAAAAATACCAAATAAATACATTATGTTCCCATATCATGTTTAAAAATCTAGTGTAATTTATCTAGAGGTCATCACAAGAAGAAGAACTCTCTCTCTCTCTCTCTCTCTCTCAACTATATAGCAGTTTAGTTATGTGACTTGCATCTGGATCTTTTTAGTGGCCTCTTCTGCCTTATCTCTAATTAGGTTGGATTTATTGATTTTTATAATTGAGCAAAAGCTTATATATTTATATATTTTCTGGTTTCTCCTTCATGTTTGATACCTGAATTCACTCGATTTACTTTCATTTGCTCAAGTTCATTTCAATCTTCATTACGGTGATTACTTGTGCAGGAAAGAGCAGTTGGTTTGTTATGCACCATTATAACTTTCTTTCCACTATCTATACATTCTGATTATGAAACTGTAAGTTTTAGTTATATTTCTCCTGTTAGATCGCAACTACATCGCTTTAATTCATTTTGACTACCAAACTGTGGTTGGCTCTAATTTTGATAATGCCTATCAATAATTTCTGAAAAATATACTTTCTACAGTTAAAAAAATATCCCTATAGAAAGTAAAAAATGTATTTGTTACCATTGTAATCGGTTGGTTAGCCATTAATGAATGTGTGCTAAGATGAGTCCGCAACACTGTTTGCAGGTAGAAGCTGCTATAGTTTCAAAAATTATTTCAGGGAGATATAGTGTTAATACATTGAAGGTGGGTGTACTATTTTTTTCTCTGGTAATGCACTCTCTGAAATAGGGACATGTGTTGGCTAATTCAGCATGACATGCACAGGATTTCATGTTTTTTGCTCATTCAAGGTTTGTTCTCTTCCCCCTTTGGTTCTTTGTTTAGAAATATGCTCATTGTTTAGCTTTACTTCCGAGATCAAGAGGAGATGAAGATAGCTGGTCCTTAATGATGCAAAAGTTATTAATATCAATAAATCTTGATCTCACTGCTGCATTCCGTGGTCTAAAAGAAGGTATCTGGTAATGCTATATTTGTTATGCGATTGACTTTTAAATGAGACTTTACATCTATTTTCCTGTCCTGGAGAAACTAAATGTAATACATTCTTGGTTCCTTCAGAAACAGACCCCTCAGCTGCCTTAGCTAGTCTTTCGGAAGCGTCTGGTCAGTCATTTAAGACACAAACTAGTCAGTTGCTTACCAACAGAGTCCCCACACTTATGCTTTGCTGCTGTACTATGCTTACAACTCCTTATCCTGCTCAGGTAGTCTATGATTCTTTTTTTTGGTAAGTCAGGTAGTCTATGATTCACAGAGGTAGTCTTTCTGAAATTCTTGGTGTTTTTATCTATACATAAATAGTAGTCGAATTATAGAAATTCAATTGAAGTACTTTTGAGAACATTTGGAGATATATCACTTTTTCCTTGGATTGCTGAGTGATTGAGGGTGACGGAATTTATTTTCTTCTGAAACATCACAAATTCTGAATGGCAGGTGACTGTTCCTGTTGGTCCTTTATTAGCAGTTGTTTGGAGGGTGCTGATGGTGGATGGATCTTTGTATCAACCATTATCTTCTTTTACAACTGTTATGAAACAAGAACTCACTTGCTGCGAGCTTCCGATTTTACACTTTTACAGTTTAGATCTCCTTGCTGCTGTTTTAAAAGGAGTAAGCAGGTGAACCATATTTTTCAATGGACGCACTTATAAAACTATCAATGGTAGGGTGGATAGTGGTGGTGGCAAGGAATCATATATTTACACAATACTATTTCAATAAGGAAATAATATTGCATTTTATCAAGCATTATAGGAATTATTGTGGAAGTAAGTGGAATGAGACATATTCAGATAATAATTTTGTGAAAGTTATGCTTGTGATTTGAACTGAAATGGTAAGGGGGTGAAGGAATGATAATACTGTGCTGGAGAGTTGGTGTTTGAATTATTCCAGATTACTTCAATGTTCAATTCATATTTTGAGGTTTCCTCGATGAGAAAGTAGTACTGCATAAATACTCGATAAGGTGCTGTTAACACTTGCTTGAATTGATATGCATAAACTATTGGATATTGCAGATTTCTGTACATGTACTCTTTAACACTCTGCATAACTGAATTTTTTTAAGTGATGTGAGGATTGTACAGATTGTTATTTTTTTTTCAGTGTTACAAGTACATCTCAACTTATAAGCAATACGGTTTCTTGTAGTGAACTTTGTGATAATAGCAAAGAACCAGTTAATTTATTTATTTATGTATTTTTTTTCCTCTTCCCTTCACGCCTGGGTGTAAAGGATACCCTTGGGTCTGACGTCCTGCACAATTCCTCCTCTTTCTTCCATATATTAAAACGAAAACAGTGGAGTTTATTTTCCCATCACACGCTGAAGAAATTGTTGCGAATGCCGGGTTAGTTTACCTTGCCTCCTTTGATGAGGCCAATAGTCCCGTCATTTGTGCTGCTTTTTTCTGCATTCTCTTCTGGTGGTTGCATATACAAAGAGAATTTATATCTTATATTTGGCTTACATATATATTTTTTTATTGACAGACAACTGTGGCCACATACTGCAGAAATTGTCAGAATCCTAACAGCTTATTTCAGGAGATGTGCATTGGCAGCACTAAGGATAAAGGTGTACTCGGTTATAAGGATTTTGCTGATGTCTATGGGTGTCGGTATGGAGCAATTTCTATACAATAATTTCGTGTCCTGTTTTCTTGTGCTACTACATGCCATCTAAGTGCTACTGTATAAATACAGAGCATCAAACGTTTTTGCTATGAAAATGCAATTGACATTCTTTTGCAGTACTATTCTGTTTTCTGACCATGTGCGGTGTGCATGTATGCATTCATGATTATGTAGACATATCAAAAATTAGTGATCCCCATTTCAAAGACCATGACTCCGTGCAAGACCAGTTGAGAAGGAACAGAAGGGTTTTTTTAGGAGGCCTGGATGCCTACTGAACATTCGAAAGGACACTGCTTCATATACCCGAAAAACATGTGTACTTGAGTATTTTGAGAATTTCAAAATTGAAATACCTTTTATGTCTGTTAATATGTCATTATGACCTGGAGCAGCTTATTCAGTTTTATTTTCATACTGATGTGTTATGGATTCATAGTATTCCAGCCCTCTGTCCTCCTCATTTTATGCTGATCTGATTGTGCATGTTCTGCTGAGCTCTTGACACTCCTATGTCACAACTTCCGTCCATCTGTTAATAGCTTCAGATAGGGAAAACCATACCTGCTTTGTCTGCAGGGAAAACCATATCAACTTTGATTTGAAAAATCAACTGAGCACATATGAACATTGCTGCTGCTAGAAGATCATGCTTAGTTGGGACTTCGCCATATTGACCTTCCCCCACATTTGCCCCATAAATAGGTGCAGCTTTAAATTATATTGCCTTGGAGATTTGCTTAACTGTTTCATACTCAGGTATCAGTGGCTTCACTACCAACTTGTATAGAAGTTTTCCTTTCACCTTCTTGTTGAGTAGTTGGAAGATTTTATGCTTGTGACATGCCAAAAGGCCCAAAACTGATGTTTATGAGTTCATCATGGGGTTAACATGATTGCCCACTTAACTTCTCAGATTTCTCATGTTATGCTTTCACATGTAACGCATTCCAGATATATTGCACACTGATCAGAAGGTTTTCATATTGGCCAGGTATAGCATTGTCCATTGACCAGGACATCATCAGCAATGCATTTGTGGATTTGGAATATGTTGAAAATGAAACAGGAAGAATATCTTCTAGTGCAGACTCAGAAACCAGTTCTAAAACCTTGCAGCAGCCAACCAGTCAAAAAAGGAAGCATGTAACTGTGAAGCTTGAGGATGAAGCAGGTTTGGAAGCGGAAGCTACCAAAAACATTTTGAATTCTCCTATTTCTTTGAAGATTGCTGCTCTACAGACATTAGAAGTTCTTCTCAATGTGGTACGTGCTTTAGTATCTTGTGTAGAATGTTATGTCAATATATACAAGTAATTACTGATAAAAGATTCAGTTATCTTATCCTTGGTTTTAATTAGTAAGGAGAAAAAAGAGGAAATAATCGAGTTATCCTCTCAGATATTGTTGTTGCATAAGGTCTTATACCTTTCACAATCTAATAGGTGCTTTTAGAATTTTTATTTCTTTATTTCATTGTATATGAGTTTATTAAGAGCATGTGTGGGTGATTAATGAAAAAGTACCCATCTCAGGGGACTTGTTCTGCATGGTTGATAAGTGCTTGATCTATCAGATTCTTATACCTGTCCAATAAAACAACCAAAGAACTGTTTGTGTCCTTATGATTGTATGGTGAAGTATTTTAGCATACCAGAGCCTAGGTAGGACCTTACTGAATAATGAGCGGCCAGCCTGAACATGCATCAAAGATGCAAGAATATAAACAAGCTGAGCTGATTTAATCTATTCTTAAACTTAACTTGTGCATGTTTTGTTGGGTCAAGCTAATCAAAAGTATTTTTTATTTATTTATTTATTTATTATTTTTTTTTGCCTTCCAAGTAAAAGTGAGCTTAAGTTGGGCTTGGTTTTTTGGAGTGTTAATGTGTTAGTGTTAGAGTTTGATGTACATTGTTAGGCCCATTTCTTGACAGCTAAATTTTTTGCAGGGTGGTGGTTTAAGTTCCGAGTATTGGCAATCAAGTGTTGATTTTCTTCTAGTAACTGTAGCAACAAATGTTTGTAATGGAGAACTTGTCAGTGAAAAAGTGAGTGATCTTGTGCCAGCCGATGAATGTAGTTCAACCTGGGCTGATTTCCAGCTTGCAGCGTTACGTGCACTTTTGGCGTCTCTTCTTTCCCGTACTCGTGTTCATCCCCCTTATCTACATCGTGGAATTGAACTTTTTTATAAAGGTAAGTTAAAGATCCATTCCTTATTTCATCTATGCTGTTTCACAACCCAGCCTAGTGAATTGCAATGGCTTAGAGGTAAGTTAGTATTAAGAGCAGTTATACAAAAAATATCTCTTTTGATCATCAAAGGAAGAAATCATACGACTTTGACAATTCCACAAAGATAGCTGCTTTCAGGACCCCCGAACCGACCTTCCCCTCTGAAGAAAAGAAAGAAAAAAAGGGCCCTAGATAAAGTCAAAATCTCAACTACCTGCATGCCCTTGTGTATCCCACTCTGTTTCAATCACCCCTGAGTAATGGCAAGAACTATATTCCAAAAATCCAATATTTAGAAGATGTATCTTGCTTCAGTTTTAATTGGAGGTTTGTAACCTTGAAATAGAAGTCCTTGTTACATGATTTACTAAGAAATTAGATACTGTGGATTTTTAGTGGCCCAAGGGTGAAACTATCTATCAAAAAATTGTCATTAGACTTTTCTCAAACAAGGTGAAACCAAGTTTTTATTATTAGTTTGTTTAAAGTAACCAAATTGTAGTCTACAGACATTTTGTCTAAAAGATGCAAATTTGGATGGAAGTTGATTACTTGTAAATTTAGGTATATTTAAGAATTAAGTACTTTCATTCTTCTTTTCTTTTTTCTTTATGGGTGGATTGAAAATTAAATCAGTCAAATAATGGTTTAGGTATATACCCTTTCAAGTGTTACTTTTGGTTATTTTCTCAATTTTAAATTTAATATTTGTTGTATTCACATAGTTAAAGTTACTCTTCTTTACCCTTCTTAAGTGCATGCAACACATGGATCCTCTCATTGGTTTTTTATTTTTCAACTTTTTTCTTGGGCTGTCGTAAATCAAGTTAGAGTGCCAAGGGTCTAATAGCTTTTTCATAAAGGAAATCTGTCGGTAACAAATTGAATAAATTTTTAAATTAGGTTTTTATTCAGCAAGAACATTGGCGATCAATGTATTTGTATGTGATGAATACAGTTTGAAGATAAATACATATATATTGTTTTTTAACAGCATCAGAAAAGAAGAAATTACCTATGACGCCATAATCCTTGGTTCCACCATCCATGAAAACTCCTTGTTTTTGGCTTCTGCAGGCAAACAAGGAGAGACAAAGATCGCCGAATTCTGTGCCCATGCTCTTTTAGCCTTGGAGGTGCTCATGCATCCTAGGCAGCTACCAACAGTAGAATTTCCCCCTACAAACGAATGGTTCAACCACAAAAATTCAGAAAATATATGCTTGGGCGACCAGAAAAATGATGCCCTATTGAGAACTCCTCTAGTAACGGATAATTCAGATGGAGACAGTGACCTGCATGAAACTTGGGTTTGTGATGGCAATGAAACCGAGGCTTCACCAAACATTTCTGATGACAACATCAAATCGGAAGAGCCTTCAGAACCAGATTTCCTGCAAGTGATTGAAGATTTTCAAGCAGAAAACATTCCATTAGATGGGTTGTCCAGTGCAATTGCTCCAGAAGAAGTCCAGCATGGACATGCACATCGTCAAACCAGAGCAATTTCGAATTCCCAATCAACTGAAGATATTAAGGTTTGTGCCGATAGTAGTGCAGGCTTTTAAGAAGCTTTTGATGGTGGTGCAAGTTGATCCTCCTAGCAACGAAATGGCACCGCGCGGAGGATGTTTTGTCAAGATGCTGAATATGACTGGAAAATAGGCAATGCCGTGGCCACTCCTATGGCAATACTGATTTCAGTGAGTTGAGTTAGGCATGTGTTGGAGAGAGAACCATAGATGGTTAGTAAGGCACTGTTATGGTTGAGTTTTGTTAATGTAGCTGAACATATATATGGCAAGAAATGGAGTGCTTGTGGAGTTTATTTATGAATCTCTCTCTCTCTCTCTCTCTCACACACACACACAAGTCAAGAACTTTTTTAGTAAAGTCAAGATTTTTTTTCATTTTCAAGTTACAAAATGTTTGTGATCTACATTTTAGGCAAGACGGCACACAGGGAATTTGTAAATTTTGAATCAAAATTTGTATTTATTTACCTTTTATTTATTTTTTCTTTCATTTTTGGCTTAATTTTAAAGGGGTTGAGAGGAGAGATATGAACACCAAATGGTTATTATAGTAGTGTTAGTTAAATTGTGCCAAAAAGAAAAGAAAAAAAAAAAGAAGAGAGTAATTTTTGTACGACTCCACAACTGTCTAAACTCACAGCAACGATGATCATAGTGATGAATAAAGATAAAAATAGAGTCTCTCTCTTTTCAAAGTGTTTAAATCAATTATAGTCAACTAATCTTTTATTTGTGTAAAAAAAAAAAAAAAAAAAACACAACGAATCTTTTATTTAAGTCTCTCCATTTAGATTATAGTAGCTTCTTCTTCTTCTTCTTCTTATTATTATTATTTTTCTTCTTGTTTTAAATACAAGTTTAGAATGCCCTCAAGTTCCAGCTGAACACAGCGAATGACTTATCACAAACCTAGAAGGGTTCAACAGGGCCCAAACCCAGAGACCACAAGCTCAAGCCCAATTCAATTATGCTTTCATATAAAGTCCAGCCCAATTCTAGCCCAGAATGAGAACTTCAGTAGCACTGAAGTTGATTAGGGTTTAGTGTATATACACCAAATAATTGCCTCACTTTCTACTTTCTCGTTCGTCTTCCTTCCTCAGATCCTGACGGCAACCCTACGCAGCTATGGTTCACGTCAATTTCTATCGCAACTGTAAGACCCCCTTTTCTCTCTCTATCTCTCTCTCTCTCTCTCTATATATATATATATATCTATATATGTAAGCAAGCGTGTATATACGCATGCCTTTCATACATGTGCGAATACATAGATCAATTTATTTTTATCGTCATTTCCGCTATCATATTTATATATGATTTGACCCCCGAAACGTAGTTCTTGTTTTTGTAATCGCTTTGATCATTCCTTTGTTTGATATGATCATGCTGTTAGTTTTGAAGTTTTCTTCTCAGCTATTCGCGATTTTCTGATTATCATATGTAGCATTTCAAAAATTGTGATGTATAGCTTGTACAGTTTAGATACTATCAGAAACTTTCCTGCCTTCCCGTTTGGTTGCTAAGAAATCTGAAAAAAATATTATTTTTCCCGGATAAAGTTTAAGAGATACCTCTACGAAGCCATATAATTGTATATGCACAGTTGAATGAAGGTTTCTGTTTTGTCAACTTAGACAGTTGGAAATTTAGGGCTTTGATTTTCTTCATTTTTTCAACAAGCAAAAGGAGCATTATTGTATCTGTTGCACTTGATGAATACTCAAGTAAGGCTTCTACATGAGCCAACTTATTATAGCTACTACTACTTTTTTCCACAAAGGGGCTTGGAATTATTGCTATTGGATTCTGTTGCATCTCAATTTTTAACTTTCAATTTAACTAAATTATATGGAAACTCGTGTGGTTTCACACTTTCAATTTTTACATTTTAAGTTAATTTATCCCAAACTTCCATGTCAATGCATATTTTGGGTGGTTATAGATGGGAAGACTTTTAAGAAGCCTCGTCGTCCCTATGAGAAGGAGCGTTTGGATGCTGAGCTGAAGCTTGTAGGAGAGTATGGGCTCCGATGTAAGAGGGAGCTGTGGAGGGTTCAGTATGCTCTGAGCCGCATCCGTAATAATGCAAGGATGCTTCTCACGCTTGATGAGAAAAATCCCCGCCGGATCTTTGAAGGTGATGCCCTTCTCCGCAGGATGAATCGCTACGGACTTTTGGATGAGAGCCAGAATAAGCTCGATTATGTCTTGGCTCTGACAGTAGAAAATTTCCTTGAACGCCGACTTCAAACACTTGTGTTCAAGACGGGTATGGCAAAGTCCATCCACCACGCTCGTGTGCTCATTAGACAGAGGCATATCAGGTATGTGTAGCGAGATTATTCCTTAGTTGAACTTGAAGCCAAGGTGTTACTTCTTTTATTGATTGTTGAATGAGTATCTGAATGATGTTCATAGAGTTTCTAGTTATTTCTGAAGTTTGAATTGCTGCTGTTTGTTTTCTGAAAGTCTATTGATGTTCATGTTTTATTATGTTAGTGACTTAGTTGGAACTTCCAAAATTTAATTCTTCTTTAGATGAATGGATAAAGAGGTGAAGTAGCCTGTTTTCCCTTTGAGGCATGTGAATCATGTCTATTGAATGTCTTCCCACTGAGGCATGTAAACAATGTCTATTAGTTGTCCAGTTCCCATAATTCAACTTTCGAGTTCTTCTGATTTGGATTGAGTACTGAAATTATTGGTCAAGAATGGATATTTCACTATGCTATATATTGTTGAAATTCTGAATTCCACTAGAAACTATATCTAGCATGATTTAACTGGGATTTTACAATTATGACAGTTAGAGACCTGCTTTCTATGTTAACCTGGTAGGGAATTATCTTGTGAGGCCTTTATTTGGTTTCAAGTGTTTCTTTCATCAAGACCAAGGCCTGAACAGATTTCTAAATTTAAGGGCAATTCTTTAGGTTAAATGGTTGAACTGTATAAATTCTATGAATCAGGAAATGAAACAAATTTGACTTATAAAAGAAGGCCACTCTACCGTGCAGTTGGTTTTATTTCCTAGTTTCGTCAGGTTTTCCAGATATTTTCTGCAACCGTGATTGGTCAGACTTTGATTAGTTGAGATGTCTCATTTTTAATAAGTATCTGTTCGGCCTTTTATTGGCCAAACAGTGTTTGACATGTTATGGCATCCTTTATCTCCAAGACTCAACTAGTAAATTTTAGGATAGGTAATTGGGAACTTTTTCGAAGCTTGTGAAATTGGTATAGTAACACTGTTGGTATCGAAAGGTCAAGATTATTGGTTTGGTATGATTTCTGATCTTGAGAAATTTTTGTGTTCGTATTTCATCTTCTTTTTGTGATTTATTGTTTTTAATATTATTTGTCATCTATTGGTATCTGTTCGGTCTTTTATTGGCCAAACAGTGTTTGACAAGTTATGGCATCCTCATGTCCAAGACTCAACTAGTAAATTCTAGGATAGAATTGGGAACTTTTTCAAAGCTTGTGAAATTGGTATAGGAACAATGTCGGTATCAAAGGTCAAGATTATTATTGGTTTGGTATGATTTCTGATCGTGAGAAATTTTTGTGTTCTATTTTCATGGTGTTTTTTTTTTTTTTTTGTAATCTATTGTTTTTAATATTATTTGTTAATTAAACCATGCTGCGATGTTTATTTATTAAAAAAAAAAGCCACGTATTTGATTAAACCAAGAGATGATATACTCAAGATGTCATGATATCTTTACTGCAATATGATCATTTGACTTAATACTGGGATATGTTAAACAAGGTCTGAAACATTTCTATCAATAACATTTCTATTTTGTTGTTTCATTTGTAATATGTCAGTTTGGACTGGTTTAGGCCCTTTGATGCCCTATCATTCCCAACCATTATATGACATGCTATATTTTATTAGGATTTTCTTTTCTACAATTTACAAGTATATGATTCAGTGTTGAGTTCTTTTCTGGATTATGATATTAATTTAATTTTCCATTAGGCAAGCCTTCATCTTGAATGACAGGTTTTTTTGCTGATTTAGAACCTGCCCTTCCTCCTCTGCTTGGTTCAAATTTTTTTTTTTTTTTTTTTATGATTGAAATTTTTTCCTTGTGATAATAAGACTGCTATGCACTAGCCCCATTAGCTTACTTCTGGGGAAACTTTACTATTCTGATATTGTTGATTTTCCAATAATTTATAATTTTTGAAGGAACTATCTTTGTTTCAATGGTGATAATTTATGATTCTATTACTTAATAATTAATAAGTTTTTGAATTTTTTTTTTGTATTATTACTTGATGATAATGCTAATGGAAATGCAAACTCTCACATAGAAGAAAATCTAGTACTATTATTACATTTGGTGCATGTTTTGGCCAATAAATTTCTCAACAAATCAAATTCAGAGGGTGATGTGCCAATCTCACGGTTACAATATTAATTATTAAGATTTTTCGCTTTGCTTTAAAGATCTTAGGCATACTTTTATATAATGTGAAATTTCAATATATTATTAAAAAGATATGCAATTGTTCTATTGTGTATGAATTTAGAACTTTTGGCTACTCATAGCTGAAGAAGTGTATTATATCTATTACTACTGAAAAGAATATAAGATATATTTAACTAATGAGTCCTTATTCCGATCATCATTAATTGTTCGAAAGTTGAACGTAACAGTACTAGACAGTTTTTCCAGTTCTATTTCAAAAATCTGCATTTCGGAACATCAAGCATCCATGTCTCTATTAAATGTACTGTCCCCTTTGGTACCTAGATTGCTAACACTTTCTTGTAAAGAGACGGTTAATACAGATACGGTGTGTGCTCGTTTGTTATAGGGACTTGGACGTTATCTTGTTCATATTTACGTTGTGCTCTTGTTTGTAATATCTGGAGATGCTGCTTTATGATGGGTTTGCCTTTTCTCTTGTCAGGGTTGGTAGGCAAGTGGTTAACGTGGCATCTTTCATGGTGAGGGTGGACTCACAGAAACACATAGATTTCTCACTTACAAGTCCGCTTGGAGGCGGACGCCCCGGAAGAGTGAAGCGAAGGAACCAAAAGGCGGCTGCCAAGAAGGCTTCTGGTGGAGGAGATGGAGATGAAGAGGATGAGGATTGAATACCATCAGCACTGGAATTTCTTATTTTGTGTTTGCATTCTCTCTTTCAGCCACTAGTTTTCTTATTTGACTGGCATTTTAAAATTTTCTCAGACAGATGTTAGTAATGGTATTCGGAGTTCAGTTCGCATGGATTTAGAATATGATTGTTATTTAAGATCAATTTGTCTTTCTACTTTTTGGTAATGAATTGAGTGGCAGCAAATAAACGGATTTTCTTATTTACTTTGCATTGAGGATCATTTGTGTCTTTAAATTTTTAATAATTTGTTGTTAGGCTTGAATGATAGGAGTGTGTTTGTGTAATCAACTGACAGATGAACACTTAGAGGGAAAAGAGTCTTATCCTCTGTTTGGTAGGAATTGTGAAGAAAATTGAATGGAAGAAAGAAAGGGTGAATTGTGAAGAAAATTGAATGGAAGAAAGAAAGGGTGGATGAGACATTTCTATGGAATGGTTAATGTCATTTCCTCTTTTTGTTTGGCTGGATAGAAAAAAAGAGGAACACCTTCCTTTGTTTGTTAGGGGGAAGGGAAGGAAAGAGAGAGATTGTTTATAATGAGTTTATCTAATAATTTCGATAGAAAATATTTTAATTTTCTATAATAGCTTCTTTTTCTTTCTTTCTTTATTTAAGAGATGAAAAATTGTGAATTGGGAAAGATTATCTCATTCATTATTTTTTCTCCTCTTTCATTTCTAGTAAGGAATCTTCCCATCACCCCCTCTTCCTTCCTTCTTATCAAATGAAACGTTAGATTCTTTATAGTTGTTTTATCTTTATTTTTATCCACTTTCATAGGTGGTTTAGAAGGACAAAGGGGTTATAGTTTAGAAAAATCTCCTTGACCTTGAGAGTTCTAGGACAAAAGGGTTATAGTTTAGAGAATTTTCCCGTTCATGGATTTTATCGGCAACTTGAAGAATTAATTTAAAGATATAAGGCTTTCCTATTAGAACAGGTTGTTCAAAAGGATCTCTTCCGTTCTTCCATCAAATATTCTGCATTTTCCTGGATACTTGGGTTTAAATACTTATGAATTTATAGTTTGCTTACTGACTTCATATAATTCAAAAAACACTAATTTTCTTGAAGTTTTTTGTTCATATCTCTCATCAAAAGGTACTATTCGATAATATTTGTCTAGCATGCCCCCGCGAGCCTCAAAGTGAAAGGCTAAATTCAAGTTAGGAATGGGGGTGTGAGATTTTTATTAAAGAAAATAAAAGTAGTTTATAAAGAATGTGAAAGGATGTATTCTAAATTAAAATAAAATTATTATAATTTGAATAATTTTTGGGAAAATTAAAATAAATATTAATCATAAAATAAATATTAATTATTTGAATGACATGACGATGATGAGACGACGTATTCTAAATTATTGGATCATGCATCACGCATAAAAAGCAATGGAAGCGTAGCATTGTAGCATTGTGAAGTGTGAACCCATTTATATTAGAAGTGTTTGGTCACCAGGTCTGATCTGTATACAATTCCCACCACGTATTTTATATGATGTTCATCATCTTTAACTTCCTCCCAAAACTAGGCTTTCTTTGCTCATCCATGAAAAAGAAAAAGCTGAATTTGACCAACTTTCAACATCATAATCAGACACCCAAATGTCCATATTCCCAAACAACACGCCACCTGTTCCCTAATCTCACACACTAATCTCACACACTGCCACTAATTCACCGCTTATATCGAACTCTCCCAACCACGTCACACGTGTACACCACAAAACCCCATTTTTGTTACAGGTGTACACCACTTGTACCATTATATATATATATTATTTGTTTATAGCCAGCTCAAAAACTAATCAGATTTGATGTAAACCACACAGCCAATCACCCAATTACACTTGCCAATTGGGATTCTCATGATTATAGCTTAATTAATCAAACAAATGATTATCACCTACTTATATGTTACAAGATTTAAAATGAAATCAACGTGTTTGAGTTTAAGGAATACAATTCAACATTATTCAAACTTAATTTATCTTATTTATTAATGAATAAAATTGAGTTAAAATTTTTAACGAAGGACCATCCAATAAACGATGAAATTCTAAAACCCTATTACTAATTCTTGAATGAATTGGGACTCTAACGATTATCGCTTAATTAATTAATTAATTAAACAAATGATTATCGGGAGGTGACTTGGAATCGGATCTGAGTGACGTGGCAAAGAAGGACAAAACCAACGATCCGAACTTTTCCCCATCAAAACGGCAGCGGTTTGGCCTGGTCTCCAAATCCAACCACCACATGTCATATATCGGTCAACAAGTGATAGCTATTTTAAACACGTGTCAAAATAGCCCAATTGTCTCATTCACTTGAAAAGGCGTGACTCAACAGAACTCCGCGTACCCAAACACACCGCTTCACTCTCCACCTTTATATATACACACAGATATATGTATATATAGATAGAGAGAGAGAGTGGAGTTAGAGAGAGATTGGATAATTGCTAAATTGCGCTTCTATCGTTGTTGTAGAAGATCATCTTGATCTTGTTCTTGAAGATCGTTTGATATTAATAGTTGACCATGACTGTGAAGCAATCGCGGGATCAGGAGAACGCCGGTTCGGATCTCCTCAAACCCAAGGAGTTCTCGCCGATTGAAGATTCAATGGAATCGGAGAAAGCTCTTGCGGCGAAGAAATTTTCCGACGATCGTTGTTTGAACGGGAAGTTGAAGGTGCGTGTGGAGCTGGAGACGGAATCGGAGAGTAATGGATCGTCGGAAGAGACCGAGTCTCCGAGATCGGTGACGAAGCTAGGGCAATGGAGGACGAAGAGGATTGCGTATGTGCACAATCAGATACTGAAGATCAGGGAAGAAGATTCACACATTGGTGAGGAAATCGGTGAGCTTTTGAGCGCCAAAGATAAACTCCCTGCTCATTCAGTGGCTTCCAGTTTGGATCTCATGCTCTTCTCCAGGCCTATGTTGCCTTCTTCGCCTCTCAGTGGCAAGACTACGCCCTTCAAGACTGTACACTGAAATCAATCAAGGTTCGACCTCTACCTTCTTTCGCTCGATCGCTGTGTGTATGTGTATACGTGTGTGTAATGATTGCTTAAATTCTGTTGTGTTCATCTCTAAATCTTGATTTCCTGTGATAATCTTGATTAATGACAGTTTATCCCGTGTAGTCCAATCTTGGATTCTTTCACTTTTGATTCTTACTGATCATTATTGAATTCTTAGTTGCAAAGTTTCTTTTTAATCTATATTTCTAGAAAGATTCAATGTTCGTTGATTTTCTAAATACGTATTAATTATACACACACACATGTATGTGTATATACACACACCAGAACAGTTTAATCACGAGAATCTCACGGCTAAAGTTTCATTCTTTGGTGCTTTTCCCGCGTGAATCCTGGAGCTCTTTTTAGTTTGAAACTTTCCACAAGTTCTACATTTTATTAATTTTTAAATAAATGATTTCTGGTCAATCAGTAAATAGGGGCTGGATATGGGTTCGGATCCGATTGTGACCCATTGATACCATGATATTATACTGTATTCGGGTTCGGGTCGAATTGAGACCCATTTATACCATGATAATGACTATATATACTACCAGTATAAATAAATTTCACTAATCTGTGTTTGGCTTCCTTTTTTTTTTTTTCTTTTTTTTTCTTGGGTTTAGGCATGAGTCATGAGGAATGCATGCATCAGATATTGGAGAGAAGGGTTAAATGCAGAACAGCAGCTGAAGATTTCATGGAGTTCTCTTGGTAGTAGCTTTTTTCAAATTTTTTTTTTTTTTTTTTTTCCAGTTTACTTTTTAGGAAGGAAGAGTAAAACTGTAGAAGTGATCATCATCATCATAACATGGAGAGAGAGAGAGAGAGAGAGAGAGAGAGGGCTTGTACAGTAAGGAAGAAGGAAATAGGAGGGAGGTGATGATGAAAAGACAAGAATGGACACGATGTGATGTGGTTGCAATGGTTTTCCTTTTAGAAAGTAAATCCAGATCTGATATGAAAAAGGTGCAAATTGGTTGATGATGCAGAGAAAGCTGAATTACTATGTTCCTCTCAATTATGGTGCCATTCTCATGCGTAACAAATCGGTGACTATTATTATGTTCAACCATTCATAGTGTCTTCTCATCATCATTAATTAATAGTAGTTGGACAATGATAATTGAAATAGGTCAACTTCAACTAAATAGGGTGAGCCTGCATACCACATTATTGGTATGTCCGGTCAATAAAAATCTACCAAGCAATTTTTTTACTAAATGGTAAGATCCATTTTATGGTAGAGGGTAGATATATAAGGTAAATTTTCATTGGATGGGCACACCAGCATGTGGCGCTCATTCATTCCAGGTAGATTAATGCGTAGACTTAATTTATGTTCGGTTATATGAAATTAGAGTTTTGGAATTAAAATTTTGAAATTAAAATTGGTGGAATTTGAAAAAAATAATTTAAAAAATTAAACTAAATTTTTTTCAATTCTACCTATTTTAATTGTTAGACTTTGGAGGTTGTAGACAAACTCATTGCATTTGGGTTGGGTTGGCTTGAGTAAATCTTGTGGTTCTATTTCAGACTTGTTATGAGTGGGCCTAGATTGGAGGTATTGCACTAGTTTCACATTAGGCTTAGGGCCGTGGAAGTTAGAAATTACGGTAGAGCAGAATAAGATGGCATTACCCATTAACGTATATGGTGACCCAAAAGTACCCAATCCTTGCGGCCCAAACCGGATGTACATGTTTAAAAACATTATCCTATGATTTGGGCCTGGCCTTAAATTGGAGCCCGCCCACCTCTCCAAGAAAATGCACCCCTTGGAACATGCCAGGGATTATAGTTAGAGGGAAGGGGAGGGGAGGGTGCAGGACATGGGGTGCAATCCAGCCACACGCAAGCATGGATGTACTGTGGGCTCAATGCGGGCATTTACTCTTACTGAAATTTTTTATTATTGTATTTTACACCTTTAAATTTGTATATTTTTGCATTCATACCTATCAAATTTTGAAATTGCCCCCACTGAAATTATGAAAAAATCCCCTCTATATAAATTTGTTCCCCCTCATATGAATTTCTAGATCCGTCCCTGACCACACAGGCAAAACAACACTTAGACATATGAATATGACTCGTTTATTAGGATTTGTTTGGATTTATAATACAACTACTTTTTTTTCTTTTTTTCTTTTTTTGAAAAGTTTCATCAACAACCTTGACATCAAACTTTGAGTTCCAACTCAAAATTGTTGACATCAAACTTTGAGTTTCAACTCGAATTTGGTGAAACGAGTCAAATAAACTGAGTATGACTTTGACAAGTATGTTGGAACCGAGTTTGGACACTCATATCTGGTTCAAAAATTGCAGTGCATTTGGACTTGAGAGATTATAATTACTTTTCAGGAGTGGGCTGTGTATTAAAAAAATAGGTAGACTTAAGTAGTTCAAAGCTCAAACAAGTCAAGAGCCCTGCCCCAAAGTTTAAGCCCATTGTTATATAAGATTGGAAATCTACTTATCCCCAAGGAAATTTTAATTTGCATTGTAGGAGTAGCAACTGTAGGATTCAATGTTAATATGCTGTATCTTTTTTCATTTCCCAGTTGAAAATGTAAAGGAGGATTTTCAACATATATATGTAAATATATTTAATAGATTGTCAACACACGACATAATGGGTTGAAAGATGAAATAATGTGTTGAAATACAAAATAATGGTGTTGAAAAGAGAGGTATTTCGTGTTTTAACACATTGTATTGTTGAAACATGATTTGAGAGCATATTCATACTCATATTCTCCATTATCCATCAAAACCCACTCCATCAAAGACCTGGGCTAGCAAAATCAATGGTTGAAAATGAAAGTTTATTTAGTAGACAAAGTGTTTTCTTCCCAAAACTCCAGAAAGTTTTAAGTTGAGTCACTTGTAAAGTTGATGGGCCATTCACTCATAAAAATTGAATAAATGTGTGCGCATGTAAAAAGTTGCATGGATTTGTAAATAGATAATAATTCGTAATCATGTTTTAAGAGTAATCATAAAAGAATATAAGGAGGTTCTTTAAAAGTCCAATTATTATTATAAGGTATATGAGCTGCAATTAGATTGTGACAGGTTAGAGGGCCCAAAACTTTCTTTTTTTCCGGATATTGAGGACCCAAAATTTCTATGGTTGAAGCTTCGTGTTTATTATTATTTTTGTTTCACGTTAGTAGTATATCTATATATATACATATACACACACACTAATCATTAGGCAATCTCAGTTTTTACTGCTGATTAATGTATGGTAAAGACAAGAGTAAAATTCTTCTATAGAGGTAATTAGACCGGTTATTCTATGAATAATCAGTTGTGTGTGTATGTATATATATATATATATATATATATAGAAATATTACAAAAAAAAAAAAAATCACAATAGAATTATTTAATTTCCTTGGAACATCATCGACCCTTGAGCTCCCTAAAACACATCTGGTAATCATTTCATGTTAACTGTTGAGATGCGGATGCCAAATCAAGTTTAAGGATCCTCATTTCAAAAGCTATATATATATACATACATATATATATATGAAGCACATGAATGATCATGGATTAGGTTGGAAAGCCCAACAGGATCAATATATATTTGTAGAGTCCAGGGTGTGGTCCATGGCTTGACTCAAAATTCGATGGTCCATGCTGGTCCAACTTAGTGGTCCATAACTCTCTTTCTGCTGCATTCGATCCTTTAGCATAACATCTTTTAATATGCTCCTTTTTACATTTTCATATTTTTTATTGCATGCCTAGTTGTTCGTAAAGCACACTAGTGTGATAATTAGCTACACAATTTTCTTCTAGTTTGAACTAATGAAACTCCATTTTATGAATATTTTAATTAATATCATTTACTTAATAACTTGGAATAAAATACTCAGACTAATTAAGTCCATGTGCAAAAACCATAGAGTGACGATTAATTTGGTCATGAAGACGGAACAATATTAAAGGCTTCGACTTTCCGTCTTTGACACTAACTGCGAGAGAGAAGTAGATGTTATGGGGCCCACACCCCGACACCAGCTTTTGATATTTTTTCCTTTTTTGAAATAAATAATAATCATCAACAACAATAAGCATAGGCGGGATTTGAATATTTGTTTCGATACCGGATCATTTGATGCTAGCTACTGTATTTCTTTTAGCAACAAGAGGGACTCTCAACCCTAATTTCTAAAAGCATAGCACATGTGTAAATAGTATGTATTGTTGTTTAAACTTAAACTAGGTTTAATTTAGTTCACGAAAATGGATCTAATGTTCCCAAAAGTGGCTACAACAAGACTGAAGCCACTTCATGTGTTGCATAAAACGTCTGGCTTGAAAACGATTTGATTTGTTTTTATTATATAATTGATTTAGAACATTTACCAAATTTTTTGCTTTTGAAACTCCAACTTTAGAGAGGCATTGGGGGCCAATTAACACATAAGTACAATTTAGTGTCAAACGTTTAGCCGACCATTTCACCATTTCACTGCACTTTGTGACCTTGATCTGACTTTAACACCAAATTAACATGTTCTTTAATCACTTCATTATTAGTTTAATAGCATAGATTAACAAGTCTAGAAAATCAAATGGTACAACATGTCGGGGTCCGAGAATTCTTTTGGTCTTCTCACATTGACAGAGAATTTTGTGAATGACAACTGTTTGCAAATGCAGAAAGTCTATATAAATACAACCTTCTCCAAAAACTCGCGATGGCCGAAAGCCTTATGCATTGAATTAACCCTTTACATGCTACAAATCTTTGCTTTCATGGATTAGTTAAAAGTAATTCGGTTAAACTAATGGTTTGGTAGTACAGTTCACAAAGGAATGCTGTGACAGGCTTGCTACAATGTTAAACACAATTTGGACCACACTATAAAGCACTGTCTACATTTGATACTAATCATGTGATCATAGTAATCAACATTATTCCTACCTCTGAGTTATGACAAGGGGTTGAAGACCAACCCTATAATTGAAAGCAATTAGAATCTAGGTTGCTAATTAGTCCACTTTTATATTGGATTATAAATTAAAACCTTGTCATAAGTATATTCCAGGTCAGGGCACAGAGAGGCATTGAATATTTAGTGATTGATGATAGCTTTGAGGAAATTTCAATTAGGTTAAAAGAAAAAGGTTCTCTTAGGATAATTATAGTTTTTGCAGACTAAAGGGTAGTGGCTAAAAGCAGCTGGCTTCCTAGCTATTGGTCTTGTTGATTTTTGTTCTTCAATGTTAGGTGGGAATGCATTTATATATGTAAGTTCTGGTTTGCTCAATTAAAAACATGGTTTTGAAGTTTTGATTTGGATATGAGTCTAACCAACTTGGGATTCACCAAGAGAGAAAGACAAATGGAGGGTTTCTATGACTGTGCATTGGACGGTTGTAGACGGGTAAATACCTCTGGATATTATATACTTTCTCTTCATTCAAGAAATTAAATCTCAATCCGGATCGAGAAATTATTAGATGGTCATGAACCATCAACACTTAATGGATTAATTCAATTCAGACTTTTGGATTAAGAAAATGACCCTCAAAGAGTGTATTATTATATTACAAAGAAATATTAATAACGGTTTGAATTGAATTGAATTAGTCCACCAAATGTCACATGATACAGAACCATTTAATAATTTCTCAATCTAGAGTTACTATTTTAAAGGACTCAATACCTTCATCTAGAAACAATCATGATTTGGACAAAATTACATAATTAAGGTACCCCTTACAGCCCCCGATGCACGGGGACCGGAAACGGCATGTGTTTGATTGTGAATTATGAAGTACTCTAAAGAGATTTGACACCACCATGTCTATCGAAATAAAAATAAAAAAGTTTGGGTATGCCACTCTCTTAGCTAGGTCCTAAATTTGGGTCAATCTGCAAATGTTTGAATTTTTTGGTTCCAAACTCAACCTCTTAGGATGGGTTTGAGCTTGAAGAAGGGCAAGTGAGCCTTTTGATAGCCCAGCCCAATGAGCCCAGTAATGGGGGTGGTTGGGTTGTTACTGTTGAAAGATTTGGATAGTTGCACACCAGAATGACAACAAGAGCACAATGACTAATTATATTTTGGAGATTCTTTTTACTTACTTACATGGTACTACATGTCAATGTGACAAGATGCAAATGGGGTGTTTGGGAGATAAAACGTTGGGTTGATTTTGCCATCTCAACAACTCCAAACTTGGCAATTTTGGAGGGACATATTTGAACTCACTGTTGAATTTCATGACTCATCATGTTTAGGGTATCAACTCAGATGGTGTGTCCCTGAAACGTGGTGGTGGCCTACCAAGGAAAAAAAAAAAAAGAAAAAAAAAAAAGGGGGTAGTTCAGTCATTCTCTTTTATTAGGAGATTGTGCTAAATCCAACCCTTGATGGAGAAAAATGCTATAGTTTTGCTACGAAAATGATTTCGGTTTCTCTAACCTATTTGTATAGCAAAAGAGTTGCTATAGTGGATATGACTATATTTAAGCTTAACTACTATATCAAATGGATAAAAATTTTAAATTCTTCAATCAGGCAAATAAGCCAACATATCATTACTTGTTTGCTATATTTAACCACAAATCTCATAATCGTTGATAGTTGAAGGTTCTCTTTCCAAAGTAAAAAATTGACAATTCAAGTTACTGTAAATGTCTTGTTATTTTTAGGAGGCTGAAGAAGACTTTAAAGCAATATAAATAAAATAATGTCTGATGCATTATTCTGATAAAAAGAATTAGTTCAGTGCACGAGACTCTTGTCGTTACGTAATTTGAAAACAGTTAGATGTACACAGCCTTGACCTTCTTATGGAGGGGCTGTTCTGTTCCTGTTAATGCAGCAATATGACCTAGTTATGAAATTTTTATGCAGTAAAATTTTTGAATTATTTGAATTTTTTTAATTTTGAGTTTGTTTTTCAATGAACATATGGGCCATTGTATAAATATCCTTAATAGTGATATGTTTAGCCTAGAAAATGACTTGATTGCAAATAAAGTAGATCATTTTAGCAGCAGAAGCTTTTATAGAATATGGGTTTGGAATATATATATATATACACACACACACACACACACACATAATTAAATATATACTACATAATAAGTCCAGGTTAAGTTTGTTGATAGAGATTGTTCATTCAATCCATTGGACGTTTGCGTTTTGATAATAGGTCCAATTCTATTTGGAGGGATGAGGATGAATCAGCACATGAAAACAGACAAATGGATTGAACTTTCTTTATCAAAACGTATGTATATTATTACTGCATTTCACATTACTTTTCAAAGTAATAAGGTGATCTTTTTTTTTTAAATCTATATCAAATTGGACTCTTGATTATAGAATTATACTATTTTTTTGAACTTATTTTTATCAATTTATTTCTTTACGGCATTTCAACAAAGTAGTAATTTTCTTATGCAATAATTATTTCTTCTTTCTTTGTTTTATTGTGTCTTCTTCTTCTTCTTCTTCTTTTTTTTTTTTTTTTGAGAAATAAAAGACAATCAGACCTTAAGTTACATAATCCTTTTTAACATGTGTCATTTTTACGCTTCGAGCGCACTCTCGTTCTCCACACTCTGTGCGTGCTCTTGTTCAAATTTTCATTACTTATGATTTAATTATGTGGCTCTCACGTTCCCGCTTTTGAATTTGCTCTCGTTCTCATTCCTGCTCCCGCTTTATGTGACTTATTAAGGCAATTAAGGCTGCTTAAGTTCCCAAAGGGGAGAGAGGAGGTCCTATAAAAATATTACTTGTATATATATTGATGTATTATTAATTATGCTTGGTTTAATGTATTAAATATCAAATAAATACAAGTGTTATTTTATTGATCTCATTATATTTACTTATATATAATTTTTAATGTATTAACTATGCTTTGTTTATTGTATTAATTATTAAATAAATACAATTGCACATGTTTTTTTTATTGAAAAGTTTTATTTTATCATAAACTTCATTTTTTCTCTCTCTCATAAATTTCACACCTTTTGACTTCTTGAAAATTCTAAATTCTCTTACATATAATACTTGTTTAATATGTATTATATTTCTTTTGCACTTTGTCATTTATTGATTCTCTTACATGCACAATTAAATCACTATCCCTCAAGCTAAAAAGGGTAAAAATTATATTTCTGAACTTTATTGCAAGTTAAGTGAAGTGAATACAATTTTAATAAAAAAAAATAGTAGTAGTACCTTAATATAGCTAAGGTGTGAAGACCTAATCGTCTCCAAATGTATCAATCAATCAAGTTGGTGTGGAGAATAATTCATTTCTCTATTTGTTTTTCCTCCTCTTAATTTTGCGGTTACAATCAAACAGTGTAATGATCTTGTTATTTTCTTTACGCCATTCTTTTCCATTTCTTTCTTTCCAACCAAACAAAACATAAGTGATATATAAGTGGGCTAGATTGGGATAGAATTTAAATAAAAGCTGGTTTGAAAATGGTTCCAATAAATGCCACCAAGTTGATAAAAATATGAACAATGATGGAGACGTTTCATATAGCCAAATGTTGCATGTAAGGATGGAGACGTTTCAAAAGGGTAATTACTCCAACAGGAAGTGGTATTTATATTTGCTGATTTTACTTTAATTTATTCCACTCAAATTGTTCTTCCGAATTTCGGACGTGTGTTGTTTGGGGCCTTTAACCGATGTTCTAAACTCACAAGTATTATTTTTCTTTCCTTTTTAATGTCTAACTTCCTAACTGCACTAACCAATTGCCAAGTAAAAAAAAAAAAAAAAAATTTGTTTGTTTCTATTTTCTATATTTTAGTTAATTATTTAAAAATGATATCAACAAAACTATTTTTTTTGGATAATTTTCAATTTTATGTTTTTCCGTTACACATATCTAACATTGTCTCAATTACATTATAATTTCTTAAACTCTAAAACAAGAGACACCATCAAGATAGTTTTATGAGTGGTAATTATGGTCTCTACTTGTCTTAGATTAGTATTCCCACTTTTTTATTTCTGATTGTCTCAAAATAAATGCCCTATTTAAAAAGTGAAAGCACTAATTTTTTTTTTTTTTTTTTTCTCTTAACGTTACCAATTTAACCTTTGAACTTATAAAAAGTACTCGTAAATCATCACATCATGTGGACTCACTGTAAACACATAAAAAGTAAATTATCACATCATATGAATCCACTGTGAACATATAGAGTAGTTAATAATTTAATTACTACTAATATAATAAAAAAATATTAAAACTCGTTCTTTAAAAAGTTAGATTCCCAAAAAAAAAAAAAAAATGCATTTAATTTGAGATATGAAGAGTAATTGTTTTCCCATCTTGTTGGGTTTTGATTGTAGGGTTGGGTTATAAATGGACAATGCCATCCTAATGAATAATCAAGTCTAATTGTCTAAGCGAATCATTTACCATCAATAAAGTAGATCAATAAAAATTGTTAAATTGTTCACTTTAAAACATTGAAGATTATAAATTGTTCACAATTAGACTTTAATATTCACTTTGATTATTAATTGATTGTAGCAATCTATGTCAAAGTTTATTATTTGTGTTTTATCCTTTTTGAGAGGTTTTTTTAGGCTTTATTTTTCTTTTTGGATGTTTCTAACCATATTTTCCAAAAAAGAAAAAAAAAAGGGACATTCATGCATATAACTATCTAACATTTTCAATACGTAATTGATTTAGAGAGAGAAAATAATACCAAACCTTCTCTTTTAACAAACAATTACTATTCTTTATTAGAAAAAAATAACTCTTCTTCAACTAGCTTTAAATACACAATAAATAATTTAAATGAATTTAAATATATATATAAGAACTAGTATTATTTTAAGTAGAATATTTAATTCATTTTTGATTCAAAAATGAAGAGAAAATTTCAAATCCAAGATTTTAGAGACGGTAATAAATGCAGAGTCATAGTCCTTTTCCTCTTCAAAATTTAAAATGGTGGAAATTCTATAAATTAATTTATAAAATTTCCTTTTTAAAAAATTGGATAAAATAGAATTTCTACAAGTTTTTGGCGGCACAGACGTCGATGGACTCTCCAGTTACTAAAAGGAAGATTCAATTTTAACCACCACCTCCTAAATCATGAAACTCTCTCTCTCTCTCTCTCTCTCTCACACACACACACACACACACACACAGACTCTCTCTCTCTCTCTCTCTCCTCACTCACACTATAAGTGAGCTCACCACGCCACACTTTCTCCTTCAACTCATTTTCTCACACCACACCTCCTTTGACTGTAGGTCGTTCTATTCACTTTCTCTCTCCTCTTTTTTGTTTTTTTTCTCTCTTTTCACGCATTCTCTCTTTCTTCTTCATGCTTTTCTCCCTCTCTTTTGCTGCAAACCAAACGAAGCTCTGAAACGATTCATTCACTCGTCTTGGACTAATAAAAATACACAACCGACTGTTTTCAGTTTTTCGAGACAGTAAAGAAAGAACAAGAAAATAAACTCTCTTTCTCTCTCTGCCCTCTCCAATGGCGTTATCTATTCGACCTCATAACTCTCTTTAATGGCGAAAATCAAATAACCGAAGATCGCCGAGTAAAACGCATATAACAGTTTTTTTTTTTTTTTTTTTTGGTTTTGTGCTATATCAGTCGGTTTCAATGGCGGAGACGACGGAGGCGAAAACAATGCCGGAGGCGGAGAAGAAGAAAGAGCAGAGTCTCCCTTTCTATCAGCTGTTCTCCTTCGCCGACAAGTACGATTTGCTTCTGATGGTCTCTGGAAGCCTAGGAGCCATAGTTCACGGCTCTTCCATGCCTGTTTTCTTCCTTCTCTTCGGCCAAATGGTGAACGGTTTCGGCCAAAATCAATTCGATTTGAAGAAAATGACGGATGAAGTCTCCAAGGTGTTCAAAATACATATACATCAAAATGCATATACATATATTATATAAAATTATATAGAAGGTTTTGTGTGCGTTTCAGTTTTCAGATCTGATTCATTTTGCCTTTTATTGATTGCAGTATGCTCTGTATTTCATCTATCTTGGATTGATTGTATGTATATCATCCTATGCAGGTTAGAGCTTCATCTTTATTTTTTATTTATTTATTTTTTATTTTTAATATTTGCTTTAAATGTTTATCTTTAATTGGGTTTAGCAACTTGCACGTGGTCCGTGGACCGACTCTCTGTCTTTTTCCACTTCACTCTGTCCATTTCTCAAGTGTTTGAATTTAATATTGATATATATTATTCGATTTCACAAATCTCTATCACTACTGTAGATGTATTGAATTCTAGGGGTGGTGGTTGTTTATTTTTTGGTAAAATTTTGTAAATATTATTTATGAGTAGGCTGATTAATATAGTTCTGCTGAAAACTTGTATGAAATGAACAGAGATTGCTTGTTGGATGTATAGTGGAGAAAGGCAAGTGAGTGCACTGAGGAAGAAGTATTTGGAGGCAGTGTTGAAACAGGACGTTGGGTTCTTTGATACAGATGCTAGAACAGGGGATATTGTTTTCAGTGTCTCAACGGACACTCTCCTTGTCCAAGATGCCATCAGTGAGAAGGTTCTCTCTCTCCTCCCTCCCTCTATATATATTGTATAGTTTGTATGTATATATGTACTTGTCTCTTTTATTTTCATTTACTTATTTCTGAACCGTAACGGATAGCATGAATCTAAAATAGAAAAATCCGCACCAAGGTTGTTGGCTTTCAATTAATGTGGCACCCAATTACATTAACAAGACAACATTAACAAAATCTGAGTTAATCCGTGCAATCCTCTGTGTTAAGTTTCTAATTAGCAAAAACACACATATTTATCGAAACACCCACGAACTTTATGTATAAATGTGAATCTTTTCAAGGAGGGTTTCATTTTTGCTACATTTCTAGCACTGCAACATGACAACTTCTATACTTCGATGGGGAATTTAGGTGGGGAACTTCATCCATTATCTCTCGACGTTTCTGGCCGGATTGGTGGTTGGTTTTGTGTCAGCATGGAGGCTAGCTCTACTCAGTGTGGCAGTAATTCCAGGAATTGCTTTTGCCGGTGGCTTGTATGCATATACTCTCACTGGTCTCACATCCAAGAGTCGTCAGTCCTATGCAAATGCTGGCGTAATTGCTGAGCAGGTAAGCTGTGAATTGGGTATTATTGATTATTTTGAAGAATTATGTTGCTTTCCTGAGTCTAGATTTTTCGTTCCTTTTCTTCATTTTGGTCCTAATGTTCTATTTCTTTTTATTGATGAATACACTGTGCCCCTCATTTTAGTTTGTCACCAAACAAACACACGTGAACTGCAAGCAGTTTTTATTATTTGATGCTTTCTGGATCAAATGATGTTCTCACTTGTGAGACAATCATAAAGGCCCTTTGCCTTTTGCTTTATTTACTTGTTTTATTTTTTAACGTATTCATTTTTAGCTTGGTACTTCCCCTTCAAATATTTTACAAGCTTACGCAACTTGATAGGCCACACCTTAGAATGACATTGGGAATCCATGAGCTTTGCAATTTTTGTAGCTTAGCTCTAGAGATTTTATTTGTTAATTAATGTGTTTTGTTCTTATTAGCATATTACTTTAAAGGTGTATGGGTTAAAGAGGTATGATTTTACTACTGGCTGGTATTCTAAAACTTCTATTGCATGCATAGGCCATTGCACAAGTTAGGACAGTTTACTCTTATGTTGGTGAAAGCAATGCCCTCAATGCCTATTCGGATGCAATCCAAAACACATTGAAGCTTGGGTATAAGGCTGGGATGGCGAAAGGCTTGGGACTGGGATGTACTTATGGTATAGCATGCATGTCATGGGCCCTTGTTTTCTGGTATGCTGGTGTATTTATCAGGAATGGACAGACGGATGGTGGGAAGGCATTCACAGCTATCTTCTCTGCCATTGTTGGGGGCATGTAAGATCTCAAGTGGAAATGTTTCCTCCAAAAATAGTTTTGAATAAGCTGTATTCTACCATATGTGATTATTAAAAAAAGACATTTTTAACAGGAGTTTGGGTCAATCATTTTCAAATCTTGGGGCATTTAGCAAAGGAAAATTAGCTGGATTCAAGTTGATGGAGATTATAAAGCAGAAGCCTACCATAACACAAGACCCCTTGGATGGGAAGTGCTTGTCTGAGGTTAACGGGAACATAGAATTCAAAGATGTAACTTTCAGCTATCCATCGCGGCCTGATGTTATTATTTTTAGGAATTTCTCAATTTTCTTCCCTGCTGGAAAGACGGTTGCTGTTGTTGGTGGTAGCGGGTCAGGGAAAAGCACTGTTGTCTCCCTGATAGAAAGGTTCTATGATCCTAATCAAGGTGATTATAAGACATATTAATAAACATCTGAGGATATGGATATTCTTATCAAAAAGAAATATTAATACTCATAAATTAAACATCTAAGGTTATGGATAAATAATTTTGCTGATATTTACTATTGGCTGAGCAGGGCAAATCTTGATTGACAATGTGGATATAAGGACGATACAACTAAAATGGTTACGTGATCAGATTGGTCTTGTGAACCAAGAGCCTGCTCTCTTTGCGACCACCATACTTGAGAACATACTATATGGAAAACCTGAAGCTTCAATGGCTGAAGTTGAAGCTGCTGCTTCTGCTGCTAATGCTCATAGTTTCATTACCTTGCTTCCTAATGGGTATAACACACAGGTTGGTATCAGGCAATTCTTTTTATGGTAGAGTGTGAAGCTGCATGTTCTCTAGTAGTTTTCTTCTTTTTACTATTGTTCTATGTCAATATATAAATAAAAAAATTCTCTTTGATCACAAACTGATTTTCCTTGCATATTTGGCGCATTTCTCTTTCATCTGTTGGGGGTTACATTGAAATTTGATTAATTATATATTTCAACCAAAACCAGGTGGGAGAGCGAGGAGTCCAACTATCTGGTGGTCAGAAACAGAGAATTGCAATTGCAAGAGCTATGTTGAAAAACCCAAAAATTCTCCTCCTTGATGAAGCAACTAGTGCCCTTGATGCAGGTTCTGAGAGCATTGTTCAGGAAGCCCTGGACCGACTCATGGTTGGAAGGACAACTGTAGTTGTTGCTCATCGCCTCTCCACCATTAAAAATGTTGATACAATTGCCGTCATACAGCAAGGGCAAGTTGTTGAGACTGGAACCCATGAAGAACTAATTGCCAAAGCTGGAGCCTTTGCTTCATTGATTCGATTTCAGGAAATGGTGAGAAACAGAGACTTCTCGAATCCTTCAACCTGCCGCTCACGCTCATCACGATTAAGTCATTCATTGTCAACAAAATCTCTAAGCCTTCGCTCTGGCAGCTTAAGGAATTTGAGCTATCAGTACAGCACTGGTGCAGATGGTCGGATTGAGATGATCTCTAATGCTGAAACCGATAGAAAGAATCGAGCACCAGATGGGTATTTCTTCCGGCTTCTCAAGCTAAATGCTCCGGAATGGCCTTACTCAATAATGGGTGCTGTAGGATCTGTTCTTTCTGGTTTTATTGGTCCAATTTTTGCAATTGTGATGGGAAATATGATTGATGTGTTCTACTACCAAAATCCTGTAAGCATGGAGAGGAAGACAAAGGAATATGTTTTCATTTACATTGGAGTAGGTCTTTACGCAGTCGTTGCATATTTGATACAGCATTACTTCTTCAGTATTATGGGAGAGAACCTCACCACAAGAGTTAGGAGGATGATGCTTTCAGGTAAAAGTCGTGTAGTTCTTTCCCTTGAATTTCTAGGATTACATCACATACTGTATGTATTGTCATTGATTATGTTAGAGTGATTTGTTATGACTAAAAGTGGCTCCTATATACAATGTATACAGTTGAAATTTTGTTTCAACCACAATTTAACCATCAATCCAAAAAAAATTAGCCATTGAAATTTGTTTATTGTGTATTTCTTTTTTCAGCAATTCTAAGGAATGAAGTTGGATGGTTTGACGAGGAGGAGCACAACTCTAGCCTTGTTGCAGCTCGCCTAGCCACAGATGCTGCCGATGTAAAATCTGCCATTGCTGAGAGGATCTCTGTTATACTGCAGAACATGACATCACTACTCACTTCATTCATAGTTGCTTTCATAGTGGAATGGAGGGTCTCTCTTCTCATCCTAGCCACCTTCCCTCTTATTGTCCTTGCCAATTTTGCTCAGGTAAGCACAATGTACACCCATTTATTTACACACTTCATCATAAAACCGTATTATTTAACAAAGAGTGATTATATAAATGATGAGAAGAGATGATATAAATTACGACAAGATTCTAACAGATAAGATATCATGACTTATTCAGAGTTTTTGGATGTATCTTTTGGAACGTATGTGTCTTAAGGCTCTCAATCATCGTGGTATTATGTTGTCAAAAATATAACTTCCTTTAATGAAATGCTCTTGTTAGGTATAAACAATGAGGTCATTTTGGGTAAATCAAAATCTTTTATATACCTTAATGCCTGTGTCAGATTTTCTCAATATTGTTTGGATCTTCGGAACCTTACTTCACTTTCTTAGTATTAAATGACTATAAAGGTAATTACAACATGATGAAATACTGGTGCACTGCACATGCTTACTCCACGTGCACCACTCTTCCACACTCTAATATGACCCAAATATATAATGTATGAAGAAACGAAAACAGATTTTATCACCATCCATTAACTTGTATGCTTTTGAGGAGTGTTCCTGTTTTTTACTCTGCTATGGACACTTTCTTTGTTATTTACCAACCCAGTCAAATCTTAGGTTGTCTGGTGCCTTTCACCGTTCATTTCATATTTAGCATGTCATCTTGTACCGACACTGCAACATACAGTGTATATCAGTTCTTGTCATGCAGTGAGAGACTGTGTGTGTGTGTGTGTGTGTGTGTGAGTTGGATATAGAAGTACATAGGCTTTGATTGCTGTATTTACTTTCTCAACTAAGGAAGATGCCCATGCCAGAGATTCCAGAGAGACTGCCCGTGATCATAATAAATATATATGAATATAGGTATATATATTTACATGCAGTTGGCGCGCAGACATATTATCTTCTTCTATGGTCAGTTGTATCATATTTGATGGGGTGTCGGTAATTTGCTAGGCATGGTGCATGGCAGAGCTGAGAGATTCTTTTATAAAGTTGTCTACCATTGGCAGGTCGCGGGAAAATACGCACCCCTTTTTGTTTGGGTCCTTTTAAGCCCAATCAACTTTAGGGCCTCTCACATTCTGGAGTGTGTTGGATAATGTAGCTCTGACACTGTCCTTGTGTATTCAGCAGTGTTCGGATTCCGGCGCATGCTAAATACACAGTTAGATAGATTGTTTGCTTAAATACGTTCATGCATAAATATCATGGTCAGATTCCACGCATGCTAAATACACAGTTAGATAGATTGCTTTTTTAAATACGTTCATGCATAAATATCATGGTCAGATTCCACGCATGCTAAATACACAGTTAGATAGATTGCTTTCTTAGATACGTTCATGCAATGCATAAATACCATGGTCATCTACATGTCCAAAACTGGAAACTCAGCATTGTCCCATCAAGTTGACTTTTGCGATTTGGCACTTGCATTCAACGCCTAGTTAATGCGGTTAACTGATTTTTCCTTGTCAATACACAAAGAACCACTGTGTTGCAGGTCGAAATCTTTATTGCAGTAAAATAGTACTTCATAAAAATGATCGTGTAGCAAGGCCCATAAAGCTGAAGAGTACTAATTTTACATATGTAGTATCATTTTCTAGGTTAAATTAAATATTAATATTTAATCAATTTAATATATGTGGAAGTGATGCCTTTGAATTAAAATGAGAGGAAAATAAATTTATTTTTTAAATAAATTTTCTACAAATTGTAATTCTAAGACAGATTTCATACTATAAGTTTACACTCAAGAAATAACCATATCTAATTAATCTTCTTATCCGAATGAAATAAAACTGGTTTCCAGTATCACAAGGCTCCTTGTTTGAGACCCTAATATCAACTATGAATTGAGGTTTCTAATTTAATAAAACTGGTTACCAGTATCACAAGGCTCCTTGTTTGAGACCCTAATATCAACTATGAATTGAGGTTTCTAATTTAATACTTGCTCAATCAATATAATTTAAAACATACATAGATTAAAAAGGACATTACAGACTTTACAGTTGGAAAACGTACATAATTCGTGGTTTTATATGGTTGTATTATATGTTCCTTGTCTGTAATTTAAACAGTTCGTGATAGTTAATTCCCTTAATTTTCTGTATTGAACAGCAACTTTCTCTTAAAGGCTTTGCCGGAGATACAGCCAAGGCTCATGCAAAGACTAGCATGATTGCAGGGGAGGGAGTGAGCAACATTCGAACTGTTGCAGCCTTCAATGCTCAAGAGAAGACCCTCTCTCTATTCTGCCACGAGCTCCGTGTGCCACAGCTCCAAAGCCTTCGTCGCAGTCAGTCTTCTGGCCTCCTCTTTGGCCTTTCTCAGCTCGCCCTATATGCCTCCGAAGCACTCATCCTCTGGTATGGTGCACACCTTGTTCGCAAAGGCGTATCGACTTTCTCAAAGGTTATTAAAGTATTTGTGGTCTTAGTCATTACAGCCAATTCGGTTGCAGAAACTGTTAGCCTTGCCCCTGAGATAATTAGGGGTGGTGAATCTGTCGGTTCGATATTTTCAGTTCTTGATCGGTCTACGAGGATAGACTCCGATGACCCAGAGGCTGAGCCAGTTGAATCAATTCGTGGCGAAATTGAACTTTCTCACATTGATTTTGCGTACCCATCACGTCCTGATGTCAATGTGTTTAAGGACCTCAACCTTAGAATACGTGCCGGCCGAAGCCAAGCGCTTGTTGGAGCCAGCGGTTCTGGGAAGAGTTCTGTAATTGCATTGATCCAACGATTCTATGACCCTACAGCTGGTAAAGTCATGATTGATGGGAAAGACATTAGGCGTTTAAACTTGAAGTCGCTTAGGCTAAAAATTGGGTTGGTGCAACAAGAGCCAGCTCTTTTCGCGACGAGCATTTTTGATAACATTGCCTATGGAAAAGACGGAGCAACAGAAGCAGAAGTCATCGAAGCAGCTCGAGCAGCAAATGTGCACACCTTCATCAGTGGGTTGCCTGATGGGTACAAAACCCCGGTTGGCGAGAGAGGGCTTCAGATGTCCGGGGGACAGAAACAAAGGATTGCAATTGCACGAGCTGTTCTCAAGGACCCATCAATACTACTGCTGGATGAGGCAACAAGTGCACTCGACGCAGAGTCCGAGTGTGTGCTACAAGAAGCACTCGAGAGGCTAATGAGGGGCCGGACCACCGTGGTCGTGGCCCACCGGTTGTCAACAATCCGGGGGGTTGACAGCATAGGAGTGGTACAAGATGGACGGATAGTAGAGCAGGGCAGCCACTCCGACCTACTCAGCCGGCCTGATGGGGCTTACTCTAGACTCTTGCAGTTACAACAGCATCACATATGAGTTTTTTTGTTTTAGTTTATGTAACATGACATCTGTTGTGGTTTTATGTATGTGTTCATTAACCTTTGCTTTAGGGTTTCCTTTTTGAATGAAGATAGTTGTAGATATAGGGATGTGAAGACTATGTCTAAGAACTAGTGATCCATTCCCAATGGAGATGCATATTTTATATTCTCAATGTGTGTGGTGCTGTAAATTTCTATAGTACTTCAAAAGCAAGCCCTTAAAGAACTGTCTTTCCAGCTCTTAAGGGGACTCTTTATTTATTTATTTATTATTTATTTATTTATTATTATTATATTTTTAAAAGAAATCTAGTACTTTTTACTATTTTGTGCATTGTACTCTTCTGTGTAACAAAGCCCTTAGAGAACTTCCTTTCCAGCTCTCAAGGGACCTTTTTTATTTTTATTTTTTTGCATGTGTTTGTTAAGAACTCTAAGTACTTTTTGATTCTTTTTACTATTTTGTGCATTGTACTCTACTGTGTAACAAAATTATTGAGTATCCAAGGCCACACCACACCAATAAATTGATGATGTAACACAATTAAATCAACAGTAAAATGTTTTGTATTTTTGATATAATAGAGTTGCAGTGTTTTGAAGTGAGGACAGTTTTGTATCTATGTATATGCATGTAAAAAAGAGTTCAAAATATTTCCCACAACTGTATCACCACCACCACATGCAATAGTGAAAAATGTTGTTTGTGTGTCTGCACTCTGCATATATACAGCAATTATTATTATTATTATTTTTTTCCGTAAAGGTATATACTTGTATTTTGCAAGGTTACTTCACTTTGACTTGATTGTCATGCGGATTCAAAACAGAAAACAATCTCCTTATATACAAATGTAGCATAATGTATTTCTGGCTATCTTGAGATTACCTTACTCAAATTTACTCCAATATGACTCGAAGGTCATTACAGATTCAAAACAGAAAACAAAATAGTATTGTCTCGACATGAACCGAACTACTAAAAAGTTAATTATTACCTTGACTAAAAAGAAAGCAATTATGTGACATTGAGCTGTCAAAAAGGGGCAAAGTTGGGCTTGACCTCTTTTGCAATTCATTGATGTGTTTGTCAGTGAGATATTTAAAAAAAAAAAAAAAAAATGGCAATAGAAAAATGAAAAAGGAGGAGTGGGATGGAAATTGGATTCCTGAGAGAAAGGCATGGAGAAGGTGAAATGAGGAGGACATGGAGTTGGGAAATGGCAGAGAGTATCAAATCAGTGCTGCATTATATATATATATATATATATGCACTGGCACTGCCACTGCACTGCAAAATTGTGACACAGGTAGTAGTGCCATGTTAAATATCTAGTGTTATGCCAGAAAAATGTTAAATATCTAGTGTATTGGCATCAGAAAGGAGTCCAATCAAAGTTCCATAATTCATTGCAACTCTCAGATCATGTCTGTGCATAGATTTGAATCTCTGTCACCTTGATATTTGTTGGTAATTTGGTATACTATTTTTTATTTATTTATTATTATTATTGTAACTTTGTAAGCATCATATTCTAAATTAATTTTCAATCATTTCATAATAATTTTGGTTGACATTTTTTTAGGCATTTTATAACTGATTTTACCTTATACCCCACGCTTATTGTGCTCCAGCATTCGCGTTTATGAGGAGAGGTATCTTCCCAGGAACCCAATCATGACAGTATCTTGCCTGAAATTCAGAAATAATAATCATAATAATAATTTCATTGTAATGTTACAAACAAGGGTCGCGTTCCTGTACATTTTGAAAAATTCAAAACATTCAATTTTTGAGCAAATAATGACCTGAATACTGAAAAAATTAAAATGTCCCTCTATAATAATTAAATATGAAATGACTAGAGCGTCTCTCTCTTTTATTTTATTTTTCTTCTTCTTATTCATAAGGGTATTATTGGAAGATAAAAGGGTATTTTTGAAATTTTATATTTTGAAAATGTCATGTGAAATGGACATGACCCAATTTGTAACCAAACAGTGACCTCAAACCATTCTTTGATAATTTTTTCAAACTTAAGACACTTATATACCAAAAAAAAATCTTAGAGAGTGATATTTTCCAAAAATTTAAATATTATTCTCACTTTGCCATACAAAAAAATAAAAAAGGGAAAAAGGGGGGTGAATTTTACAAAACCTAACAGCACTAGACCAAATATTTTTTCTAAGCTAATCTATGCTTGACGTTAAGTATGCTACAATTTTTTTTTAGTAAATGTATTTTATAAAAGAGGAAAAAGAAAAAAGGGATGTATTTTACAAAACCTAAAACTGACATGTTTTTCTCCAAAGCTATATATATGTATTTATAATGTATAAAATGTGTGTATACATAAATTTAGATTCATGCATTTAAAAAAAAAAAACGAAGAAGAAGAAGAAATATGAGTCATAATGCAAATTAAAGATAGCAATTGATGTTTCAACAGGAGATTTGTTGAATTGACTTACAAAATGAGGTCCATATAATCATATAACTAATTGATCCAAATAGATTTGATTTAATCAATTTCATGATTTTAACATGGACACCAATCCTTTTCACTCTTCTCTAACATTCAATGCAACTGATGAGAAGCTTTGAAGCCACTCAAATCTGTTTTATACATGTTTTCAAAGGCAGCTCACTGCAATTAATTTTATTTTTAGCATGAATAATGTTCACCTAAAATACTACAGATTTTGATGGGATTTTATTTTGAAACGACCAAAAATTAATTTACCATTTTCTCTAGCTATATGAATATGTATTGTGAGATTTCCGTAGTTTTGTATATCAACTTTCAAACTCGAACCACTCCTCTCCTCTTTAAGGATGAAAAAATGATAACTTTGAACTACGTGCCTTTTGATTCTTCATATAAAAATAAGGTTTTGTACATCTGATTATTTCCGAATCCTGCAATAACATTGTGCACGAACATGTGAGCCTTAACATGTTCTTTTACATAAAATGTAAGGGTACACATGGTTCGTTGTATTGTATCGGTTGGTTTGTAATCTTTTTTCAAGGGTTCGACATCGTTACATAACTCTATGAATAAATCGGTTCGATTGATTTATACCGATATTTATCCGAATTCGTTACAATACAATAGTGAACGGTACCGCCACTGTAAACCAAAGAGGCTTACCATGTTCACATTAGAGGTAGATGGATGACAGTTGACAGATGGGGACAATAGGCTTAACAAGTCACATGGTTAAAAACCAAAAAAAAATGGCTGGCAGTACCAAACGATGTGGCTAATTGGCCTTTAGTGCTGTTCAAAGACAGTGAGCCTCTAATCTCTACATCTTCTGTTAGATTCTGGGAGAGGATGTTGTCCTCTCTTCTACCAGTCTCACTCGCCTGTTAATTTCTGCCAATCTGGTGTGTCATGATTGTATATATCTATATCTATATCTATATCTATATCTATATTTATTAAAATTGTGATAGTGATGAGTCTTCATTTAATTAGTGATTGTACTGTTGGTGATGATGAGTGAATAGGAGAGAAGGACTGAACCTCTCCTGCTAGCTGAAACTGAAAGCTCCAGCCCACCATTCATTCGGGCCTCTACTACTCTTTCATAAATCTTCTGTTTCAATTCCAAGGCAGTAATTCCACCATTTTAATCCCTTTTTCTTCAATTTTTTTAGACATATAAGTACCATTACTTTTTCAAATATCAAATACATATGTGACATCCTACATCGCGTGTGGGAAAAAGTTCTTTGATATTTATATTTGTGGACACTGTTGTAGACATATTTTTTAGAAAGAGCCGTGTCTGTATCAAACACATATGTGACATCCCACGTCACATATGTGTTTGAAGAAAGTGTCACAGCGTGTGAGGGAGAAGTTTTTTATATTTATATTTGTGGACACTCCTTAATCCAGTAGGCATTATTTTGAGAAAGTGCCGTGTCTGTATCAAACACATATGTGACATCCCACGTCGTGGGTCAGAGAGAAGTTGTTGATATTTATATTTCTGGCCACTCCTTAACCCGCAGACACGTTTTTGAGAAAATTCAAGAACATCCCTATAATCCTTGATAAAAACATAACAAAAAAGAATGGATCAAATTTAATATACCCCTAGGTAAAAAAAAAAAAAAAATAAGATTTAAGAAAAAATAAAAGAAAAACCAAAGAAACAAAGTGGAGAAAAAGGAATAAATGGAAGGCAATAGCAATGACATTGACTTTAGTTTCCATCCTATTTTCTTTCATTTTCTGTTTGGTAAAAATTTCCATCTTCATTTCACTTCACAATTTTAACTAATACTACAAGAATGGGATAAGAGTAGAAAAATTAAGATCATGCTCAAAAAAACAGAATTGAATAAAAAATAGCACAATAAGCCAAAAAAACATTCAATTCATTGCATTATTAGTACTACCTTACTGAGCTGTAAGGCCAATCCTTCTGCTGAGTAGAAAAATTGTGCACTTTCTGATTGTAACATCTCTGTCACACACAATATCACATGTAAAATCATTTTCAATGTCTTTTTTTTGAGGAAGAGAATTTCGATATTTAAAACTCGAACATGAATTTCAGTTCAATGCATCAAGTAGACGATATAATCACGACTCTCCCATTTTGGCAAATCCTCACTTAAAGTATCATTCTTCTATAATCTATAAACTATATTAGTACTTTTGTAGCATAAAATTAATGTCTTGAAATTGAAATAAAAAAAAAAAACTAATTCAAAACCGAAACATGATCTAATATATATATATATAATAATTAAATCATTGCCAACTTGGGTAGAATCAACTTTATGAACAAGCCCTAGCTGTCTAATAATATTGTAGTGATAAAGCTGTGTCCAATTGTCCACATTAATGTAAGGTCGTGTTTGTTGTTGGGAAATTTAATTTTCTTACATCTACCAATTTGATTTCTGATGAGGAGGCCCACCAAGGATTCAAAGCTGGAAGCTCAGTTTGGTGTTAATTTAAGAAGATTTAAGGCAAAGGTACTGCTGGAGCTGGATCATAATGACTGGGAAGTCATTTTTTCAATTGTTTGATTCCAAACAGGACTTAACCCTCTCAGATCCACGAAAAGCAGAGTTCCAGACATTTAGATCCAATGGGCCATGGCAGGCCCAATAGGGGGTTAGGTTTTGATTGGAAGTTGTGCAGTTCAGATCTATTCCTTTTAACAGGCGGGCCCTTAATGTGTGAGATGGGCCATGGGCTTTTAATGGCAGACATTTTGTAGGCCCTCTGAATATTATTTGTTGCAAAGATACCATATCCATGTTCGTGCTTATATTTTGTGGGCCAAAAACTATTAATGATATGGTCCCGTGGATCCTTGTTGATAATTTTTTTTTTTTTTTTTTTTTTTCAGAAATAAACTTTTAGGTTGATGGTTGATAAAAATTAGCAATTTTTTAAAGAAACCTACTGAAAATTTCTTCATATATTATTAATAGTTCTGTATATTTTGTTCTTACTAATTAGATCAATATTCTTTATTTGGAATGGTAATTAATAGTATTTTGGCATCTCAAAGTGAAATAATAATATATATCATTGAGAAGTTTTAAATTAATGTTTCAAAATTGTATAAGTGTTATGTTTGGAATCACCTCACCAAATCGGTGCTTTCGGTCACTAATGAAATTGTGGAGAAAATTTAGGTGTATCACCCATTAATGAGAAAATTCAAAATTCAAGACGAATACATCGAATAGAGCCAAACGCATAAACAATCGGATACATCCCTACTCATATGAAACAGTCGGATACATCAACAAACTTAGAAAGTGTGCAGAAATGAAAATACATCTTCTCCACTCATGTAAAACAGTCGAACCGACTTTTGAGAATTTATGTGGCCGACTCGATCCGAAATTAAAGCAAGATGATGATGACTGTACATAAAATTTGAGGCTCTCTTGGGCTCTTGGTAAGCAGTTGAGGCAAAGGTTGTAAATAGTTAAATTGTCCATTTCCTTGTAAATTAACTTTATCCAAGGGCTAAACCAGATTGGTAGAGGGCCCATTAAAATTTATTGGGCTAGCATGCCCAAAAGTAATTATTGGGCCTAAGGGATGTCATTTTCTAGCTTAACGTGTCTTGCACATGTTTCTTGGCCTAAAAGGTCGACATCTCATTTTCTCTCAATTTGTTTTTGACTTTTTGAGAGACTTATAACAATTCTGACAGCAACAAAAACGAAAATAGTTTTATTGCTTTAATTTTCGAAAAAAAAAAAACGAAAATAGTTTTGAAATTTCTTTTCCGAATTTTTTTCCCTCAATATTATCCTCTTATAAAATCGAGTTAAAAAGACATAATTTAAATTATTATTTTTAAAATAAAAAAGCTTTTTGGATCTAGTTCTGTCAAAATTATTCGAATTTCTATGGAACATAACCAAGCACTTAAGCCCTATTTGTCGAGTTTTGTTTATAAAATCGACAACATTAGCATAATTTAATATTAATATATGTCATGATTTTCCAACGTACGTAGGCCAACCTCAACTTTTCCATGCTAATTCCATGAACACAAAGAAAAAACATTAAACATAAATCAGGTTTGGAGTTTTCCATTAGAGACTTCTAGACCTATCCCAATATTTATTGACAAGGTTTATTTACTCACTCTTGTAGATCTACACCAACATGTAAATTACATTGTAATCCTTTACCATGTTGTTTATATGGTGGGAGCTCTAAAGTCTTATTCCCTTAAATCGAATCTGGAATTCATATGGTGGGAGTTCTAAAAACCTGATCCTTTATCACTCGAATAATATCACCACACTTTTATTGCTCCTTTAATGATATTTAGTTAGTTTTCATAATGTAGTTTGCAATATGAAGCTCGTGTGCATGACTTTTATCCATTTTCATAAAAAGAGGAATGCGTTTTGAAATTTCACTCATTCACCCTCAAATTACTATCTAACGAGTTCTCATTTTCACTCTATGATTAACTCAAGAAATTATTTAGTACTATGAGATATTGATAATGTATTATTCGGTTAATAAACAATAATTATTTCCTATCATCAAGAAAAATAACCGAGCTTTTATTGATTGGTGGTGTTATATAATCTAAATACTCTCCAAGTACCCCTAATAATTTTTCACTATATATAGAAATTGAAAAATCATTAGAAGATGTATATAATTCATTAAACAATAATGATAAGTAGTTCAGAAGTCAGATTCATTGAACTGTTTTATATAAGTAAGAAATGATGTTATTGAATATGATGATATCATCGTAAAGTTATTTCTTGTTAATATAAATTTAATGAGATAAGTTGAACTCTCAAACTCTATATCATTATAATTATTCACTACAAAAAATTATGGTAATTTTCTTAATTCAGAGTAGTAAGAAAAATAAATAAATAAAAGACTGGTTTAAATAATGAATGAAGCATGTTCGTTGTTTGAAAAAAGTAACTTGTTATCAGGTGGGTATTTGTGTCTTGAGCACATGTCAATGGGTCATTGGTATTATATGTATATATATATGTGTGTGTGTGTGTGTGAGTGTGTGTGATGACACATGACACATGACACTCGACAAAAGCATGGAAATTTTAATTTCTTTGCCGGATAACAAATCTCTTGCCTATAATAATATATGTACTATACTTTAAACATGCCACGTGTCGTGTCTTGGGTAGAGACGAAAAGGCATGTGGACTTCACCATTCACAGTCACGTTTCTAACTCGTGATTATGTCCCTAACAAGGAGGAATTACAATTATTGGTTATACCACTTTACTGTCTTTTGTACTAGTATGTAATAGATTTTTTTTTTTTTTTTTTTTTTTTTGTTAAACTTAATCAACATTCACAGTAACATGTCATAATCTATATTAAACATAATTAAAACTAAATAAAGTTATGTCGGCAAATCATTTTTTATTAATACAATAATAAATATTAGTACAGTATAACTTCTAAATCGAGTGTTTTGTTTTTATTTGAATTTTTGAAAAAAAAAATTACTTGTTCTACCATCATCACCATGTACCATTTTAATTAATTTGTTGGATATCTTAAATGTATAAAGAGAAGTTATTAAACATTAGTACAGTATAAATGCATAATTTACTTAAGTAAATTCATTTTACCAAGAAATTTGTAGTCTAATGATATTTCATCTATTTTTCAAAGTGGATGATGAAAGTTTATGTCGGTTTTGATTATTCCCGACTTGATCTGATTTTTCTCCTTCATTTGATTTTGTGCCGGTTTTGGATGGTTTTTTCCCTTGTCGGAACGCCTTGTGGATGTACATTTGGAACTGTTACTTTGATAATGGGTAGGTCTTTGGGTCACTCCTGTTGTTACATTTCTCCCTTAGTGGTTTATGTTGCAGAGTTTTGGCTCTTATTCTCAACAAATCTGGAGTCTGTTCTTCATTTTTTTTTTTTCTTATTTTGCTTCATGATTTGTATGCATTTTTTTGACTTGGCTCTTGCCTCTGTACCGGCATTGATGGCTTGGCCTTTGAACCTTAATTTGCAATTATAAAAAATAAAAAAAAAGATTTCCAAATAGCCAAAGAAGTGTGTCTGTGTGAGTTTCTTGAAAATAAAAAAAAGTGAATTCATTTATACTCATATAACGTTGTATATAAGTGGTTTATGATCGACATGGTATCACTGAAACGCTAGTCTTTCTATCTCCTCCTACAAGAATAACTTGGTAAAACTAGATTCCACTATTTTGTTATTGTCACTTCTTATTCCTAATACAATAATTTTACATCTTGAATGCAACAACTACGTTAACATATTAAGAATTTTGAATTTAATGATACTATAGCCAAGCTACAATGGTAGAATACAATATAATATATCACATAAGTGTTATATCATCAATATAAATGTGTTTCGTAAATATAATTGTTTAAAAGCTGTTATATGAATGTTGTATTTTATGACGCAATTTATATGGCTGATTTATTTTTTTATTTTATTTTTTTCAGTGCTGTAACATCAGTGAATTCCCTGAAAAAGAGGGAATCATATTTATAACATGGTAAACAATTTGTCACTTTCCATCACTTTTCACCATAAAATATATAACTAGTTTATATAGATGATCTTATTTAATTGGGTAATTGTATGTCAGGGTGACGAAACCCATAGCAAAGCAACCAATATAGAATTTCTCAAGTACAAGTTTTATTTATTTATTTTTAACAACTAGCTGGTAGAACATAATCTGGAAACATTAATTTATTGGATCTGTTTTACGACACACTATTATTCTACTACTAATTTTGTTTGCAAGGTACTTTATACACTATTATGTAAGATGTTAGCTGCGGTATATATGAAACTCAAGTGTCTATCCTATATATATATATATATATATATATAACTCATAAGTCTCTCATTCATCAATGTCGGCATGCCATTTCATCACTAATGACTCTTATATTATAGAATAATAATTGTTAGATCTAATTGTCTAAATCAGGAAAAACTAGTCAAGGAATGAAAAACCCGACAAGTCTTTTTAGGTTAAACTATTAGGTCAGAATAGCATTCTCCGACATAATGTATACAAAGTAATTTGATTGATCATATGGTTTAACACTTCAAACTACAGTTGTGTGGCATGTTGTTACTTGTTGCTGTAAATTATATTCCGTCTCTAACTAAATCCGAATCTTCTGCTGTAAAATTTGATGTTATCATGTTTTTAACACCTTACATCTATTTTTACTTTTTTTACACGGAATGTAACATTTTGAACTGATCGATGTAACATGTTAAAAATAATTATATTGAAAAACAAAGGTAACGTGTTAAAAGTGTATAACACAATACGGTGGAGGTGAGGCTCCTATGTATATATCACATGGTGTTGCATATTGAGACGTACACACGAAGGCCCACTTTGTCACAACAAAAACAAACACATTTCTTTAAAGCCCACTTGGGATCAAACCCCAAGTTGGGAACACAAAGAAAAACACATACAACTATGTGCTTTCTCTCTCCTATGTTCTCTCTCTCTCACAGAAACAAAAACAAAAACAGCAAGCCCAGTCCACTGCTTTCTCCAATGCACTTGTCTTCTTCATATCCAACATCACTGTCTATGTTATTGTACGCTCTCTTTCTCGTCCTCAGTTTGTTGTGGTCCTAACCTCTTCCTCTTTAAATCTCTCATTTCACTTTCTTCACAGTCTATATCGAACACAACTAGCATTTCTCTCTTCTTCTTCATTTGCCTATTTTTGGTTTCCATAAAGCTTGCTTTTCACTTGTGTCTTTTCAAGTTTCTCTCTTCCTTTTCATAGTACTAATATCGTTCAACCATTTACAAAGTACCAGCTCGATCAAAGCCTAAATTATTACTTAGTTTCACTGTGTGTGTATGTGTGAGAGAGAAAGAGAGAGAGAGATCATCATAAGTGTGTGTAGCAGCTATATACAAAATGTCTAGCAGAAGGTCGAGGCAGCCTGGAAGTTCAGCTTCAAGGATCACTGATGATCAGATCAATGATCTCGTGTCCAAGTTACAGCAACTCCTTCCTGAGCTTCGCAATAGGCGCCCAAACAAGGTATAATATATATATATATATATATATATATATACAAACTTCATATGTTTGTTTGTGTGTGTGTTTATAATATATATATATATGTCTGTGTAGTTTACATTTATATATACATATATATAATATATATACACATGCGGGTATATAAGAGTTGAGATTCATTCCTGTACAAGTATTGTACAGTATTCAAGGGCTGTGATTGAAACACCCACAAACACACACTAGTATGTATTTCAATCACAACTCTTGATTGTTGGTGGGTCTGGTCCTGGTCCGTGTGTACGTATATATAATTTTTTGTTGTTATTTAAGTTTGTATGTGATATATGTACCATATTGTAGCATTGTACTTGTACCACTTGTCAAGGTTTAATTATTACGTATAAACAGTACCCTATGAATTTTTTGTAGTCTGACCTGAACAAGTAGTAACATATAATAATACTCAAGCTGAAAAAAAAACATATAATATTCAAGAGGTACTCATATATATATATATATATATTGTATATAAACTCCTCTAGCTAACTGGCTATTATCTTCTAAAACAAATACATGTCATTATAGAAGTGTAACATTTATTTAAATTCTCTAACAATTATTGAGTTATCCTATATATTTACTTTGACCAAATGTAGTAGTTCAACATATGTTGAGAAAAGCTGGTCCACAAGTTCTGTCCAATCCTTCCTTTGATTCATCCATGCCGTGTTACTCTCTCTCACACTCACACTCACACACACACACACACACACACACATACATAGTTGGTCTCTTTAAGCACGTAATAATCGTAATTTTTTAAAGCAAGTTATTATTATTATTATTATTTTGAAAAAAAAATAATGGGTTGCGAATACATTATGTACACATCTTTTATAACTTAGATTTAGAGTTTTCAATACTGTAATTGGAGGTGAATGGTACTTCAAGTTCATTTGCATAGTGGGTTGCTAATATAATATGTGATTATATTAGTTGGTCTCCAAACTAAGTACGTAATTATCCTAAGTATTTTATTATTATTATTAGAATAGTGGGTTGCTAATATAATATGTTCACATGTCGTTTTTATAACTTAGTTTTAGTGTTTTCAATACTGTAATTGGACCGTTTGTGATTGGTTCAAGTTTATTTGCATGACGAGGACAAGATTAAACACACGCACGTACACACACAAGTGTTTAATCTTGTGCTCCTAATTGAGTTAATTAATGATGTTTATATATATATATATATAATTATATGTGTGTGTATGTGTAGGTATCAGCTTCTAAGGTTCTGCAGGAGACCTGCAACTACATTAGGGGCTTGCACAAGGAGGTGGACGACCTAAGCGACCGACTGTCCCAGCTATTGTCTTCCATAGATGCTGAAAGTCCAGAGGCTGCCATTATTAGGAGTTTGATCATGTAATCGTAGAAGACTATTAGTGTGCTCTACTAGTTCCTGTTTAATTTTGATTCTAGGGTTTGGTTTATTAGGCCAACCAAGTGATAGAACTTATATATATCTATATCTATATATCTAAGATGTCCCATGATGATGCATGGTGTAATTAAGTTGTATAATAAAAGGGCTTTTGTACTTGCAAAGCCTTCTCTATTAATGAAAGTTATTTTTCTTTGTTTTCACATTAATTAATACTGATTTATTAATTGAATAATATAAGACTTATATTTTCATGGAGTGCAATTAAATTGGTGTTTAGTTCAATGGATACAGATAAAAACAATATATATATATATATATATATATATATATAATAAAAATAAATAAATAAATAAACAACAACAACTGTTTACAGATTTGTCACTATAAAAGCCCTAAATCTTCCTTGCTGCAGACTGCTTCATCATGCTTATAACCAAAGTTTTGGATTGAATTGTATATGCTTCACATTTTCAGAAGAGTTACGAGAAAACATACAATACTTGGGAAATTTATTGTTTGGTATTTTCAACCAATACACATTCACTTTTTTTTTTTTCTTCTGAAAACGTATATCAAGGCAAATTTAGAGCTTTCATTACTTTGATTTTTTTGTCTTCTCAATTGCAGGTCAGAAAATATATGAATTTAACGGTCAGGATGTGACTACTTAGTTTTGAATAGTTGTTAGTTACACAATAAATGTATTACGCGTGTTACCTTCAAAATATGAAAAGACGTTTAAATAAGTAAGAGGTGAGTGATATGACGCATTTTGTGCCCCTGAAATAGTGTACTAGAGAAGATTTTATTCATACTTATTACAGAAATAGGGAATAATATATATTTAAGAAAACAATAGACATTTCAAACATTTTCTAAATTTTTTTTTATGGAACTCCAATATCATCTCTTGAAAATTTATGTGTACATGATTACATCTGTCATATATTCAATGGATGTATTGTTTGCTATATCAAGCACCATACACCAAACAAAATGGGGTCCGAAATTGACTTGATGTAGAATAATAAATTCGAAATGTTATTTCATATGTCAAACCAAATAAGGTTTGTAATTGAGAGTACAAGTTAAAAAAAAAAAAAAAAAAGAAAAAGAAAAAACTGAATGTTATGGACTGAGGTGTAATAAAGTGTGTACAATTACCAGATTTTGGCAATCATTATAATTATTATTAAATTTATTGAGGAGGATGAAGAATGTACGGAGGAAGGCCCAAGGCCTCAAGGTCCACACGAGCGGCAACAACCACAAACACAAAAGCAGCGAAGAAGAACATAGAATGAGTCAGATTGCTCTGAATTTAAAACTGAACTTTTAAGCTAATTTTTTTTTAATTTCAAATTCAAACTAATTCATTACTTTCAAACATAACATAAGGCAGAAAACACGTCCTATTATTATTATTATTATTATTATTTTAATGGAATTCCAATATCATCTCTTGAAAACTTGTAACTGTACATCTGTCACATATCCAATGCGTGTATTCTTTGCTAAATCAAGCACTGTACACCAAACAAAATGGGGTCAGAAATTGACTTGATGTAGAATAATGCATACGAAATGTTATTTCATATGTCAAACCAAATGACGTTTGTAACAGAGAGTATAAGTTAAAAAAAAGGAAAAAAAAAAACTGAATGTTATGGACTGAGGTGTAATTAAGTGTGTACAATTACCAGATTTTGGCAATCATTATAATTATTATTAAATTTATTAAGGAGGATGAAGAATGCACAGAAGACGCCTCAAGGTTCACACGAGCGGCAACAACCACATACACAAAAACGCTGAAGAAGAACATAGAGCGAGTCCATTGCTTTGAATTCAAAATTGGACTTTTAAGTTGAGTTTTCTCTAATTTCAAATAAAAATTGCTTTGTTACTCCCAAACATAACATAAGATTGCAAAATAACACAAAAATGGGTTACATTTCATTTTTATTTAATTATTTATTTTGCATGGATACTTTTCTAATGCAAATATTGGATACTACTATAAATTTGTAGGTAGAATGAAGATTTTAGTCAACAGACCTAAAACCTATCACCTATGTGATTCAAATGACAAGAAGATTAATAAGTTTTTAAAGATAAAGTATCAATCTTATTAGATCTAATAATAATTGTTGGATAAGTTAATAAGTATCAATTTCAAAGTTGATTGCACTATCCTCTCTCTTTCTCTAGTACTTCACTCCAACCGAAAAATAGAGAAAATGACAAGGGCTTTATCAGAAAATCCAGTGGTCTTATTCAAATACAACACCTAGATATTAGGGTTGAGGTGATTTGTAGATGAAGACATAAATTCATGGTTCAGCAGAATCTTTATCTAAAATCCTGTGGTTACCTGAAAAGGAGACCACAACCACAATCGGAATATTATAATATAGTCCTTGAACCATTCAAAACAATTTTAATATCATATTTGCCCTAGTGACTAGGATTCTTTTCATTTGTTTACCAACAACACAAAATTCCTGCAATGCATTTAAACTCATCAGAGAAATGATATTTTTGACGATTTTATTATTCTGACTTAAAATAAATTTAGGTAAAAATATAATATGTTATTATAAAATTTTAATTTAAATATGCATTATTAATTTTGTTTGTTTTCATAAAATAGGTTAATTTTTCTTTCTTTATTTATTTAGTTTTTCATGTGAAAAACGTATTATCTTCCTTTTCATTTTCACATTTTCTTTCGTGTACTCAAGTAGAAGAATTTGATTAGTATAAAATCTAGAAAAAAATTCCAATATTTTTCAATGTTTTGCAATTTTTCTTTAAATTCGTCTATTTATTTTTGTTTCTGGAGTCATATTAGTTTTGATCATTATATCAATAAACAAATGCCCATCTAATTATATATATGAGATGCAATCTTAAGTATTTATGCATTAGAGATCGAGATGCAATGCGATATATATATATATATATATATATATATATATATATATATATATATATATACAATTTGATATATATGGTGATTGAAACTTTAATAGCCAACAAAGATACCATATTAAGATGAAATCTAAAAAATAAACTGTAATTTTTTAAATAGTTAATTACCTTATATTTTAAAATGGGTCCATTATATTGACACATAAATAGCCATATAGACTCGGTGAAATAGTCTGTTTTTATTTATCGGGCTAAATAGCAGTACTCTTTATTTATGGGTCCGTTATTAATTTTTAAATTTTTTTTTAAAGGGTTTGGATCAGTTGGCTCTCCTAGCCGATGAATTTGGAAGATCCCAAATGGATCTATATTTCGGATCTATATTCCTTCCGTGTCACAAAATTTTGGTAATAGTTCTTAACACATATATTTGTTACCTAATTTCATTTCTTTTTCTACAAGAGACCAATAGACAATAGGTATTCACCTATTTCTCAAAAGGAGAGAAGGAAGGTAATAAGGAGAGTTGAAAGGAAAAAAGGGAAGTTGAACAAATGTAATTTTACTTGCTTGAGAATTCTCGGGGAAAAGCTTAACTGTATGTATGTTTATTATGCATTTATTGAATATAATCTTGGATGTTGGACCTTCAAATTTTTTTGAAGATGGAATTTGGGGTTTTCATTTACACAAGCACAAATGGTTTGATAGCAATCCGAGTTGTGAGTATTGCTCGACAGGACTTAATCTCTCATAGCATACTCTATATAACATACTTTCTCTGTAAATTTTCTTTATAGGGTTTCTTTCTCCGTGTTTCTATCTTCTATATCTATTTAGACTTTCTCCATAAGTTGTAGAAGGTGAGAAGTTGACAGAGATTATGTATATATCAAAAGGACATTTATGAGAATGAAAATTGTAGAAACAAAAAATTATGTAGTTTATGGTTATTTTTGTAATTTCATTTTAAGAGAGAACGAGAGTGGAGTGCCTACGAATATTGGTGGAGTGCTAATATCAACTTCTTCCTCATTTTTTTTTTTTTTCTCTGCTATACTTTCTTTCTTTTTTTCTCTCTCAAAAAAAACAATTTATTTCATACTTATAATTTTATCTATGGTAATCAAAAAAGATAATTTATTGACTTTTTTTATTTTTTATTTTTATACAATCAAAATAGATAATTTATTCAACAAAGTTAACTTTTTTTTTTTAGATAATATTTTATGGTTCCTGACTAACTTCCTGTCAAAAGAAATAATTAATTCAATAGAAATAACTTTTTTTATAATCCACTATTTTTCATTTTTTTTTTTTTTTTGGTTCTTGACAAAAGAAATAAATTTTTTAATGGTAGCTTTTTTCTTTTGGTCCGGTCAAAAGAAGCAATTTATTCAACATAATTTTTTTTGTCGTGTCAAAAGAGACTTAAAATATTAAACATTAGAGATAAAGAGACAAAATCTGAAATGACAATTGTGTCATTTAAAATGAAATAATTATTTAGGGTTAGAATTAATATTTCATTTAAAATTGTAGTGCAAACGTTAAAAATTGGAGTATTAAGAAAAATAAGATTAGTAATAAACATGTGAGGAGAACACTAAATATCTCATTTATGAATGATAAAATTAGAGAAAGTAGGCTTAGGTGGTATGGTCATATTCATCGTACATCTAATGATATATAGTACTATATGATGCAATTATTTACCTAAAAGGTAAGTAACAAAGGGCCGACCGAAAACCCTACATAATTTCAGCCGGGCCATAAAGCATTTGGTTGGAATGGATTAAATTTTATTTAATTTAGAAAAAAATTGAAGCTTGTGAAAAATAAATATGTCTTGCAGATGTCTCGATAGTCGAGTTTTTAGTGTCTTCAGTAAATTTTGGAGTGTAAGGCTTCAACTCTCGCACCTACTAATCTAATTTCTAACTTTTTTTGTTTTGTAAAAAAAAAAAAATATAATAAAAAATATAAATATGACTCAGATGGAGTTGGAGAAATTTTTTTTTTGGTTAAAAAGTTGGAGAAATTTTTGCAGTAAAGGGCAGCAAACATTGGTACGGTGTTGGGGTCATGTTGTGATTGAGTAACTAGCTGCCAACTTCTCCTCTCCCATCATACTTACAACCCCTCTATTATCATATCCTCCTCAATTGACACCTATTGCACTGTAACTTCTTTCTTTTCTATAAATGTTGTACAATTCTAGTAAAATTGGTGCATAATCGAAGCACAAGTGATTGATATGTGTACTAAAAGT